TGAAAATGAATCGGCACTTCATTTAGCTGCCGATAAAGGATACTCAGTCATGGTTGGGATGTTGTTGGACCATGGAGCCGATGTTAATGCAGTGGATAATGACGGAGATACAGCGCTTCACATCACTTTAATGAAGGAAGGCGTGCCACAAGGAATTATGGGATTAATGGTAAATAAGTTCACAAAGTTTAACCTATCGATCTTTTTCTGCCTTTCAGCGTGGGAAAATGAGTAATGTAAAATGATCATGAAATGATTTGGATGGTTATGCATGTGTCATCACTCTGATGTTCCTAGGCATCTCCAAAATTGGCTTTTGATTTGTTCAAATCGGTTTGGATAATGATACTATTGTGAGGTAAAAATTACTGCAATTTTATTTCATCAAGCGATGTTGCTGCTTAACTTCGAGAACAAGACTAAGTAAGGAACGCAAATAAGCAAAGAATTTCTATCATCTACCACACCTTTTGAGAATCGCCTTCCTACTTCATAATCTCGCCGTAATACAATGATCTCAAATAGGTTCTCATGCAGATTGCAATAAGTACAACTGATATAAAGGGAAAGGTGGTCAGTTGGTTCTTTGTTAATGTCTTCGGCCTTCTTGACACGGATTAGTGTTGTTTTATTTAAGCCTGGTCTGGAGTTACTATTTGGTGCACGAAAGAGCAATGCGTCCTTTGTCGCTGTCTCACGCTGCTTGTTAAGCTATGGAGCTGACGTGTTGAAAGCCAATGACTCAGGGCAAACACCACTGGACAAATGTCGAGGATCGGAAGTTGAGCAACTCATTCGGAAGATTGCTGCCTGCGGAGGGTATTCAAATGCTTTGTGTTTTTTTTTTTTTTTAATGTCTATATACCTCGCTTCCGAAACACCTATATTCCGATGACATTTTTATCCTAATCACGAGTAAGAACATTCCCCGTAGTCTCCGTTTCTCTTGCCTGAATTGAGTCCGAAGGATTTTAACTGAATGAGAGCTGTTTCAGCGAGGAAATTCGAAATTGATATTTAACCAAAAATTATACTTTGTTTAATAACTGCAGGACTACACACAACAAGAAAGTTCCAAGTTTTGGGTCCTCGTGCGAGTCGCAAACCGAACTTGAATTAGGCGATGCTTCATCTTCAGCGAGTGCGACGACACTGACAGACGGAACTGAAAAAGATAATGAAAATCAAATAGACAGTTCGAATAGCGCAGATGAGGCAGAAGATACGTTTTTACGTGACGTAATAAGTGACTTGTGCAGTGGAGATCAACAAGAATCAGTATCAGAGATGTCAGACGAAACAGAGAGTGAAGACGTTCAAGAAAGCGAAACAGCTGAAAGTGTATTACAGGAAACAGCCCTGGTGAGTAATATGATGGTGGAAGACACGTTGTGTCAGGTGAAAAAGTTCATACGAAGGTTTATAAAAAAGCACTTTTGTAGTACCATTTTATATCAGTGAAGAAAAATTACAACGAGGACAATCCTTAGATGTGTATTCTGGAAGCACTATAAGAAGTCTGACGCCTTTGATCGTTTATTGCTTTTCAACCTCCTTTTTCATCTTTATTCATTATGAGGATGGTTTTCTCGGATACTGTACATAATAGTGTTAAAATATTTAGTCTTCTATTTTAAGCGCTTACGGTTGATGGGAGTTTTCCGATCATCTTTCTTACATTCATTTTGATTTGATAACCGGTTAAGTGGCGTTACTCATTGAAAATAAGAAAAAGTGGCTCGTTACCAGACTAAAATACTCCATTAGGACTCCCTTTTGGTATAAACTCTCCTAATTCTATACCTAATCAAAGGAGTTGAGTTTATTTGATTTTTTTGTTTACAAGGAGAATGTGGTGTTGGAAGTGACTAATAAAGTTGAAGTAGAAACCTCGGCCTCAGACATCTCAAACAACAGTGTCAACAGCGAGGAATAACACCGACACAGATATGGACGACAGCAAGGGCCTAATATCACAACCAGTAGACGACGATGTAAATATGGATCAGGAGACAGAAAATGGCGAAAAAAATCCATCGACATCTGATGATCAAAAAGTGCTGTGTTACATATGTGAGGAGACTGAGGCTGTTGTTGCATTCAAACCCTGTGGCCACACTGTTGTATGCACAGGTAGCTCTGCTTTTTGTGTTAGTTGTTTTTTTTTGTTCTGTTTTAACCACTCAAATTTTAAATGTTTGTCTCTAAGTTTGAAATAATTTAAGCGTCGTTTATAGAAAATTGCCTTGAAAAAGAAAGCGACTTTGAAATACCTGTTTTCTTGAGAAGAAAATTGCGAAAAGGTAAGAAGGATTCAAGGAGGAACGACCATGAGTAAGTGTGAAGAAGTTTAACACAGTTTGAAAAAGGCATCTTGATCTTAGTATTTATTAATGTAATAATTTGTTTGCAGAATGTGCAGCCCGATTAAAGAAATGTTTGGAATGTAAAACGCCTATTACTGGTAGAGGAACGAGAGGTAACTTGCACAAATGTTAATTATCTAGTCTTTGGGTGTTGTCCTTCACTGGCGGGGTGTGGCCAATGTAGCTAAAACTAAAATTTCAAGCTTTCGACGATTCCTAAAATCAATTCACGGCATATCATCTAGATGGTGCTGTGGATCGGCGAAAGTTTGAAATTTTAATATCTACTCCTAACAGAGAAGAGACGGGGTAATTTAGCATTATCATATGAGTTGATAACGTAAATTGACCACCATAAAGAGTTTCAGTGTTGACGTTGCGAGCGCTAACCCTTCTCTCTGACGGAGGGGTAACGACCAACGCAGCACCACAGTTTCTTTAGAAACTTACCTTTTTTAGAGAAGAGACTGACCTAACTTGAACTTTGTTATGAAACCTTCATATTCGTGGTGCTGCGTCAGCGGGAGAGTATAGCAGGTAATTTAGTGTTAACAACTGGGTTGAAAACGTAAATTAGCCACCGTAAAGGGTAAAAAAGCTGACGTTTCGAGCGTTAGCCCTTCGTCAGAGCGATGTGAAATGATGTCAAATGATGTGTCGGGTAATATTGGGTTTTTGATTCTTAATCAGTTTTTATGTTTTGTTGAATTTTATTTGATTTGATTTGGATTACTCTGAGCTTTCGCGAATATCCAGATTTTAAGAGCAAGAAAAAAAGGTTTTGTCAGCGTCTTAATAATGTCATTATTTGATTTGTCTTGGGAGAAATTGGCTGAAAATATCATCAAATTCCATTTGTTCCAACTCTCTTCGCAGATGGTACCCCAATCATTGGAATTAACAACAAGTCCTTGGTCTCGCGATATCAGCAAGTTGAAGCAAAGTTGCGGAAATTGGAGGAATCCGTTGTGTGTTGTATTTGCGTGGAAAGGAAGAAGGACGTCATTTTCCGCTGTGGCCACGGCACATGTCAGTTTTGTGCAAAGCAGCTTAGTATCTGCCATATTTGCCAGAAGCATATTGAGATGAAAATACAAATATTTTAGTTGTGTGTGGTGCCACGGCGGCTTTTTTTTTTTTTTTTTTTTTTTTAACACAATCTACACTATCTATCCATACGCCACGAAAGCTCGTTCGGTGAACAACCACTGCTGAGTGAAATCAGTCTTTTTCCATGTTCTGCAATGTTTAAGATTTACATCAAGAGTCAACGAAATAAGAATAAAAGCGATTCATATTGTGAGCTTCTTGAAAAAAAATCGAGTCAAATCAGGCCATATATTCATAATACAAAATATGTAGAGTTTTTCAGGGAACGAAGAAATATATTAATGAATCAAACGAGTTTAAATTGGGTAATTGAGTGTTATCAACTGAGTTAAAAACGTAAATTGGCCATCATAAAGAGTTGACTAGAGTTAAAAAGGCTGACGTTACCAGTTTATATGCAGAAAATGGAGCTACGCTATTGGTGGAAATATAGTGACGAGAAAACAAGAAGTTAGTTGAACTAGTTGAATAAAAAGCGCTCGTTGATACCGTAGAGATTAAGAGTGTCGATATGGAAGACAAATTTTTATTCCAGATTTTTGCAGCTTTCCGAACTGCCAAGACATAGAGAAAGACCGCAAACTGCTGTTTAGAATGATTAAGGAGATTTAAGCGTCTAAAGACTGGTTTAGATGCGTGCTTATCATTTCTTTCTACGTCGCGAAGGTGTTCTCGAAATCGGTCACCTATCGGTCACCTTAAATCGGTCACCTATCCGTCTTCCTGTTTCACCAATGTATAACTTTTTGCAATAAGTGCAAGTCATGCAGGAAATGAAATTGGCGGAGGTGCACGCAAAGTGATCAGTGATCTTAATGGATCTCTTGAGTCCCGACATTTTCTCTACGTTATGAATGAAAGGACAAGTTTAACAGCGTGAGCGAGGGCATTTGAAAGTTCCAGGTCGGTCATTGGTTTGAAATGAACTTCTGACCATAAAGTTGCTAAGGTTTTTGTCACGTTTGAATGAAACTAGTGTAGGTTGCGAAAAGATAGTACCAGTTTCTGAATAGTTTTGGAATAATTTAAAGTTTTCAAGAATGATAGTTATAACCGCGTGGTTGTGAGGGTGAAATGTGAGAGTGAATGGAATGTGATCAGTGTTTTCCTTCTCAGCCGTTTGTAGTTCTCACTGTCGATTAATTTGTTGGGCACGGTGATGGCCCGCTTGAACGACAGAAATAGGATAGCCACGTTTATCGAAAATTTGGCACATTGCGACAGAATTTTTCGGAAAAAACAGAGTCGTCACTACATAAACAATGAAGTCTGAGAAACCGTAAAAAAGGTATGGAATTCAGAAACAGGATAGCCACGTTTATCGAAAATTTGGCACATTGCCTCTGATTTTTCGGAAAAACAGAGTCGTCACTACCTAAACAACGAAGTCTGAGAAACCGTGAAAAAGGTATGGAATTCTTGACGTGATATGGATGCGAAGATGAATACAACAAGTAACTATGTGAATCTGTAGGTTTGAAGTAAACACTAGTGCATAAACCGTTGCCTTTAATTGAGATTTTGATGTCCAGAAAAGGAATTGACGGCAGCTGTAAGTTAAGTGAGCTCATTCCTCTCTGGCAGAGGAGGTGGAGCCGATGCAGTCGTCAATGTAACGGCCATAGAGTTCAGGTTTTGGGCCGTGGTAGTGACTAAAAAATTGGTGTTCGATAAAACCTACGAAAAGATTGGCGTGGCTGGGTCCCATTTTAGTATCCATGGCTACGCCATTAGTTTGTTTGTAGTAGTTGCCACTGAATGAAAAGCAATTGAGTGTAAGTACTGGTTCGGCTAGACGAATTAGTGTTTCAGAGCTAGGTTCCTTAACAATGTTGATCGAAAAAATGTTTGAGGGCCCGGAAACTTCGTCGTTGGGAATGACCGCCTAAATAGATGTAATATCCCTAGTGGAAATAAGTTTGTTTCGGCCAAGGAAATTAAAGTCACGAAAGATTTCAAGTGCGTGCTGGCTTTCCTTAATGTAAGATAGTAAAGTTTTGACGATAGGTGTCATAATAATATCGTTAAAACTTTACCACCTTTCATTAAGGACAGCCAATATGCACTTGAAATTTTTTAAGTATTTTAAAGATTGTTTAACTGCGCTCTGTTCGACTCATTTTTCGAAAACCCTCATTACTTTATTCCTATGTTAATCACGAACCTGATAAATTGATATTGTCAACAGGTTTCAAAACAGGTTTCATTTGCCGGGACGATGAAAATAGCGATAACAACAACCATTATAGGGAAGCTATGCCGGATGAAAAGTTTACCAAAAACACGCTGATTGAGTATTGCTGCCGGACTGATGGGCACGCCGAAAACGACGTCATCCTGCTCACGGACACGCCGTTCGTGTTGTTCAAATCGAACTCTCGTCAATGTCAGCATGTGCAAGGAATGTGCTGGAAGGAAGAATGGTTCCAATGGGATACCGAGGACTGGTCTTTCTCCGGAAACGAAAACCTGGGATCTGTTCCGTATGAGGAGGTTGGATGGAATATCAAGTTGTATCATTGTTATTATTACAGGTAAACTGAATCGAGGCTACTTGCTCGAGAACTGTTGTTGTTATTTAGTAATAAAGATGAGCAGAAATACGTCATCTACTGGTGTCTTGATTGATTTAAAACTTGGCGTAGAAAAAATAGTTCTTAGAGAGTTCAAGGAAGCTCCGCCATATATGACAGGTGGTTTGTAAGTACAAACGAAAAAAAACGTTACCTTGAAACCTAAACTAGAGCGTCTCAAAAAAGGGTTTGATGTAGGATCCGACTGGGGTGGTGCCAGATAAAAGATACGTGTGTTTTGTGGGTTGGTAAAACTTTGTAAAACACTCAGCTTTGGTCGTTAATAACGAGATACCCTTGTTTTGACTCTTCGGCGTTCTTTGAGAGAGTCTTATTTGTCACTCAGCAAAGGTCTCAGTACAAATACAATGAAAACTTTCCTTCTTGCCAAAATAAGTGAAATACATTTAAAGCATTAAAAGCAGGTTTAGCAGGTGCAGAATGGATGTTAGACCGCAATCAAATGTATCAACCAATTTTCAGGATTTTATGTCAGATCCCTTTTATTTTCCATGTTTTCTACTCTGCAATATTTTACTTTTCAATTTTTGGTTTATAATTCTGAGAACTGTAAAGCAAACGACCCTCCGAGATCTGTAGATTTCTTCGCTGAATTCGAACTTCCAAATTATACAAAGATATCAAAATATTGTGCGAATGAAATTGTTGCAGAGAAGTGGAGATAAAGTAATTTTTTTCATCATACCCAATCCACGCAATACTTTTTAAATAAATGTCGTAATCCACACAGAGTGTATTCATCAGTCCCTATCTGTTTCTTCATGTCCACTCCTAATCCTATTTCAGATTCTCTAAAATTACCATAACAAGAAACGCAAGGTGACGCAACTTTTAGTTAACCAATAATGTGTCCTGAATGATGTGTTGGGGGATCCCCGACAGATGCGGTAATGAATTTCGTATTCTAGGAATGGTATGTTGCTTATATTAGCATTTTATCGCCAATGCAGCATTTTATTTTCTTTACAGCCTCAATCGGCAACTGTTCTCACTGATACATCTTGATTCATTTTAGAATTGAGAAGAGAACTTGTTAGCTTTGTGTGAAACCGGCAGAAGAGTATTGAATCGCAATCATCCAACGACTGTTTCACCAAACAGGAACATTTCTGATGCAATATATTTGCTTCTCCGTTATTTAGAAAATGAAGAGATCACGAGATGGTTCCATCAGATCTAGTCGTTATAAACGTGATAAGGAAAATCCTGGTACAACTATGACAATAAATCTTCTAGGCACCCGAGTTGTTCGTGGTCAAGATTGGAAAGGGGAAAACCAAGATGGCGGAGAAGGTTTTGTAGGTACAGTAGTTCAAGCCGGACATGAAAAGAAGTCGCCTGTGACAGCACAGCTTGTTTACGTACAGTGGGATTGTGGAGGGAAGCACGACTATAGGGCTGGAATCGAAGGGAAACACGATCTTCGTGTTTTTAGTCTCACAAATGGTGGTGAGTGACGATTTTAGTTTCATGTTGTTTATCTTACCTACTAAATGGCAATATTTGCTCAGATTCATCCAAACAACTCTAGCTGTGTATTATATTCCTTAAAGAAGATAAAATGCAATCTCAACAGTTCTGTTAAGAAACAAATGGTGCGACAATGTCGATGAAATTGATTTTGACACATAAACAATAGGTTTAGAAACCATGCGGACTTAAATTGAGCCGGAAAAATCATTGGACTTTTCACCGGAGTTGACAACCTTGACAACGGCGAGCCTCGTTTTAAATTTTATACTTTCTCACTAAATGCTTCCCTTGCAAAATTTTAGGTCGTCAAACTTTTCGATTGACGCTTTGTCTTTTATTTCACATAAGTTTATTTGCATACAGCTCGAACTCTCAGACCACGGTTTTTTTTATATGACTTGTTATGTATAACATTACTTCATAATACACTGTATGCAGATTTCTCACACATCAGCTTGGTTACTAAGCTATGTTACAGCGTGATTCTGTTGTGTCACAAAAAGGTGCGTTCACCTTCCCACAAACCCAGAGCTATATTATTAAGTCAGACAGCTAGTTATTGAAACAAAGCGTGAAAGAAGTTTGTTGTAAAATGACCTCGAAAGACCTTGGCCTTGATACATTGAGTCTTCCTTGTTCTCAAAGAACTTCAACTTATTATCGACGTGACATGGTTTGATGCTATTCTGGTTTAAATATTTAATTAATGTAACCGAGAAGTATATCGGACAGAACAAACGTCAGTTTGGTACACGTTTGAAAGAGCATCAAAAAGCGGTCTTCTTTCGCGAAGAAAGAAAATTCAGCTTCGTGGCAGCACGCATGCCTAATCAACCATACAATTGGGTGGGATAAGTCTAAAAAATATCACCACTAATCGATGTTACCATCAGCGCCTTTGGAAGCTCTGCCCACGCTCCTTCAAGTCGTGATGATGGCGGCTTACTACCAGACGCCTATTTACACCTCGTCAAAAAAAGGGCAGCTAATATTAGTGGGCTTATAAAAGGACCTCTTGTTGCAGCGATTAGATCACCCCTGATGAAGGCACTACACAGGAGTGCCGAAACATTGGGTCTATGAATTGTAACTTCTCGGTTACATTCATTGAGTCTTTAAACCAGAGTGACATCAAACCATGTCTGATTGTCCACTTGGTTGCCATGTGAACTTTAATATATCTTGTTATCAACGTGTTTAACTTATTGATTAAGGTGGCCGAACACTATCGCTACCAGGAAAGCAAAACTAGCAATATCAAAAGGTTTCCCTTTATGTCTGATACATTCTCAACGATGCTTCCGGCTCAGTCTCAAGTATTATCGATTTATGCACGTGTCTCACTCTTGCCGTTAGAAAAAAGGTTTTATATAAAAGATCAGTAAACAGTTAGTCCGCATTCTTTGGGATGTCAACTAACGCTTCCCAAGCTCCCCACCCCACCCCACCCCACCCCACCCCTACCCCCCTCCAAAAGAAAAGGCTCAGGAGGTAGAGATTTCAGTAATATTATAAAATAAGCTGACAGGGAGACTAATCAACAGCTCAATATCATAACATGCTTGGGCCGTACAAACTCTGCAAACCTACGGGCCAACTTTTCCTTTACAAGTGTTAATAGAATTCATCGTACAAAGTCGTGTAGCCACCAGACATCTTTTGCAATTTCCGTTTGTAGTAAAAAAATATTGGGTTTTTTTTGAGAACGAGTGAAACATTTCCGGTATTTTCGGAAATCTTTGTGTTTTGTTCGACGTAGACAGACACAGAAGGATATTGTGTACTAGGGACGGAACTGTGATGCTAAGAACAACTGTGAATCTATGAATATCATATATTTAAACCACAGATTAATAAATGAAGATGAAAGTGATCATAGCATGCTTAGTTGTGAACATTTCTGTTTAAGTAGTGTTCATCACGGCGAAGATTACTCTCGTCTTCATTTGGGATGCCGAGGCATACCACTTCACTCCTAAACGTAAGGTGTCACGCTAGTTCATGTTCTGATTGCCTCGTCCATTAGACGGGAAACATCTATTTACTAGCTGCGATGGTTGTAAAGAAGATCCTATCAATGGACTGCGCTGGCACTGTTTAGATTGTCCCAACTATGATCTGTGTAGCAAGTGTTACATGAACGATGTCCATGATGTCAATCATCGCTTTGAACGATTCCACAAGAGTCGCGCCAAAGGGTAAGTTGTCAAATGAACAAGTCAGTGCCCTGTGTGTCCATGTAAACCCATCGATGCAAAAAGTGCTCCATTGTCTTTCATCAAATTAACGTTCATTATCTTTTGCCAAAGCAAAACGTTATTTTCTGTCAGAAATCGATTGTAGATAACTTTAATATGTCTTATTATGTAACATTGCATTATCTATTAAGTTTGGTTTCTTTCTCTTTTGTTTCTCCTTTTTTTTTCAATGAAAATTGACTTCAAATGAAAAAAGGATCAGCTCGAAGACCCCTCGGTTCCTCTAGTGCTCCAGCCTCTGGGCTCCAATGGTGATTTAACAATTTTTCTTACAAATAATCATCTTACTTCGATTTAACAACATTTTTGTGAGCAATTAAATATTTTTAGTTTTATTTTTTTTTCGAGGTAAAATTTATGTTTTTCACCAGTAGAAGAAAACAAAGAATATCAACCGATATTCTCTTTAAGAGTATTAATGAATTATATATTCAATTGCGTCATCTGATGTAAATTAACAGCATCCCCGTTGGCAAAAGGCAAGGCGCCACTAAGCTTGAAGCCCACGGAATGTTTAAAGGAGCAAAAGTAACCAGAGGACCAGACTGGGAATGGAAGGAACAGGATAGCCAATCTCCTATGGAAGGCCAGGTTACTGAGGTCACCAGCTGGAGTGACGAGACTAATAATGATGCTGTGCGAGTGAACTGGAACAAAGGACCGAGGGGGAACGTTTATAGATTGGGAACAAATGGAAAGGTGACGTGGGCTAATGAATTACTGCTTTATTATTATTATCATCAGTGCCATCATTATTGCGAGCTCTAGAAGAGCCTGCAACCTCTTTTACACGCCATATCTCGATTTTGGGGCAAAATTGTTGTGCCAAAATTGATCGATAAATCCTCGTAAACTAATCAGAATCCATTTCCATTCGAACAAGAATATTTTAAGAGATGGCCGCCGCGTTGGCCAGTGTACTCGATTTTGAAAGCCAAAGCCTAGCCTAGCCCGCACTTTCTAACCGTTGGTTATTTCTAGTTACTATTATTATTATTATTATTATTATTATTATTATTATTACTATTATCGGTTTCATAAAAATAATGATAATTAGTAGTAGTAGTAGTAGTAGTAGTAGTAGTAGTAGTAGTAGTAGTAGTAGTAGTAGCACTAGTTGTAGGAGTAGTGAAATACATTGTTGTTAATTATAGACAGGGATTCAATTGATTAAAGTTGTTTCTGTTTACCTTATCGCTACTATATCTTGAGAATAGTTTCATCTTTGGAACTTCTAACCCTATTTTACATCTCGAACATCTTCCTACGCCGTTTCAAGAACTCTAGAACTTAATTCAACCACAACTTGAGACTGGGTCACTTTGGTAAACTCTTGCAGTCAAAAAATCCCACACAAAGAATACCTTCACTATACTTCTATTTCCTTCCAACTGGTAGGTTGACCTCAAGTGTATTTCGCCAGCTGTAGGAGGATATTATTACAGGGATCACTTACCACTGCTCACAATGCAGATAAGAAAATCCAAAAGTGGGTTTACGACTGGTGACAAAGTCTACCTTCAGAAGCTTGCGGTAGGAAAGCTTCAGGAGTTATCCGCTGGTCATGGGGGATGGAACGCAGACATGGAACGGGTTCGTTTGGGACTCGTTTATATTTTTGTTTTCAAAATTCACGGACTCATATCACTATCTAAAGCACCTAAAAACATTTTAATGTTTAATCTTTTTGGTCTGATTTGAGGCTCAAAAATTCTGAAAGCCCTAGTATTCAATTCCTAATAAGGAGAAATTGGCCCTCCCCTCTGAGAGTACAATGTCATTTGTCTCTTGCATATCCTCTTAAATTTAAGCCAATTCAGTAAAATGTCGTTAACAACATTTAAGAAACAGTCTACTTGCATCCACAGTATACAGGAAAAATTGGAGTCGTACAAGATTTCACAACCAATGGTGACGTTGTTGTAGAGTATTGCGACATAAGATGGCGTTACAATCCAGCAGCTTTGACAAAGGTAATGCTAACCCAATCATCTGTCTCGCCAATAACTTCTTACTTCAAATTAACTTCAAATTCGTTAACTATATCTGGGTTATGAGAGAGCCCTGATTTTTTTTTTAATTGTCGTAAACATGGGCATCAGGTTTAATAGATGAAGTGGCTTGGTTGATAAAGAAATATCCTACATAAGTTAATTATGTCAAAATTTGTATGGTTTGTTCAAAGTTAAAACACTCACAATGTGTTAAATTTGTGACTGCACACAATGGACGCCATGTGATTACTGATAATTTAAAGCATCATCATTCGATTAACTGGCCAGCAGGAATCAGTGATATGGAGTGGGACAGGAAACGCTCCAAGAGCTAGCTAAAGGACATTCTACTGTCAAATATGTATATGTATTTCTTTCACCCAGATACAAAAATTTAAGCAAGGCGATGAAGTCGTGGTTAAAAGTGATGAGAACTTAGTCAAAGAGCTCCAAAAAGAACATGGAGGATGGAGCGACTCTATGATATCGGTAAGTTTAATTCTTTGAAATTTTTTCTTATACTTTCTCGTTTTTAGTTTGGTTTTCATCGTAGGCTTTCACCTGGACGTAAACGCAAACTCCTTTGAACATGTGCGGGAGCTAAAAATGTAAACTAAAAGAAGATAGATGAGTAAAGGCTACAACTCCGGAGCTAATTATACGTGTACCTCCAAAAACTATTTTAAACAAGATAATATCCTATTTTATTCCATTTGTAGATCCTTGGTCGTATTGGAAAGGTATTGGAAGTTGATAGTGATGGTGGCGTTTTAGTGTCAGTAGAAGGCACCACATGGATGTTGAGCCCGGCTGCTGTGACGTCTGTCACTGACCCAGACCCCCAGCAGTCAACAGAGGCTGGTGACATGGACAGCGAAGATTCCTTAGGTACAAAGTTATGGCACACGTGTATTGAAAGCCCTAGTAAAAATGGCCAGTCTAGGTCAAAAAGAGTAAAACCTGTGAGGCGCATGAAAACGACAGTGACTAAGTCGCGATTAGTTTCAGCTTTGCATCCAATTTACTGAGAGGATGACTCGAGTTTTCTCGACCACTCACAGAGCGAGATCAACAATTTAACGACATTTATGTCACTCAATCGAAAACTGCCCTGAGAATTGAGAAGAAAAATTGCACGACAGCACGGATCATAAGTAAAAATTCCGGAATTTTGTCTCCTCACCATTGCTGTTTTCTTTTTCTCCAGCGCCTTTCAGTCGCTTAAGAGACTTCTTAATTCAAGCCCATGAACATGAGGACCCTGGCCTCGTGAATGCTGCAAGAGGTAACAACCTCTCAGGACTTAAGGAAATCTTGGATGCTAACCCAGAACGGGTACTTTTTTTTTTTATTCCTTTTACTCCTGCAGATAGTATTTACAAGTCTGAACAGTTTTCTTAAATCAAAGCAATATGAGAAATATGAGCATGAGAAGACAGCTGTGTAATTTAGGTTTTAGTGAATATCCTTTTACTAAAAAGGATATTTTTTAAAACTTCTAGAATCAAATTTGAATTTGGTGGCGTTTAAGAAAATATGACATGATCAAGGATTTGTCTCTTTTTGTTCTTCACAGATTGATGAGCTAGCAGATGGTCACACAGCTCTTCATGTAGCATGTCACCAGGGGCATTGTGACATTATTAGAGAATTGCTTGAGAGAGGAGCTAACATGGATATACTGGTGTGTAGTGTCTTTTTAATTTATTTTTATCATTACTGTTATTTTTTGCCCCGTTAAAAATTATTGAAATTGCCAGTGCTGCACGAGAAGGATAACAAAGAGACACATGATCGACAAGCTTAAGCTGTTATTTTGACATGCTCGTATTCTATTTATCTAAGTGTTTCAGTGGTGAAACCTTCACCATACACTTTTATTTATTCAAAATACAGGATGATGAGGGATACACAGCCATGCATCACTCTACGCACCAGTAAGTTGACATAAAAAGAAGTAATTTTAAGTTAGCTGGTCAAACTTATAATTCGATTCAGAGATTACTTTAGTTTTGTTTTCCTTCGCCAAAAGATTCCTTTCAAATACTTTAGCCATCCTCTCAGCCAATTGAATAGAAAAACAAAGAACGAAAACCACTGAAAATGAAGTAACTTTTGCCGTGCTTAAATTTGACAGCATGTGATTGCTCTTCATGTTGATGTATCCACCAAAATATTATTGCATGTTCTGATTGGCTCTGATTGCTTAGCTTTTGGTTTTAAGACACTTTCGGGAGTCAACGCAAACCATCCGCATGTTATTGCTACTATATGTTTTCCTTTATGACAGTCACGTGAACATTCTTAGGAAAGCAGAATAAGTTACCTCTTAAGTTAAACTAAAATGCATAAATGCCCGATGTTTTGTTCAACTTATATCCTTGTAATCATTCAGAGACGAAAGCGGTAATGCATTGAAACTGTTACTGGAGAAAGGCTTTCACCCAAATGTTCAAAGCAGCAGTGATAAGAGCACACCCTTACATTCGGCTGTGCGAAGGAAAAACGAAACGGCAGTACAGATCCTGACACAGTGGCCTGAGTGTGACGTCAATCTACAGGTTCGTTGGTTCCTTTGAAGATATCAGTTCTCCTTTGAATACAAATTCCCGATACCCTCTCGACTGTCCGACTAACTCGGCAAACATTGCACATATTATTAAGACGCATTTCGTTGTAAAATTTAAAACTAAATTGCCCTTTCTTATTTTAAACGTACATGAAAAGTGTATGACCGGCCATTGGAAAGTCTTAAGACTCAACTGTTTTGGCTGCTGAACTGGACTATTTGACAATTGCACCCATTCTTGATGTTTTCATCCCACCATTTTCGTGCTCAAATATACTACTACCCAAGCAGCCAGTCGGTAAAACAAAGTGGAGAGGCACCATGTGACCCCTAACATTACGCTTGACCATTTCAGGACGAGGCAGGTGATACCCCTCTCCATGATGCCATCCAAGCTGAACACCACAACGTGGTGAATATGCTGTTAGACTGTCCAAGAATTTGTTACACTGTTTGTAACGGACAAGGTTTCAATTGTCTTCAACTCGCTGTTTTGAAAGGAAATAAACGGTAACTATGCCAAAAACAATTTTATCGATCACCATTCAGTTTGACAGCTTAATCAGAGTAAGGGTACGACAGCCAACTGATTCAGGTGCATGGCCTCTGATGGATCAATAGTACCCAGACCTGAGGAATAGTTTTTAAATAATCGTCGTAGTTTTCGAGACTTATGGGTCATACTTGCTATCAACGGGAATCTAAGCTTACACGTAAACTAAGGTCTAGCATGAAATTCATGATCTTCCCAGGTCGTTGGTCATCACTTGGCCTAGTTTTCATGTAATTTGGACAATTGGGACGATGAGTGATCAAGAGGAAACCAGACCAAACATCAGTTACAAAATTACTTTTATGTTGTTACCTATATTTGCTTTGACATTCAGTGCAACATAAATCTATTGTGTCATTTATTCACAGCGCCGTGGAAAGAATTTTTGCCAAAACCGGGAATTCCTTGAATGTTGTCCAAAGTCATGGGTTTACGACCCTTCACATTGCAGCAGTGAATGGTCATCATGAGGTTGCGAAGATTATTTTAACGAAGGTAACTAAAAAAATTTACCGATTTTCCCCCGTTTTCTTTTTATTTTTATTGGTTTGCAAGACTTCCTGGGTGGTTAAACCACTTCAACAGATAGGAAAGAGTGTCGACTATGTTCAATCTCGGTATGGAATATGACTTGCTGCGTGTGGTTAGTTGAGATATTCGGCGCTACTTTTACTTCTATTCTCCAATTGTAAGAACAAAGAAAAAAAGCTGTCATTTACATTTACGGTCAGTTCACTGCGAAAAATTGATTGCTATAGGGCTTACGTACAGGTTTTGCGCTGGTCAAGTGGCTCACCACCAAACTGATATCCTTGTTTCCCGCTCGTTATTAAACAAATCTTTTCCGTTTGAGATGCTACTCCATCATTGCATACTCCGTGTAATTCCGTCAGGATGTCCTCTCCTTGGCAGAGAAAGGGGCTAAGGAAAGTTTCCTGCTTTAGAACACAACACAGTGACCCAGGCAGATCTTAACGGTAAACAACCCGGGTCTGAAGTCCAGACTGCTAACCGTCAGGCACTGTGTATTCTTCTTAACGTCAACTTTAACTACAGTCTACAAAACCTTTAGAATAATCAATCTAAATTCTTACTGATAAAGATATTTTGATAATGAGAGGATATTTTTTATTTAACAGCCAGGGTGTGAGGTCGATGCTCTAAACCTTTACAATCAGTCGGCACTTCATTTAGCCGCCAATGAAGGGTACTCAGTCATGGTAGAAATGTTGTTGGACCATGGAGCCAATGTGAATGCAGTGGATAATGACGGAGGCACGGCGCTTCACATCAGTTTAATGAGGGAACTACAGAGTAATCCGGGAGCAATGGTAAATGGGTAGCTTCATAAAATACCGTGCTATGAGCCTGTTCTAGCGTTCAGTCAGTAAATCAAAGGTCGATAGCAAACAGCGCTGTAGTCGCGGAGGAGTGATGGGGTCAGGTCACGTATACCTTAGCCTTTTCACTCTTCCGCTACTATGAAGTCTTTGACCATTACGCTCTGGTTTGCCAACTGAACGCCTGGAACAGGCCAACAAGCTGTCGAAGGAGACATTGTATATTTCATCTCTCTTTTTCTCCCCTTCAGCATGAGAGGATTAGCAATGTAAAGTAATCATAACATAGATGGTTAGGCATGTGTCGTGGCCTTTACCAGGCCGTTTAAAGGCAACTCCAATATGAGCTCATGTGTCGATCGCATCAGTTTAGACAATGATACTGTTGTGAAGTAAAGTTACTGCTATCATGTTTTCTTGCTTCAAGCGATGCTGCTTTCTAACTTCGTAAAAACCACTAAGCGAGGAACGTAGATAGACAAATAATTTTCACCATCAACCACACCTTTGAAAAATAGCGCACTCGGTTAACTTTGCTATGACCTCGTTGTAGTAAAATGATCTCAAACAGGTTCTCACACTGCTTGCAATAAGTACAACTGATGTAAAGGGAAAGGTGATCAGTTGGTTCTTTGTTAGTGTCCTTGGCCTTCTACACGAAATAGTTGTTTTATTTAGCCTGGGCTGGAGTTACTGCTTTCTGCACGACAGTGCAGTGCGTCCTTTGTCGCTGTATCACGCTGCTTGTTAAGCTATGGAGCCGACGTGTTGAAAGTCAATGACTTAGGGGAAACACCACTGGACAGATGTCGAGGATCAAAAGTTGAGCAACTCATTCGGGAGATTGCAGCCTGTGGAGGGTAATCAAATGCTTTTGTGTATTTTTCGATATCTGTACACCTTTCTACGTTATAATAGAGCGGGTTCGCTAGTTTCTCGCTTTTTATCCTGGTAACACAAAATTTGACCGTGGCTAAAAACATCCCCCGCGTAGTCTCTGTGTCTCTTGCCTGAATCGAAGGCACATCGCTAATGTTACCGTATAATCTAACCGACAGAAAAACACTACAATACAAAAAAACTCAAACTTCTTTATTAAGCAACGAGTAATATTCTTAATAAGGAGAGACTTCTAAAGGCAGTACAGTACTTATTCTCGATAAACTTACTTAAACCCAATACAGCCTATATCTTAGCTAACCACCGACCCAAACTCTGAGATTCCTCCAACGTTTCTTGAAATTACCAATCTTCCATTGTAGTTCTCTCTCACGGTATAGCTTTCTAAACAGTCCTTATACACATTCTCAAAGTGTTCTGGAACATTCCAGAAGCTTAAAAAAGAACTATTCTAGTAGTATTACTGTAGATTTCTAGAAGCTTATATTCACAACAAAAATTACTCATAGCACTAACAAGGAGACAAATATTCAGTCCAAAGGATGCCGCGTGAATTAAGGCCTTTTCTGTGCATGTGGAAACTGCTTTTACATGATATCTAAGTAAAATGATACTTTGCTTATCAACTGTAGGACCACACACAACAAGAAAGTTCCAAGTTTTGATTCCTTGAGCGGGTCGCAAAAGATGGAAAGTGAAGACACTAAGGTAGGCGAAATAGCTGAAGGTGTATGGCAAGAAATAACCCTGGTGTAAAATATACTGTCCAGAGAAAAACGCATTGTGTCGCGTTAAAAGTTCAAAAGGACTTCTAAAAGCACTGTAGCTGTACCATTTTGTATCAGGAAGGAAAAAAACTACAACGAGGACGAACCTAATACGTTTAGTTGTCTTTCTGTAACAACCACACTATAAGAGGTCTAACGCGCTCAATCGTTCATTAACAGGCGGACATCGGCCTCGTGAATGCTGCACAAAACAACAACCTCTCAAGACTCAAGGAAATCTTGGATGCCAACCCAGAACGGGCACGTTTTTCTTTCATCCCTTTGACTTTTATAGATAGTATTTACAAGTCTCAACAGTTTTCTTAAATCAAAACAATACGAAAAATATGAGCATGAGAAGAGAACTGTATAACTTAGGTTTTAGTAAACAGTGATAACTAAAAGGATACTTTTTAAAACTTCAAGAAAAAAAATCAATGTAATATCAATTCATGATTTAGAATCAAATTTGAATTTGGTGACATTTAAGAAAATTTGACATGAGCAAGGCGTTTTTTCGTTCTTCACAGATTGATGACCTAGTGGGTGGTCACACAGCTCTTCATGTGGCATGTCGCCAGGGGCATTGTGACATCATTAGAGAATTGCTTGAGAGAGGAGCTAACATGGATACACTAGTGGGTGATTTTTTTTTAAACTTTTTTTTTTATTACTGTTATTTTTTGCTCCGTTCAAAATTATTGCCATTAGGGGGATAACAAAGAGACACAGGATCGACATGTTTAGGTTATCATTTTAACATGGTCATATTCTATTTATCTCAGTGCTTCAGGAGGGGAGCCTCCTTAATCATACACTTCAATTTTTCTCAAAATACAGGATAATCAGGGATACACAGCCATGCATCACTCTGCTTACCAGTAAGATGACCGAAATATTATAGTAATGTTAAATTAGCTGCGAAACTGAGAAATCTAAAATTTCTTTAGTTTTCCTTTCCTTCTCAGTGCGATTGCTTTCGAAATCTTCCGCCATCCTGTCAACCAATAGGATAAAAAAAAACGAAACCACTCACAATAAAGTAACTTTTTCTTAGCATATGTTTGTTGTTATTGTTTATTTATCCATTTATCAACCAAGATATTCATCTTTGTTCTGAGTGACTCTAATTACTTTGGCTTCGGTTTAAAGACAACCTAACGCGGACCACTTTCATGTTATGGTTCCTGTCTGTTTTTTTGTTGTTGTTGTTTTTTTTGCTATTTTCTTTTTTTTTAGGACATAGGAAATCCTTAAATAAATGGAGAATTTCTAAAATTCCTGATGTTTTTATTGCACATGTATCCTTATGATCATTCAGAGGCGAAAGCGGTGAAGCATTGAAACTGTTACTGGAGAAAGGTTTCGACCCAAATGTTCAACATAGAGGTAGTAAGAACACACCCTTACATTTGGCTGTGAAAAGGAAAAACGAAACGGAAGTACGGATCTTGACACAGTGCCCTGAGTGTGACGTCAATCTACAGGTTCGTTGGTTCCTTGGTAGAAGATAACAAACTTATGATGCATTCTCGACTGTCCCACCAAACTCAGCAAACATTGCATGTGATATTAGACGCATGTCATAGTCAAATTTAAACCTAGTTTGACTGTTCGTAAAAACATGAAAAATCTCAAATCGGTCAATAGAAAGGCAGAAAATCTAATTGTTTCAGCTTTGCTTAAATTCACATATCTCCGCACCGGACTATTATGACATTTGCTTCAATTTTAGACTTTTTCATCATGTCATTTTTGTAATGAAATATACTGCTACCCAAGCTTCCGGTCAAAATAATGTACAAGAAAGTCGAATGGTAGTAGGTGACTCCTGATATAAGGCTTTCACTCATTTTCAGGACGAGGCAGGTGAGGCCCCTCTCCATCATGCCATCCTCCTACAACACAACAGCGTGGTGGATATGTTGTTAGACTGCCCAAGAACTTGTTTCACCCTCTGTAACAGAGGTTACAATTATCTTCAATACTCTGTTTTGAAAGGAAATAAACGGTAACTATGCCGGAAATGTTCATATCACTACTCAGTTAGACAGCTTAATCAGAGTTAGCGTACGGTAGTCAACTGATTCAGGTGTTAAGCATCTGAACACTGAATGATATACCCACATGCGAGGCCTAGTTTTCAACTGGTAATTTAGTGTTAACAACTGAGTTGAAAACGTAAATTGAACACCGTAAAGAGTTTAAAGGCTGACGTTTCGAGCGTTAGCCCTTCGTCAGAGCGATTGGAGGAATATGCAGAAATGCAGCTATGCTATTGGTGGGAATATGGTGCAGAGAAAACAAGAATGAATTAATAAAAGCTAAGTTTTTCGTTTGTTTCACGATGTAGTCACGTGTGATGTAGATCGCGACGTTTCGACTGCATACTGCTAGTCTTCTTCAGGCGTTCAAGTTAAGTTCAAGTTATGGAGTAAATGACACTGGCGGAGTTACACGTAAAGTGATCAGCGATCTTAATGGATCTCTTGGGTCCCGAAATTTTCTCTACGTTATGAATGAAAGGACAAGTTTTGCATCTTGAGCGAGCGCATTTGAAAGCTTCAGATTGGTCATTGGTTTGGAATGAACTTCTGACAAAAAGTTGCCAATGTTTTTGTCACGTTTGAATGAAATTGGTGGGGGTTACGAAAAGATAGTACCAGTCTCTGAATCGTTTTGGAGTAATTTAAAGTTCTCAAGAATTATAGATTTAAAAGCGTGGTTGTGGGGGTGAAATGTGAGAGTGAATGGAATCCGATCAGTGTTTTCCTTCTCACGCGTTTGCAGTGCTGACTGTTGATCAATCTGTTGGGCATGGTGGTGGCCGATTGAACGACAGAAACAGGATAGCCACCTTTATCGAAAAACTTACAGGTTGCCTCTGATTTTTCGGAAAAATTAGAGTCGTCACTAGTTTTCAACTGATCGTCGCAATTTTCGAGACGACTGCAAATGGGACATACTTGCCATCATAACAAAGCTTATGTGACTCTGGCCCAACTGGAAGTTCATGGTCTTCCAGCCGTTAGGGTCGTTAGCCTGGTTTTCATATGATTTTGACAATTGGAGAGATCTGAGTGATCAGGAGGAAACCAGACCTAATCTCAGTTACAAAATAATTGTTATGCTGTTACCTAAGTTAATCGCTTTGACATGCAGAGTATCCTAAATTTTTTTTTGTCATTTATTTGCAGTGCGGTGGAAATAATTTTTGCCAAAACCGAAAATTCCTTGAATGTCGTCAAAAAGGATGGATTTATATTTACGACACTTCATATTGCAGCAGCTAACAATCGCTGTGAGATAGCTAAGATCCTTTTAAGGAGGGTAATTCATCTAAATTTGTTCCAATTTTTTTTTCGTGTAAGACTCGTTGTGTGGTTTAAACTGTCTTAAAGAGTTTTTAAAGAGTGTCACTTGTGTGCAGTCCAATACGGAGTATGGCTTTTTGCGCTTGGTTAGTTGGGATGATAACCACTAAATAAGTATTACTATTACACCTATTCTTCCCCTTTAAAAACTAGGATCAAGAGTTGACGTTTTAGCGGTTCGTTGCCAATAATTGATTGCTAAAAGGCTTATGTGTAGGTTTTGGACTGGTCAAGTGTCCCATACCAACAAATGTGTTTCCCGCACATTGTCCAACAACCCCTTTTTGGTTGAGCTGCCACTCCATTATTGTATGTCCCATGAAATTTCATCAAAAATGTCCTCTCCTGGCCAGAGGGAGGTGCGTATGAAGGCTCTTGCTTTAGAGCAAAACACAGTGACCTAGGCAGATCTGAACGGTAAACAACCCGGGTCTGGATTCCAGACTGCTAACCGTCAGGCCACTGCGTATTCTTCTCATTTACAACTTTAATAAAAGTTTACAAGATGTTTTAAATAATGGATCTGAATGCTTACTTATAAAGGTACATTAATGATGATAGAATATTTTTTCATCTAACAGCAAGGATGTGAGGTCAATGCTCCAGCTGCTAAAAATTGTTCGGCACTTCATTTAGCTGCCTATAAAGGGTACTCGGTCATGGTGGAACTGTTGTTGGATCACGGCGCCAATGTGAATGCAGTGGATAATGATGGAAATACGGCGCTTCATATCTCTTTAAAGATGGAAAAAATACAGAGATGTATGGGATTAAAGGTAAAGAAGTTCACAAAGCTTAACCAGTTGAGTTTTTTCTGCCTTTTAGCGTGAAAAGATAAGTATCGCAAAGTATTAATGAAATGATTTGGATGGTTATACATGTGTCGTCCCTTTGAGGTTTAAAGGCTTCTCAAAAATTAGCTTTTGTGTTGTTCACGTCGGTTTAGAAAATGATGCTGTTGTGAAGTAAAATAAATGCAATTTTATTTCTTCAAGCGATGTTGCTGCTAAACTTCGTAAAACCGACCAATTAAGGAACTTAGATAAGCAAAGAATTTCTAGCATAAACCACATCTTTTGAGAATCGTCATCCCAGTTCATGACCTCGCTGTATTACAATGATCTCAAATAGATTCTTACACTGCTTGAAATAAGTGCAACTGATATAAAGGGAAAGGTCATCAGTTGGTTCTTTGTTAGTGTCTTTGACCTTCTACACGAAATGGTGTTGTTTTATTTTAGCTTGGTCTGGAGTTACCTCTTGGTGTACGAAAGAACAATGTGTCCTTTGTCGCTGTATCACGCTGCTTGTTAAGCTATGGAGCTGACGTGTTGAAAGTTAACGGCTCAGGGGAAACACCGCTGGACAGATGTCGAGGATCGGAAGTTGAGCAACTCATACGGGAGATTGCAGCCTGTGGAGGGTATTCAAATGCTTTTGTATATTTTTTAATGTCTACATGTATATACCTTGCTTCCAAAACACCAATATTCCGATGACATTTTATCCCGATCACGAATAAGAGCATCCCCGCGTAGTCTCCGCATCTCTCGCCTAAGTTTAGTCCGAAGGATTTCAACTGAATGAAGGCTGTTTCGGCGTGGAAATTCCTTTAATATATATGATATTAAGCCAAAAAATTGTACTTTGCTTAACAACTGTAGGACTACACACAACAAGAAAGTTTCAAGTTTTGGGTTATCGAGCGATTCGGAAACCGAACCGAAATTAGATAATGCTTCATATTCAGCAGTTGAGGCGACACAGACAGGTGAAACTGTAAATCAAACAGATAGTACCAGTAGCGCAGATGAGGAAGAAGATACTATTTTACGGCGCGTAATAAGTGACTCGTGCGGATCAGATTCAGAGGAGACGTCAGACGAGATGGAGAGTGAAGACGTTCAAGAAGGCGAAACAACTGAAAGTGTATCACAGGAAACGGTCCTGGTGGAAAATGCAATGGTGGAAGACGCATTGTGTCAGGTGAAAAGTTCATGCGCTCATGTGTTCAAAAGCACTTCTGTGGTACCATTTCATATCAATAAAGAGAAATTACAACGGGGATAATCCCTAGACATATATTCTGGAAGCACCATAAGAAGTCTGACCCCTCAATCGTTTATTGCTTTTAAACCATCTGTTTACGTTTTTCATCTGTATTAGTTATGACGATGGTTTTCTCGGATACTGTACATAATAGTGCCAAAATATGACTCTTACTTGGTGTAGAAGACACAGTATACGTCACACTATTGTTTTCATTGTTTTCTTATTCCCAGTTGTGATGAATCTATACTGTTTCTTCTACAACAAGTAGAGCCCAGAATATTTCAAGTCTTCTATTTTAGACGGAACGGTTGTTGGGGGTTTTTCGACCATCTTTCTTACATTCATTTTGATACGATAGCCGGTTAAGTGATTCTACAGTGACGTCATTATTTTTCATCATATTACTGTATATGAAGCTTGATTAGTGAACGATTAGTTGAGTTAGTGAACGCACGTGCTTGGATATTATCCTGAGAACTAGAGCCGCAAATGTTGATATGTAAATTCTTTTTTTTTTTTTCGCTTTTCAATATCCTGTTACGTTTCTAAGTACATCAAATCAATTAGGGTTTTGTGATTTATTTTCCGTTGACCTTTTGCTTTATATGGAAAATAAGAGAATAACATAAATGAGTGCGACAACGAGCGTTTATTGAGTTTATCCAAAACAATCATAAGGGCGTTACCCTTCAAAATTCTCTTTCGGAAATACCTCTCTGTTCTAGATAAAAAAAAATGGCTCGTTACTAGACTAAAATGCTCCATTAGTTCTACCTTTTTGGTATAAACTCTCTTAAATCTATAGTTTATCAAAGAAATTGAGCTCATTTGATTTTTTTGTTTACAAGGAGAATGAGGTTTTGGAAGTGACTAATATGGTTGAAGTGGAAACCTGGGCCTCAGACATCTCAAACAACAGCGTCGTTCAACCTGCTGAAATGGCAGAGAATAACACCAACACAGAAATGGACGACAGCGAGGGCGTAACATCACAACCAGCAGACGACGATGTCAATATGGATCAGGAGACAGAAAATGAAGAAAAAAATCCATCGACACCTGATGATCAAAAAGTGTTGTGTTGCATATGTGAGGAGACTGAGGCTGTTGTTGCATTCAAACCCTGTGGCCACACTGTTGTATGCATAGGTAGCTCTACTTTTTGTTTTAGTTGTTGTTCTTTGTTCTGCGTTAATCGCTCAAATTTTAAGTGAGCATAGTCTCCAAGTTTGAAATCATTCAAGCGTCGTTCATAGAAAATTGCTTCGAAAAAGAAAGCGACTTTGAAATACCTGTTTCCTTGAGAAGACAAACGCGGAAAAGAAAGAAGGATTCAAGGAGGAACAACCATGATTGAGTGTGAAGAAGATTATCACAGTTTGAAAAAGTTATCTAATCTTGTTACTTACTAACGTAGTTATCTGTTTGCAGAATGTGCAGCCCGATTGAAGAGATGTTTGGAATGTAAAACGCCTATTTCTGGTAAAGCAACGAGAGGTAACTTGCACAAATTTTCATTTCCTAGTCTTTATATGTTATCCTCAGCTGGCGAAGTGAGGCCCATGTAGTTAAAACTAAACTTTCAATCTTTCGACGATTCACGGCATATCATCCTGATGATAACGTGGATAGGCGAAAGCTAAGAATTTTAATATCTACTCCTAACAGAGAGGAGACAGGGTAATTTAGAGTTGATATGGCAAATGGCCATAGTAAAGACTTTTAAAGCTGCCATTTCCAGCGTTAGCCCTTCACTCTGAGGAAGGGCTAACGACCGACGCAGCACCACAGTTTCTTTAGAAACTTACCCCCTTTAGAGAAGAGACTGGTCGGACTTAAACTTTATTATTAAACCTTCATATTCAAGCTTGCTATTCCTTTCACTTTTTCTCTGAATTGTCCGAAAGCAGCAAGTTATTATTACTAAAAAGATTTTTCGGAAATTGAAACGGTTATGATTAATTGGTAACAGGACTTCTTGTGATTAACAAATTGTACTCCCGCTTCGTGGTCGTCCAATTTTGTTAATCACTCGTATGACTACAGAGTGAATTGGACTCCACTCGTTCCTATTACCATTTAATAATGATATTTAATGAGGGAACCAAACTCGCTAAGGTGGTTTTCAGCTGGGCCTTTAAATGATATGTTGGGTAATCTTGAGTTTTTGATTCTAAACCAGTTTTCATATTTTGTTGAATCTCATTTTTATTTGATTTGGATTCTTCGGAGCTTTCACAAATATTCAGATTTTGAAAGCGAGGAAGAAAGGTTCTTTGTCAGCTTCGTAATAATATCATTATTTAGTTTGTCGTGGGAGAAATTGGCTGAAAATATTATTGAATTTCATTCGCTCCAATTCTCTTCGCAGATGGTAACCCAGTCATTGGAATTAACAACAAATCCTTGGTCTCTCAATGTCAGCAAGTTGAAGCAAAGTTTCGGAAATTGGAGGAATCTGTTGTGTGTTGTATTTGCGGGGAAAGCAAGAAGGACTTGTTTTTCAGCTGTGGTCACGGGGCTTGTCAGTTTTGTGCAAAGAAGCTTAATGTCTGCCATATTTGCCAGAAGCGTATTGACAAGAAATTACGCATATTTTGATTGTGCGTGGTGCCACGGTGGCCTTTTTTTAATACTACCTACACTATCTATTGATACGCCATGAAAGCTCGATAGATGTACAACCACTGCTGAGTGAAATCAGTCTTTTTTCATGTTCTGCAATGTTTAAGATTTATCTCAAAAGTCAATGAAATAAGAATAAAAGCGATTCATATTGTGAGCGTCTCCAAAAGAAATCGAGTCAAGTCAGGCCATATATTCATATTCCACAATATTTAAAGTTTTTCAAGGCAAGAAGAAATATGTAAGAATCAAACGAGTTCTAGTTGAGGTCTTCTACAGGTAATCGAGTTAAATGAAAAAAAAAGGGGGGAAAAACCAACCTTAGCAGGAAACAGGTCATCTAAGATGAATCCAAGCCATGTGCTAGTAAATAACTAAAGTAATGTTTACTCAGACCTTTTTGCTTCTCAAAGCTTCTTGTGAAGCTTTTGACCTAAACAGCCGCTTCAAACTTTCATCAACTCTTTTTTTTTTCTTCATGGTACTAGGGTATTTCTTTACAGGTAACGAGAATTCCTGTTTTAGTGAAAGGGTTAGAGTAACTCTAGTATTGTAAGGAACAGGCAATGACTCAACTTAGGAGTCAAGCTTCTCTAAATAAAGTTGCACTTTAAGCAAAATCTTGTTTTGTTTTATTAAAGAAATGCTGACTTAGCTCAGAGCCATGCTTTAGTTTGGAAAGCTTCCAAAGGCGCTATACCATAATACTATGAGAGACCACGATAACTAAACTTTTTTATTTGAGTTAAACGTGTTGGGTTTTCTATGACCTTGTATTGATCTCTCTGAGTTACCTCTTAAAAATTAAACTACGTCAAGATTTATAAAAAAAACTCAATAGTGAGATATGTCTTCTCTTGCAATTCCTTAAAAGACGAAAATCTATGCCACTCGTCCACGAAACCGCTGCCCAGCTTTAGAAATATGAGCAGTCAACCTAGGTCGTTTTCTCAGAATGTTCTGGTGTGTAATTCACTAGGTAGCACCTTGACTTTGCTAATCATAATTCATAACTCATATTTTTGTTTGGCCTAAAGTGAGATACAGGTGCTGCCGAACAAACCCATTGGCGGTAATTGCTTGACGACTTTTAGAGCATGGATGTGTGTAAAACAAACTGATGTATTGTGATGCAGCCTCACAACTAAGAGCTGTGGAAATTTTTAACACCATTTGACCTTTACGCTGTATTTCTCCACTACCTATTAAAAAGCTGCTCAAAAGGTTTTTTTTAGAAGACAGAAAGTTGGTGTATTATTCTCCTTTGATTATAAGAAAAAACGAAATGATGAGAAATGACCATCTCGCCCTATTTTGTTTACCGCTTGGTAAACACAGTTCAAAAGTTTTTTTCGGAATTCAAACAGTCGTGTAAGATTGCCAGATGTTAGTGTTCTACTTTAATTTACGAAGTGAATAGAACAGGAATCGATCTTTTTCTCTTGACTTTCTACACCTTATCTATAGGCCCTGTAACCAAAAGTTCTGTCCAGACGGAGAAAATTGAAAATAAAGATTAGTTAGTTTCTATCAATCATGTATTACTATTACACCCTTAAATTTCATATATGAATCTGTCATTTTTTTCGTAGATAGTTCCATAGTTTCAAGAAAACAGACTTATCGTAGATCAAATCGTTTTTCTCGGGAAGCAGAGCGATTCTTTCACTAAAAGAAATCCCCTTCTAAACAAGTGTCAAGTTGCAAAATCAATTTCCTTTGAGACACTCTTGCTTTATTTCAAGCTGAGTAACTATAAAGAGATCTGACCTGAACAGCAATTGCAAAACTCATAAAGTGGAAATTAAGATCAAATAGCAAGCAAGTGTAAACTAATCCGTTTTCCATTATTGAGAAATTGAAGTAGCATTTTAATTAAGATGACTCGAAAACCATCTGATTGCCAGTGGCCAGCTAGTTAAATGTTCTGGTGCAGTTTCCATGCTTTGTTTTGATAGATCATTATTTTATTTGATGACAACGAAGTAAAATGGCATAAATACTCGAAAGACACAATGAGCCGAAGCCGATGCCTGAGTAGCAACTGACAAAAACGGGTATGCATTGACTTCATAGTCTTTTGTGTTTAAAATAGATAGATGTTTTTTAATATTAATTTCTTTGACTAAGCGTTTAGAAATTTTCTAAATTTTCCATGTTATCGTAACATTACCATAAATCTTCCATAACCTCTCCTGCCGTATAATTCTCTGTCAGTAAGATCTTTCTGTCGTTTCGAAGCGCAAGTTAAAGACTCTATCCGCGACTGGAAGATATTTTTGTATGCTTCTTCCACAAATTCTTGAAACACCTAGGCTAAAAAGACATAGAAAATTTATCCACAGATTTAGTTATTGGTATGTTCGTTTATCTTACACAGACGGCTCTATCAAGGCAAGGGGAAATCATGAACCTTTTACTCTGCCTTGCTGCCATGCTTGGTGCCGCAATCAATGTAGAGGCTTTCCAAAATTCGCCCAAAGGTCTTCACTTTGTAGGTGTTGGTTACAATCTTCTGGAAGGAAACCCCGAGGGGGGCGATGTATCAAACGGTGGTGTTGACCCAGGACTCCTGTTCACCAGAAAAGTCTTCAAGCTGACATGGGAAGAAAACAAAGTCTCTCTAGACAAGAAGTATGTTGTACCAGATCAGGTCAGCTTTGCCCCACGTCAGTCTTGCGTCAAAACAAATAAAAAGGAAGTTTTTTCAGGTTCCAAAAGCTACCAGGAAAAACTTAGTGTGGATGTACAATCTAGCGGTAAGGCCAAGAAAACACTATTCTGTAAACCTGTCTTTTCTTTTACTTCTTTAACCCTTTAACTCCCAGGATCTTATCAGTAATTCTCCCTACTGTATGCCATACAGTTCTTGTGATGTTGGTTTGGAGAATTTAGTATCGGATCAACTAATAATCCCTTAATTAAGGGACTTTCTTTAATCTCATCATTTTTCTTCTTGATATTGTGTTGATATTGTAAGAAGAAATTCTGTCTTGGTCACTCATGGGGGTTAAAGGGTCGAACAAGTCGTTTTGTGTTCTACTTCTACATCCTAAACGCAGACATCGTGGGTTAAATTAAAGATACGTTTTTATTCTGCAGGTGGATACAATGCAATATTGTGGAACGTTGCCTTTTCTCTAAGTTCAAGTAAGTAAAATAATTCAATTCGTGCTAAAAAATTCTTGAAAATGTGTTTCATAAGCAGGCTAGTCAGCTCTTCGATAATAATTCAAGGCAAGAGGGCGAGTCCCTCGAAACAACTAAAGAAGGAACCTCTGTGGGTCAGTTTTGATTGATTAGCACCACTTTTCAGGGATATTTGATTACAGAAACGTCAGGTGTTAGACTTATGTTATCTGGAAGAAAACCATTCATTAAAAAGTTGTATTGCGTGACAAAGTATTCCCCCAGATGGCAAGCAGTTTTACAAATTTGTCTCTAACGAAAGGGGGCCAATCAGAGAGCTGTGTTGTTAGATGAAATTGTGTTTTCTTTCTTCTCCCGGTTTTGTTCCTTATAAGGATATGAGCAGGTGAAGAAAGAAACATCAAAATACCACAATGTGTTTTATGAAGAGAAGCATGTGTGCAATCGTGGCCGAGCTCGATACCAAATGGACTTGGCTCGAGTCAAGAAGTATTCTGTGTCAGAGGACTTTGCAGCAGCTGTTTGTATTTTACCAGAAGAATACAATCAGCAGGCCTACTTCAAATTCATCGAGAACTGGGGAACAGTGAGTGTCAAAAAAAGCTTGTCTTCACTAAAAGACATCGTTGAGGAACCAGCTTTGAAATAAGGCAACTTCTGTTTTTGAACGGCTTCTTATACTTTTACAAAGTTGCAGTAATAAATTTTTAAAACAAAGCTTTTTGAATAGGTGACTACAGGTATTTATGCTTTGTAAATGAGAGCACATATTTAGATAAAAGCCTTTCATTAGTGAACACTAAGCTGATTTTTAACAACCATAAATTAATCAACTTCATCCAAGGTTTCTAAGCCAGGTCCAATCCAAAATCGGCCGTTAATCTTAAAAGGAGGGCTCGGTCACAACCACTCATAGAAGAAGACTAGAAGGGAGTTGAATTACAGTTTTACAGTTTTCTAGAAAGACAATCACTGACAGATTTCTGATTGTTTTTGCTTTTTCTTCAGCACATTGTGGTAGAAGTTGATCTTGGTGAGAGGAAGACTGATCGATCCAAATCCACAAACTCTGAGTTCACCAAATACGCCATGAATAACGTAAGAATAAAGTCATATAACCATAATGGCTACCGCATGCGCAGCGCAGTGACGATTATGGCGCGAAAACAAAAAAATTTAATTGGGATGACAAGAAATTGTTTTTTTGGTTGATTCCAGGTGATCTGCACAACATGTTTAAAACCATTTGCATTAACATGGTTAATTTTGAGGCAGTTTTCAAATAAGTTTCAAAGGGAAAAGACGTTTTCTTTGCCTTTGCCCCACTGAGCCCTTTGATGAATCTGCATAACTTACACCACATTCTGAAATAATCAGTTCTCAATAAGAAAATAGAAAAACATTCGAGAAGTAGTCGCCCTCGCTCTGCCGTGCAAGTGGTCGGTTACCCATGTAACTCAAGGTTATCAGGATTATTGGTTCCATTTTATAATTATCTTCCTTTTCATAGTAATTATAATAACTTTAGTTTTCACTCCAAGGCAGTCATTCTAAAGGCGTTCTTTTGGCGATTGTTTCATTACTTTGGTTACCTTCTTTGGGGAACCTTCAGTAAATCTGTAGCGGTTTTACTTTTTTTTTTCAGATGGAAAACTCAGTTTCCGTGTCAGGAGGTTATATGGGTTCCAAGGCCTCCCTCAAAGTTGACATGAAAAAATTTAAAGAATCCATGTCGGATAAAACCGAATTCGGAGAACACAAGGTGTCGTTCACATCCGGAGGCGTTGATATGCCTGAGCCTATTGGAATAAGGATTGTGCCAATATACGAAGCCTTTGATGTCAGTTTCTACGCAAAGCTTGATCACCAGAACTCTGCACGATGCGTCCATTCCAGCGAGCTTGTCGGAACTCGAAGGGAACACGTCAAGAAGGCATTAGAAGAGTATCCGAAACTCAAGAAAGCTGAGGTGCCTACAGGTAAGAAATTAAGATGAAAGGTGAGGTCAAGGGAAAATGTGAGTGACATTTTGATATTCATTTATCTTTCCCTTAGGTTTTCAAATTTTCATTCAAGGACATCAAACGGCATTTGCATGTTCATACTCTTAGCTACTTTCTCACCAAAAAGTTTGAGAATCCAATCACTGTTTTGAAATTAAAAATCTCCTGATGTTACTCTTTAGCCCTGTACCTCAAAGTCAACTTAACCTTCTCATGCGCGATTTGCAGATCCTGAAGTACGAATTCCTCTCACTTGGCCAGTTGGAACGTATGGCCTTCCCATGCCAAAGGCAGGTTGTCCTAAGAATACAAAGTTTGCTTGGCACGTTGGAACCCGCTACCAAGATACTGAGGATGCTTTTGGAAAGAACCGCTGGTCAAGTCCGTATGACTTGGCAGGGTCATTAGCCAAAAGCAACATGGAGCAGAAGTTTTGCATGAAAACAGAGGAAGGAGACAAGAAAAATGGTCTGCAGTGGCCAAGAGGTCAATACTGTATTCTGAAGAAGGGAGAATGTGCCGAAGGTAAGCACTGTTAACAAATTTGTCAAAGATAAAATTGGATAAGATTAATTATATTTCCCTGAACACTTATTGCTGTAAACGCCTGAGAAACGTTCCCCCCACCTCATTGATTTATGGAGCCTTCACCTGCAGACACGGGGGAACATATAGGAGAGAGGGACTCACTGATGTGAGCCAAAATGCAGGTCGTTACTTTTCTTCAGGCTGTTGCTCCGCCCCGTTCGGAAATGATGAATTTCTTAGCATTATTACAATCAAAGACGGGGTCTTCTCTTAATCACTCATTACTCAGGTTTCCAGCAAGGACACATCAGATGGGATGACGAGAACAGTAACAATAAAAACAGACACTCTGGAGCGCTTCCAGACGGCGTGTATGACAGGAACACTCACATTCAGTACTGCTGCCGCACGGATGGTCACGCCACCAATGCCATAATTCTTCCCACAGACTCCCCATTCGTGCTGTTGAAGTCCAACACTCATCAGTGTCAGCATGTCCGAGGAATGCGAGTCCGAAGTGAATATTTCCAATGGGATTGTGAAGATTGGTTTCCGAAAAACTATGGCGGTGGATCCAGACCTTATGGTTATGTTGGAAGGAATATCAAACTTGAATACTGCTACTATTATCATTAACCAAAGTTATGGTCACCGCTAAATTTAATTTCATGATTTTATCAGAAAATTTTTGAAACTATACGAAACCTGTTACATTTAGTGGATCATCCCGTTCTGGACTGAAGTCTGTCGGTGATTTTCAAATTTAATAAAGCTCTTGCATTTCAACGAAATATAGGTTTATCCTTACAAATATTGCTAACTAACTGCGCTTATAGGGCCACAAAACATCTTGTAATTAAGAATCATTCCTTGACAATCACTGTGGCCAACCATTTTTCTGTTATGTTCCCTTATCACAACATTGTTAAGTCTTTTTTATATAGGGTCCCATAAGTTGCTTGTTGACATACTATATTAGGTAAACAATAACGTCGGCTAAATCCAGTGATGATTACTTCGAGGTCAATTCAGAGTTGATAGAGCACGTTTACAAGTTTTTGCAAAGATCTTAAAGGACGATGTTTTCTTCAAAACAAAATAAATGCGCGCAATAAATAGCTAAAAAAAAAATTGCAGTAGATCCTCAAAATAGCAAGTTATCATCAGTAAAATTAATTCTCGGAGCAAGAAAAGCGATGACCAAGTACTAATGAAATTTCATGAACAGTTCACTCTAACGAAGGGATTACGCTCGAACCTCAGCCTTAAATACTCCCTATGTCGGTCAATTCACATTATAAACTCAGTTGTTAAACTAAATTATACCCCCTCCCCCCTCCCCCCTCCCCCCTTCCACACACACACACACACACACACACACACACACACACACACACACACACACACACACACACACACACACACACACACACAACGTAGCACCGCATTATCTTAAAAAATTTACCCCTTTATCACGTTTCAATTTCTTTTTAGTGCTCAGTAGTCAACAAATCTAACATCGCTCTTCTCAAAAGGCGGTTGCGCCAGATGTGAATCATGGGATTAATCAAGGAATTCAGAAGAGTTGTGGTCATTGACCAGGGAAACACGACGTTGCCATAGATACCGGCCGGTCTAATGACAATCAGAGCAGCTGTTGGAATGAACAACAGCATGAATGTGATTGAAATGAACGTTGTGTCAATCAGCACTTTTCTGTCCCTTTCAGTGAGTCCTTCGACTTTGAGGGAATTTCTATCGTGTACTAAAGTGTGATTGAATCGGTAGACGATCAGAAAGGCTTTTACCTTTAAAAACACGAGCGAAGTTAGAAGCACTGTGGCTATGAAAATTCTCAAGAAATTTTCAAAACGTCTTGGAATGATTTTATCAAAAATAATGACAATGAGGCTCCAGATTGCCCAGCATGTACAAGCAAACGTGATGGCCACTAAGAAAGGAAGATAAAAAAGAAAACAAATGTTAGAAGAATATTGCTGAATCTTCTGTGTGATATCCTCAGTGAGGTGGAAGAATTGAAACTAAATCCTATGTGTACATCTGACTTGGGTTATTTACATTAGACACCAGTTATTATCAAGACCCTGCCAGACCCAAGGACAGCTGGACCAACGTAGAAACGGGCTTTAATATGACGCTGGCGTATAATCAGCGTCCAATGATTGGTCTATGGTTGCAGTTTTCTTAGTAAGGCGTGAGGGGGGGGGGAAGGGTGGGGGAGTTGAGGTCATTTAATAGTGACCTTAAGCAGTCAGGACGACACGTCAAGGAAAACGTCAATTATGGAAATAATTTATCTCTTCATTCAGAATTTCGCGAATGGCTGGATTTGTTTACCGTCTCTTATAGCGCCACACCTCAACTTTGTGAACAGCGTTGAGTTCCAAATCGAAATTTAAATCAAGTAATTTGCCGTAGGGGTTCCATCATGCCAGTTCTCAGACCACGTAGATTTTGGTGATTTGAAGATGTGTACAAAGTTTAAAAACGCATGTGCTGAGCAATTGTTCAATTCACTAGACTTTTCCTTTAGCCAAGTCCGCGTTGCCGTCGCGGTTGTGCTCTTTCTAATGTCCCTAGTAGTGTCGCTGGGGAGACGCGCTCTTTGTAAAGATAAAATAAAACACGGACAAATTTGAAAAATTGAGTGATAAAGTATCCAAGCTTCTCACCTTTCTTTGTGCGTGGTCTTCGATACTTTATTGGCTTACGTAGGGCAAGGTATCGATCTCCGGCGATCAACACAATATGCGTGAGGGAACAACCACAACCAAACATCACAGCTAACTCTGTAGCTTTCGTCAATTGCTGCAGGCGGGAGCAGGTCACATGATCATCATGAAGTGACATGCGCAATGCTATGAATAAGGGCTTAGCTACTAATGGAACTATGCAGTCTAATAAGGTTAGGCTACCAATTAGAATATCACGCGGAGTCTGAATCAGGTTCTTCTTCTTTATCGTCACAATGATGGCCAGGTTACAAAAGAGAGCGAAGACAGCACTTATGGTGTTTACAGTGCATATGATGACATCATTACTGTAATGTCGGGAACTTTCCTCCCATAAGATAAACGAAGTCAATTTGCAGTTTATTTCACCATCCATGGATCATTTTTCTATAAATCTTTGGACAGAAAATGAAATGCATTAACTTCCTACGCATATAAATTCCAGATGTTTTTATTTCGAATTAATTTTAACAATAATTGCAATTTTAAAATGGCACAAATCAATGAGAAAAAAACTTAAAACTAAAAAAGTAATGAGAATAATCTATTTAAAAAATAGAAAAATATATGTTAGAGGGTTAAAAATGCAAGTCCTATGTAAGACAGTTGTCTATTCCAAACGAATAATGAGAGCACCAGTGAATGATGCCTGTAAGGGCCCTCTCCCCTTCTCATCTAAATCTAATTCTATCATGTATATGGACGTTGAGCGATTTGTTTCCAATCAATTAATCTTAGGGTTAGCTAATTTTGAATTATTATATTAATTTTAAAGATGTTCGTTTTTTTTTTCAAATCATATATATGTTTGTATTTTTTTCTTCTGTTCAAATTTAACATTTACTAATTTTGTGTCGAATCGGAAGCAGCGAAATCATTTCAGTTTTCGACGTGTCCCAGACTTTTTATTTTAGCTTTTTTATTCTTTACAGTGGCCAATTTACGTTCTCAACTCAGTTGTTAACACTAAATTACCTGCTATACTCTCCCACCGAAGCAGCAGCACAGTTTCTTCAGAAACTTAGCCCCTTTATCCAGATTTTTATGTTTGTTTGTTTTTCAATACATCGGTAACGCGTCGCTTTTAGTTCAAGTAATGTTTCAAACGCCACATCACTTCTGCTTAAGGTATGGAATATAATAAGCAGTGGTTCAAGTAATAAGGGACTGAAGTTAGATGCGCGAAATTTAAACCTGCTTTGTCAAGAACGAGCAAACAGTCGTCATCCGTACTCCGAGTCGTAATACCTCTTTGAAATGTGTACTAGGCACAACAAAAGCAGGCCTTTTGAAATCATGTTTTGCTTTTACCAGTTCTAGCAATGCCAGGCCTACCCAATTAGCGAGTTGTGCCAACCTCAATTGCATCTGGCGAACTGAATTATTTTCCCGATTTATCAGCAAAAACTGGTATGGTGAGAAAAGGGATAGTCGTCGTCGATTCAGTAATACAATTTTTCCAGCATATTGATGGTTCACCTGCTCGGAGGCGGTAATGATAGTTACCTTAACCGCGTTGTCCTTCATCCTGCATTGATAAAATGCCAACAATAATTCGACTAACTCCTGTAATGTTTACACTAGGTCAAAGTTTGCTTACCTTTGCCTTTCAGAATGTAAAGTCCTGTTTTCCTTGAATAACTGTAAAAAACTGTAGATTGTATGGTACAATACTTAATGATATAAATCACTCGCTATGGCTGGCTCTGGCAGAAAGCGAGTACCTTTGGCCAGGATCGTGACGTCATCTCCTTGTTCATTTCCTTTTGATTGCGGACCGAATTCAAAGAACCGGTAAATGGTTTTCATAACAAAAATAATAATTAACAGTCATATTCATTAATGTCTTTTGGACCTGACCAAACGCCTCAGTTCAGCTTGTTATTGTGTATTAAAAAAGGGATTATTTTTAACGAAACTCCGTGGTTCTTGGTACTTTGTCGATGCGCTTTCAATGAACATAAACAAAAAGAAATCTTTACTTCAATTGAAGAAAGATGCACAATTCCTCACTTTACATCACAATTATAAAACTCACATTATGTGCTGGCCAATCCAAACCAGATGTTCCAGGTGCTATGAACAGCTGATACGCGTTCGAATCAGATCAAAACAAGATTGAAGTGCTGGAAATGAACTGGTGGGTGTAGTCTTTTTATACGATGAAATATATGTATCTACATGATCATTTTGTTGGCGTATCGAAGTTTTTTTTTTCCAACTTCATAAAATTTTAAAAAACAAACAGGAGATAGGAGGTAACATTTGATTGAAGTGAAATTCGTTCAAAAAAGCTGAGTGACATATAGGTTATATCCCAGCCAACACCCTTAATAGTTTTATCAATCATTCAGACAACTTGTATAGTCATAATCCGAGGAGTTTATTTCATTCCATTATGAACTTCAAGGTTAACTCTCCACAACAGTTCCAGAGAAAGTTAAAGATTTTAAAACAAGTTTGTTCTTGATCTTCTGTTGTTAAATCTTTGTTCACAAGCAATGTTTAAGCCTATCTATGTGGACGTTTATTATAAGTGCAAAAAGAGAAAAAAGCAAAAACTAATAAGGTGCAGCCGCCGGCACCAAGCTCTTCGGAAGATTCTCGACAAATTATTTTAAGTAAATTATTGATTACTTTCTCACGAAAAATTTACATCAAAAACGCTTTCGAGAGCAGCTCGTACCACGCCCTGAAGACGTAGTTTTTTTAAAAAAAATATTGCTTACTGCAAATTCTGTCCGAATTCTCGCTATCCTATGTTGTTTAAAGAATTTCAGCTGCCTTCGAGTTTTGATATGTTAAAAGGCTACGAGAAAAACGGCCGCTCACTTTGCGAACAAAGCATTAACAACAGAAACAGACTTGTCAACTGAGTTCTACTTTAAAACACTTTTCAGAAAAGGGATAAATAGACACCGAAAAAACGTGAATTGATTTGTCATTGAGAACAAAGTCAAAGATGGAAAGGTAACACAAAGAACACTCATAGAATAAGTCAAGAAACAGAACTGTCTTGGATACTAATTTCACATTTTTTTTTTTGGAGTTCATGACTTTGAGCCAGTGATTCAAAATGACAAGAAATTAATTCAGTTAATTCAATTTGGGATTCTGTTTCTTCGTGTGTAAAGTTCCTACCTCTACACGTCTTTCGCCCGCTAAATTTTCTCCCGATTGAGCGGTTTACTGTTAAGTGCGAGGAATCTTGATTTTGCTTAAGATTTGCCTCATCGGGCTCTATGGTTCAAATCTCACGCCACTTTCTCGACCAGGTTTGGGTATGCAAAAAAATTGATAAAGGAGACTACTAAATAAAAATTCTGCTGTAAAGGCACTCCCACGCGCCGGTTTTCCCGCGCTTGACTAAGGCCCTGATCACAAGTATCTTCTTCGCGTTCTCATTCGTTTATTTCAATGTAATGTCATCATTGATTGGCTACAGTGATCCTTGGTATTCTCCAAGATTTCCATGATGACACTCAACAAAAAACCGCTCTGTAAGCAAATAGAATACCACTTCTACAGAAGTAACAAAAGCCTTGAATAAAAGGACTACTTGAATTTCTCAGCTACAAACGGTCGAAATCAGTAACCCTTGAGGATAAATTAATAAATACCTAGCATTTCCTCAAATGTTTGTCACTCCGTTTTTGTTCAATCTTTTTATACATATTTTTCATGTATTTACCCTTTCAAACAAAATAGGAAAAAAATAAAACTTCTGCACATGTCAATAAATTAAAATTTTCCGATGAAACATTCTTCATTTTGAACCTAAATACACCCTATGGATCTGTTTGGATCGACGGCTTCAGAAAATTAAGTATCCTACAATATAAATAAATTCTTCCAAGTATTTACAAAACAAACCTTACATTCAACCTAATATTTATAACAATTTCATAACCATTTGTATTTTCAAAATTCTTTAAGCTCTAACTCACCCAAAATGATAAATTCCCTTTTACAAATAAGTCTGTTGTGCGTTCAGGTAAACCATTTTTCACTAATTATTCATTCTAATCATCATCATCGCGGGACCAGTAAACTCGAAAATTCAAAAAAATGACTGAACTAGATTTGTGGCATTTGCGAAAATGAATTGGAACAAATATGTAACAAAAACGATTGAAATTCGACAGCTTTTTAAATAACTAACTAGAACTTAAAGCAGCTCTGTCAATGGAGGTTTCAGAAAAGTGTCCGAAGAAATTATTTAACAAAATGACCATAACTGCACAGTTATTGACTTTTATAAGCGAAGTAACGCAATAAATACTTCTCCGAAAAAGAACCTTTCCTCCTCTTGATCTCCTGACATTATCACGTCATTGGGGTCCGATGCTTGTTACCATAGAGGACTGGTGCCGTTTATCTCGGTACGAAAAGTCTGTGTTCTCTTCTGTCAGCTGATAGGTGGACATCTGATAAGGAATACCGCTGATCGGTACAACGATTTGTTGTTGTGAAGATTCTTTCCTGTTTACAAAGAGAAAAGAACACGGGGGTTTAATACACACCACTGGAGATCGACTAGAGGATGATAATTTACTCTGCCAACCCGAAAACGGATGTAGGTTTTCTGTTCAGTGTCTTTTCGTTTTCCCTTACTTCACAAACAGTTGTGGTTGAATTGAGAACTACACACTTTCTCGCCTCTTTTAAATACGAGATCAGGAGTTCACACGGTCATTTAACGACAGAGTACTTTTTGTTTGTTTGGTTTGTTTTTTGTCGTCATTTTTTCAGTTTCGTCTTTATTTTGCTTTTTTTGTAAGCAAACACTATGATTTTTACATGACTCAAGATAAATTGGAACATAAAATAATTATTTCTAGCATGCGCACATGAAGGTTACCTTGTAAGCTTGTCCCACAAGGATTGAACCCACTTAGAGAACACGAAATCTGAAGCAACTCCTGTAAAGACAAAACAAAATACCACGTACATCACAATGATGATCAAGATGGATTACAAATATAATACAGTGAACTTTGTTATCATTTCGCCATTTAGCCATTTCCAACTAAGTCTGTAATAGATGATGACTACAGTTTGAATTTGAACGGACGATCACGGAAGGAGAAGTAGTCGAATGGCTTGCCTTACGAGAAAGGTTTCCACAGTAAAACCCCATTTTGGTTTGGATCCAGACTTCTTGACGCAAATTTAACTGCGCTAAACCCCAGGCCACCGAGTCTTTCGGCTGAACCAGATTTGCAAAACACTAGATTCAAACGTTTCCAAAGCAGAAAAAAATAAACAGCTGCAGATACAATACCCTTATGTCAAATGGTTGAAAAATATTGAAATTTGACCACATTGGAATAATGTGGAGTAGGGCATACGATTCTTCGGACAACAGATTTTCAAAATAATTCACTTCTGTTATTACAAAGGAAAATTCTGGCCTACCTTTTGATAATCCTGGGTTTGCTTGACCAATATATATGTACACTAATAACGCCAATGAGATGTTGGCGAGGGCGTAGCCCCAGTTAATAAGGAACATAATTAATATACTGGCAAACGCCTGCAAGTTAAATACATCAGTTATAAGTGATGAAATCATTGGTTAACCAAAGCAGAAAAAAAAACAATCAGTGAAATTTGGCACGAATATTTCAACTAGTGTTTTTTTTTCTGGCGCGTTCTTATAGATAGCCCAATAATCCCTTTACGATACAGTAGCTTAATTTCATAAGTTGTTTTAAATCCTCTGAAAATCATGAATTATGAATGCTCACACTCATTGGCTACGAGGTGTGATCTTGGTGTAGTACCAGATCCTCTGAACTGATGTACAAAGAAATACGTAACACCTAGAAAGGAGAATTAACATATAAATCGTTCACTTACCCCAGCTAAAGACACCCATCGATTACATAAATCTGAATAATAAGAAGAGGGTTGTTTTTCTATTTCCCATTTGATCTGATGCTCTTCATTGTAGTACTCCTCTTTTCTTCTGCGTTCTGAGATTTTAAAGGCATTAACAATAACATTGCATTACTTGGGACAGCAGTGCAACAAAACTTCATAAAAACATATTACACTCTGCTGAGCCCTACACCACATGTTTACTTGGGAGAAAAGGTTCGACAGCGTGTGAACCGCGAAAAACAACCTCACCAAGCTTAACGGATCTACTTTACTGTTCAGTACATTTTGCACAATTCAGCCTGAGGTTTTCAAATTTTTATTTTCAATCCATGATAACCTCCTACATTCTAAACCATTCTTGCCTCTCGTTTGTTTAATTTAGTGATCTCGGTGTTTGTGTTCACTGTAATTGCAGAGCTAAGAGGAATAAAAGGCCACGCTATATGACCTAATGAGAACCGATAAAAATTGGGCGACTACCTTCCTAAAGGCATGTGCGAATGGAGTAATTTTTTATTAGATTTCGAAAATCCTAAACGTTTGGATATTTGGATCTTTTATTAGCTCTGCAACAATTAGCACTATGCATTCCCATGCAAGGTGACTCGGAATATGAGCTGATAACCAGAGTTAAGAGCGTAAATTAGCACACTAGAAATTCAATATTCGGAGTTGAAAGTTTAATAACACGATTTAACCTTACCTTTAATTTTCTCTCGATCTGCTTCGTCCGATTTTCTTCTTTCTCTCAGTGTGTCCTCCTTGTCTTTATTGCTCCCATTCTGCAACAATTTTGTTGTATCCTTAAACACTTCTGTATCCTCTTTTTCGCCATCTTTGCCCTCCAAATTAACTTTCGTCTCTGCTGTATCGTGCTCTGGCATATCCAGTGGCGAGTTGTAATCAAACCAATTGTCATCTTTATTCTTATTTTCCTTCTCCTGAGAGTCATCCTTCTCCATGGCATCTTGCCCGCCAAATTTCACTTCTCCCAAATCATATTTTTCCTCAGAACTGCTGCCGTAACTCAACTTCTTTCCACTGTCTTGAAAGTCAGACGAAATCAACCGACTTTCTGGCGACTTCTTCAGATCCGATGACGGTTTTCGTTCAAGCAATTTCTGCTGTTGTCGTATATCGTAGCTCATGGCCAGTTTGAAGTACGCATAATCAATAGCAGCGTATGTGAGTAGGAATGGCATTGTTACGATAGGAGCTAAAGCGTTCAGGTTACCGATCATTATAAATGATATGGCAATCACGGCCACAAATATTGCAGCTACATACGGCTCCTGATTTGGACCACGCTGAAAATAGAGAGAAGAACGTTTTTGTCAGAAATTAAGAATCCAGAGATCAGTTGTTTGTCGGTTGAATGATTTAAATCTGGTTCTTTAAAGCTGATTGGTCAATTTTGCTGTGATGTTACTTGCAATTGTAAGAGTATTCCTGAAAAACACCCTCATCGGTGACAATGACGTTTACGTTTTGATAACCTGAGTCAAATTAAAGGGTTGTTGGATTGTTATTGGCTGTATTTTCACGCTAAAAGCTAGTTCTAATTGATCATTTTTGATCAGGTTAGGCTGTGCTCTCCCCGCTAACAAAATGGTTCAGTTCGATTCTTTGATTGATATCATAACTACACACACACAAATAAAACACATCTTGTTTGTAAATTGCCATCAATTGATGATGAATGTTCTTACCCCTTTGCCGAGTGATTTAATAAGAGGTACAACATTCTCCTTGCTGATGCATTGTAACACTCGCGGGGCTCCATATTGAGCACCAAGACAGGACGAAAGGGAGGATACATACAAACCAAAGAGGAACAGTACACCAACTAGAGACACCTTAGATGCTATCATATAGTCTGTGAGCAAAGCATAGCGGCTGCAAACTGCTCCAAGTAACACAGCAAACAAGATGTACAGCATTCCACTGTTCAGACAAAAAAAACAAACGGCTTTTTTTAATTGAATGAGTTTGTAGATTTGAGAAATCAAAGTCAATTAGGCAAGAGTCCCCGTCATATCCCCATTGTGTACCAGAGGGACTTCCTCTTCAAACAGGCGCTAATCACTTGGGAAGTTGGTAGAGCACTTCAAACATGGCGCTAATCACTTGGGAAGTTAGTAGAGCACTTGGATCCTTACGCATCTTTCGTCCAACCTTCCCACACTGACTCATGAACCACTTGATTATTAAATACGATGAGGTAATAGGTTTACCCTCCTCTTTCCCAGAATCTAAAAGCTTATTCTTTCAAACGATGACAAATAATTTTTTCACTAGTTCGTCCTGAAAAACACTGTTTCATCCAAAATGCATGCCTCAGCTGTTTGTGTTCTTATCTTTACTTGTTATTACCAGTTAATCCGACAGTGAATTAAAATTGTGATAAGAATATAAATACAGATGATCACTCCAAGGTGTGGCAGTTTTAAGGGGGCACTGTATTATCAAAATAATGTGGAATTTTCTCTGACCTAAATCCTAACGCCGCAAGTGTTCCTGCCGGAATATTACTTGAAGGATCCTTAAGGTCTCCACTCATATTGATTCCTGCCAGTACTCCTGTTGCACTGGGAAAGAAAACGCCAAACACAGAGAAGAAATTCTGTCCTTCGGAGAACTTGGGTGGAGCATTTTTCTCCATATTTTCCGTTCTGTAGCCAGTGAACCCAGCAGCTGAAAGAGATACGGCAAACACAAAACATATTGGCAAGTGTTTTGAGATCACTACTCTGAAAAAAATGAACCTTTGCTAAGTTTATTACAAACCTTCGCTTCTGGCTATTTATTTGTAGGAACTTAGTTTACCGATTTTGAACAAATAAAATGAGTTTTCTCACTTCTTGAAGAGCAATGCCACTTTGTAGAGATGAGATACACGTGTACCTAACAATACTTTCAAAATGTTATACTAAATTTGAGCTTAAGAAGATAATTTATTAATCTGCATCAAGAATTGGTCTAAAGTATTCATTATTATATAGTTTTCCCCTTAAGCAATTGAAGACAAAGAACAATAATAAGAAAGAGAGTTGTTCTCTAAACATGCCTTTACCTCAAAACAAATAAAAGATTAAGAAAAACTGTTCACCCACACAAAGGTAAAAAAAAAATCACAGTTCATGCACCAAGCCATCAAAAGAATGAACAAACATGGAATGAATTCTAGGTCACTTAATATTAAAGATCATCTCAAGCCAGTATCAACACAGCCTCCCCTCCCCTCCCCCTGCCTTCTATCTCACTCCCTGTCACTTACAATAATCAGTATGTGCAAAGGTGCCAACAAGGAAGTCAAGTACAGAGAGCATCAGGATAGCAAGAAGGAGAAGCTGCAGTTTGACGACCCATTTGACACCAGCAAGAACAACAACCAATAGGATGAGAGAAGTGATCAGACCAATCACACGGACTGCCCATGGCCCCTCCCAGCCTGTGGTCTCTGCCAGGGATTCACCAAATCCAGCACAAAATAATGAAATACTAACAGCCTAGTGGAAAAGAAAACAAGAACACTAATTAAAGAAAAATAAAAGCTCCCATGGTGATCAATTTGTTGTTTAATGATATAAAACAATCTTCAACATTAAAATGTGTTAGCTGAATAGGAATGAAGTGCTAAAAGGGAGAGAAAATCAAACCAGATATTGGGTACTTTGAAATTGGAATTTTGTGCCTGCCTCCAAGTTTGAAACTAGTTGTAACCCTTAAAGGTTTCCACTTTCATCTCCATGATCTCCTTGGAAACTCTGTTTTTGTTGTTGTTTTTTTTGTTTTTTTTGTTATGCATAAATGAAAATTTTAATCCTTTGTCTTACAATTCAGAGTCAGGCTAATCAATTGTAGTGATTGCAACATTTTGACTGCTATACTGCTGGTCTTTGTCAGGTCAAAAGTTTATGTCTTGCTATTTACAGCATCTTGGTTTGTTGTTGTTGGTGTTTTTTGGCATGCTGTCATTGGAGCATTTTGATCCTCATTATTAATAGATGCAAAAGCATCAATTCACCACCAACTCACCATTCCAAAAGAATAAAGAATTCCAACAGTTCCTCCACTTCGCTGGCCTAGAACATGTGCTAAGAGGAAGTACACACCACCACTTTCCACATGACAGCGCTCACACACACCAATGGCTGATAGTGCTGGAGCCAGAGCAACCAGCAGAGTTAACACAATAATCAATAATGACAGCCCAATGCCAGCATTACCCTGTTAGTAATAAAAATAATGAAAAGTAACCATTTAAAACATTGAATTACCATTCATGCATCACACCATTTACAAATAGTATAAGTATATAGAAGTCTGTTGCACAAGTCAAAAAAAAATTAAATTAATATTGCAAGTCTTTCTCATCTGGTACAAAACTATGTGAGATCATCTGGGATAAGACTTTTTTCTCAATTGACCAACTTGAATCAAATGGTTACATCACTTCAGACTTAAGGTTGTTGAAAGACTAATCACTTTCACTGAAAATACAGTCCTCATTGATACAGTCTTCCCTCACTGGGATGATCCATAATTTTCACTTTAAGGTGGCTAGCATCAGTGAGCAAAGATCCTTCATTTGACAAGGAAATGTACATACATGTACATGTCCCTTAATTAAGGATATGATGTTTGCAGGGGCTTGCAAAGGTCTCCTTCAGGACTGGAGGAATTGAGCAGGTGCAAACTTATCAAGAAAACAGTCAGTCTAATTGTACGAGGCACTGACAATTGTTTTGTCCCCCCTGCCCACACATGACGAAGGGCTAACGCTCGAAACGTCAGCTTTTTTACCCTTTATGGTGGCTAATTTACATTTTCAACCCAGTTGTTAACACTAAATTACCTGCTATACTCTCCCAATGATGCAGTACCACAATTTTTTTAGAAACTTACCCCTTTATTCATTTCCCTCAAGGGCACAGATGTCTGTTTAAACACTAATAATTATCCTTTAAATCACTGCTCAATAACAACTATAGAATGACAAAGCCAGTCCTAATTCAAGGTTACCTTACACCTGGGCTTGTACACATCACTTATGTTTATTGTTTATTGTGCACAGTGTTGATGTATTATAAGGAATTAGATATCATAGGTACATACCACCATCCATCCTGTTCTGAGAAATATCACCACACCAAAAATGTTCAGCATACATGATGTAAATACACCTTTGATTAAAAAAAGAAAGTAAATTAAATTAACTGTTTACTAATTACAAGCTTAAATCAGCTAACTTGAAACCTGTGGACTTCATATGATATATCAATGCATAGAAGAATTTCACATGATTTGTCATGATAATTACACAAAGAGTATTAGGAAGCCTTGCAAGCTGAGTACCCATACCTGACCACTAAATATTTTAATCACTGTAACAAGTGTCAAGCATCTATCCACTTTATTATATTCCATGAATGCAAAAACTCACCATCCCATGTTCCGAATAATACTGGCTCTCTCACAAAGAAGTTTGCCTTCCACCATGGCTTCTGAGACACTTGATCCCCCTTAATGCAATTTAAGAAATTTTTAAAAGTTTAGCAACAATTATTCATCAAAGAGGAACTGAATGGGGGTGAATATATACCAAGCTAGGAAGCAACAATGTAAATATTCACCACTTTCACAGAGACTGATTTGATTTTGTCTCTTCAGCTCATTGGAGGCGAGTAGTACTTGCCAATCACTTCTGAACTTGCTAATAAAGCATGCATGAAAAGTACTTCTCACCAGAGCTAATGGGGTATGTATTAATTAAATCTCATTTGTTATATTGGTATTTATATCACAAGCTGTCTGCCATCATGTTGTTGACTTCGACAATACAGCTCCTTTGCTTTCACTTCTACAACTTGTCTTGTCAAAAGGGTCAAGTATATCTTAAGAGAGATTCTTCTGCAAATCACTAAACAGCATAGATCGGCTAATTTCTGATTCAGTTTTAAAAGCTCTGGTAGACAGCACGTATGTTGCCGTGGGCCATTTTGGGGAAAAAAAAACTCAAACCTTATATCGACTGAGAACTGTTGTTCATCTGCATCTTAAGTTCTCTCTAAATTATCAAAATACTTTCCCTGCGATCCAGATATTTTCCCAGTTTTAAAGGATAAGCCGATATAAGGTATATAGGGTTCGTTGTTAAAAAGAAATTTCAAGAGCGGGCAATGTCAGTGCGAATTCGTTCTTCTTGATCGAATCGTACGAAATTTACATCTTCACGCTGGATAAAGTTATCAACTTTGTTCCAAGCTACTGGAGCGAATAAAAAAAATACTCCTTTTTTTCATCATGACAAATACATACAAAAATAGTATTGAGTTCATGAAATCAGTAATCGCTATCGAAGTATATAATTTCAAATTTTATTAATTTCTGATCAACAATTCATGTCGGGTAAAGGAACACACCGATCAAGTACAATTTTGTTTACTTCTATTTTTTTCTTGAATAAATTCGTGTCTGATTAAAATTAGATCAACCGTGAAATTGCGGACCTACCATGTAAATGCCACGAATGGAATATATTTTTAAGAGTCTTTCTTGCACTTATAAAATCAAAACACAAATTGAAAAACCGCCGGTATTGAAGCCAGCTGTCGAATCACGCAAATGAGAGGAAGTATGTGCATTTACAAGAAAACAAAAATTAAGTTAAATATCAGATTCGAATCTAAGCTTATTATATTTCCCCTTCAAAATCTTGCCTTCTCCTTTCGAAATGTTTTGCGTAAATAACTATTCGTTTGAAATAACAGCTTATTTACCCCTTAAGCTACAAAAATCCTTTTAATATGCAAATGAAAGTCGTTCCTTCGAGCGAGAACGGATGATCAAGAAATTGACAACAAAAACGAATTTTCCTTTCGTTTCCCGCCATTTTTTCCATACGAACCTGATCTTCGTCAAAGAGATCTTTGACATTCGGATTACCACAAGATGTACTTCCACTGGCTGTTACTTCTACCGATTGATCGCCGTGTGATCTTGGAGGAGAAGGCTCTGATCGCCCAACAGGATCCAAACCAAATCTACTCCAATTTACATTATCTTTGTTGTCCGTCATTGTCTTGCCGCAGCTCTGGTGAAATACTTCCCTTGAGTAACAACTTGAAGTTCACTGTAGGCCCAAGTACGCCCATGAAGGGTAGAATTTCACTCAGGGCAAACTAATCATCGGAGCCACGATAAAAAATTTCGAATTCGCATAATTTCTGTTGACGGAACAAACACCGAACACGCATGACAATGGTAGCTTCATTTGAATGACAGCTTTGCCAATAAAAGGTCGCCAATAGTAACCACATAAAATGTACGATTCACCCTAACAAAACACCTGTGTTTGCAAACCTCCCTTTGATTTACGCTCAAAAGTAAACAAGTTAACTTTTCTTCGTCGCAAAAAGAAACAGAGCTATCATACTGCTATCTAAAAAAAATTTATTTTGTTGCCGGAGAACAGAGGAACCGCAGGCAATAAAACCCTTTTGTGTTTTTATTCCTTTTAAATTTTTCCTTTATCTATTGAATCGAACAACGTCGCCCTCGTTCCAATGATGAATAAATTCAAACTGTCATAATTTTTAGCTTTAAATTTCTCACAAATCTTAAACTTTGTATCAGCTACGTATTTTATAAAGTTTCCTCGATTCCTCGTTGCAGACTCTCCAAGTTTGAAAATATTGACGAAATTTAATCAGTGTTAGTGAAATCTCATTGGGATTAAAACGCTCTTTAATTAAAATAGAAGGTGGGTCTACTCAAGCGCAGTCAAGCGATGAGGTGCAAAATTCCAAACTTGCAAAATTTAAATTAATCTTCCTTACCCCACCTACTACTCTAACACTCTATTCGCTGTTTCATTTTTCAAACTATCTGCTTTAAACATTACAATTACTCAATTCTTTAGACATACAAAGTGCGCAATCAAATTCGCAAAAAAGAAAACTGTTAACGAGCAACGTGTTTTAATTAAAATAATCTATGCGTCTAGATCTAAAATTTCCAAACTAATGGAAACGCATGGTCTCGACAAATTATTCTGACAAAAAAAAAACAATTAAAACTACTGTTCCCAAGGCTCTTTTATTAAATGTATTCAATCAATAAATTACATCTCGTAGTTAGCAAAAATCAAAATAATATCTTTGTTTGAAAAACATATTCAGAATTTTCAAAATATATTTTATTATAGACACGTTTATAGGCCGCTTGCGGGCAAATTAGCTTCGAGTGACAAATATGACTTTTGTGAAAGTCTTATTCGTAAGTGTAACAGAACTGTTATTTTGTTCCCCTGAACCGTTCGCAGCGCTAAAATGAATCACATTTTTTTTTTGGAGGCAGAGAACACACAGAGCTAAATTTTGCACACACCAACTAATGTCCCTTACTATGTCCTATGCCACTCCTACGCCGAAAGTTCCGGTACTCACCGATCCCGGAAAATGATTCTTGTTCGCCGTGTGTTCATTCAAGATCGAGATACTAATAGTTTTAAAATTAATACGATAAAAATAACAGATATTATAACAATATGGAAATAACTTTTGAGCTGCATGTATAACCCAAACAACTGTTGTTCAGAGCATGGCTTGGGGCCGTTAGTTACCGGAACTTTCGAGACACGGGCCAAATACACAACAGTTCAACGATCAATCAACTTGTGGCTTGACACCGCCGTCACTTAGTGTTAAAATCGAAAAAAAAAAATTAACAAACATATCTTGACTTAAGTTCCTCCCGCCTTTCAACTGGACGGTTGGAGCCTCAAGTTATTGCGGTTTGACTTTTCCACCAATAACCTTCTTTCTTTGTCGGATCATGTGAAAATAAAGTTGCGGAAAGACTGAAATTTAAGTAAAATAAAAAAATTCATCAGCTTTCGTGATTTTCTTTTCATTTCTTTTTAATATCATTTTCTATGGCGATAAATTTATCAACAGACACTTTTCGCGACTATTGCAAATTCTCAGATTCCAAGGGATATCGACCGCTACGGTGAATCTCCCTGTTAACAGCGTGTTTGAATAATTTCCGGAGAGAAATTTTAATTGCAATGTAGTTTAGGTTAACCGATTGGACTCCTGCACATAAATAATGTACAGCCACCTTGATAGGGTTAAAGTTCTTAAGGTAAAATTGCAAACCAAATAATATTTGCCTCTCCCCAAACCTGTAGCTTTTTAGCTGTTTGTACGTAGTAGAGTCTTACTGGTATCTAGGAGACAAGGGCTCGATCCCCATCGGAGACCGTATTTTTTTTTTTTTTAAAAGGCTTCCATTTCTACTATTACTTTCCTTGTAGTCTAATTAAATGTGTAGTTTCCTACACTGTCACGTAACGCTCACCCTTAAAAGGCAAACATCCCGAACGATTGTCACGCAACGCGCACCCCAGAGAACAGAGGCTAAGAAGGAGACCTAGATATAGGGATCAGTTTGTCCAATATTGAAAATCCCTCTAAAATTTTAATGTATGGACACTGAGACACTTACTTGGAATATACGAGAACATCACCACGATCAGGAAGAGATGATAATCAAAGGAAAAATTGAGACAATTTGGCATGGACACACTGTACAGACCAGACTTGGAAACATGACCAAGAGAGGAGTATATTGTCACCAGTTCACCCTAAAGACCACAGTAGGAATTAAATATAAACATCAGAAGAATGATTAACTGTCCAACACAACTATGATACAACCATACACAACATCTTAACCCTTTAGCCACTAAGAAGTGATTGGCATCAAATTTCTCCTCACAGTATCATTGCTAAATCAAACATTAAGGTCCTAAGAATAAAGGAAATGATCACCAGCAAGAGAAGCTCTTGATTATAATATCAATTCTCCTTCTCAGCAACTTACAAATTGTGTAGATAACAGTATGGAGAATATGGAGGCTGTTAGGGTGCAAAGGGTTGACTGATAATTAATTGAGATCTGATTGGTTCATTCAGGAACTAAGATACCTAAAATTTCAAGTACACATTAAAATGGTGAAGTACACATTTAAATGGGGAGGTGTTTCAAATGATCATGATGAACTGACAAACAATCTCATCTGAACAGGGACAGGACTTTCCCTGAAAAATCTTCACTCTCATAAAAATAGAACTTTAATTTTACTCACTGTCACGCCAATGGGATAGAGGAAAAAAAAGAAAGTATATCTGTGTAAAAAGCACACAAAAACATGTTGTAGTTTAAGCCACTTAAATTATTTTGTAAGTAAGTTCCAATAGGGGCCCGTATAAAGGCTTTACTTTTTACTACTAGGTTCCAATAGAAAATATAATTAATTTAGCAAAAAACAACTAAAGGAAAACCAATACACTCTAAGATTATCAAATATTTATTTCAACAGGCAATTGAAAAATACCCTGTGTGGGCAATTGCATATGATTAGCAATTTCCTCTTTTTACGAGCTTGCAAAACAAATGATGAGAAAACTTTTGATGAAACTACAGTGTATACACCTACAAACTGTTAATTCTTTCACCCCTAGGAGTGACTGGCCTCTAATTTCTCCATACAGTATTTACTTGTAATCAAGTGCATAGGTCATGAGAATAAAGGAAATGATCACAAATCTGAAAAGCTCCTGATTGTCAAACAAATTCTCCTTGTCAGTACAAGAGGAAAAGTAATGAGAACAGTGTGGAGAATATCAATATTAATGTTAGTGTGTAGAGGTTAACACACCTGCACCACTGAAGTACATAGGGCAAACTGTCCAACAAGGAAAATGCATAAAATGAATAGCGAATAACCTCTGTGATGGACCAAGCTAAAACAAACCCTGCCACACCAGGATTGTCATGAACCTAAAGCACAGAAGAAAAAAATAATTTAACTAATAAAATACCAGTAACCTCTAAATTAAATATATTGACCCACGTTATCCCTCACTAAATCATATTGATATTTATTGATCTATCATCTGTTTAAACCTTTACACATAGCTGTTTAATCTCACCTCAAAATGGATGGGGAAGGATGGGATTACTTGGGGCAGTTAAGGCAGAGGAGAAAAAGATAATTTGGTTTTAAAACTGAGTTAACAATGTAAATTGGCCACAAGTTCTTAAAGCTGAAGTTTAGAACATTAGCCCTACATCAGGACAAATATAGGAATCCTTCATAAAGCTAAAAGCCAAAATTAGCTACTTAGCAGTGGGGCATATGCATGTAATAATAATCCCCAAAGCTCTAAATACACTAAGCCAGCATAATAAAGATTTGATAGATGCTTACTTGAGGGACACTGTGAGCCACTGCCCAGGTTAAAAAGAGTCTTGAAGCTACTTGAAATGCTGTAAGAACAACTGAAGATGGCACTATACCTTTGTGGGGAAAAGAACACCATTGAAAGTAATTCTCATCTATATCCCAGTACAGGGACAAGGCTTCTCTTCTATTTGATTTTTTTTTTATACAAACATGCACATGATATTTCGGCAAAAAGAGATGCTTAGAAGCATGTATTTAGAACCTACACCAAGGTTTGTAGCTATCTTTGCTTTTTTTATTATTGTTATTACTTAGATCCTGATTATTCTCTGTATATTGTACCAAGAGATAAAAAAGCTGCACCACTTGCAAAAAGGGAACAAATTTCTGGCACTGAATAAAAGTATCCCATAGTGACAAACCCTCCAATGAGAACAGAAATATTTTTCTTATCTTGACTGGCACATAACAGCTTGCAGCCTAAGACAATACATGTAGAGCAAATGGGTAAAATATTTTTTTTATAAAATGATCAAATTTGCTCTTATATAATCCTACATACCTACTGCACAGTGTAATACCTGGAACAAGAGGAAACAAAAAGTCATGTTAGACATATACTATACCTCAAAAAAGCACACTTCAAGATACAAACTTTCAGACTTAGGAAATCTAGCTTACAGCAAGAAAGGTTGCCTTACAGGTCCTTAACTAATCATTTCTTTTAATGTTATTTCAATTTTGTGTAGAATGTTACTTTTTCTGCAATCATGACTACACAGCTAAATTAAATGTTCTAAGTTCTAAGTTCTGTACATGTATGTTTGACAATCATTCACCTCTAGGATGGCTGCAGATTGAAAAATCTTGAGGGGTTTTTCCACCGAGTCGTAAAGCCCAATATGAGTATTCTTCTTTGTCAAGTGCTGTACTGCGAGGACAAGAATCACACCCCATCTACAGAACAATAATTTTAAAAAAATCCCCAAATTAATTGATTTCCAACAATTCTGTTCGAATAATTCGCTCATACTCCCATATTTAGTAATACCAAACTAATAAACTTTTATGTCAAAGCTCTCAGGGACTTAGAATAGATTTCATTTGGCGCACACAGAAGGAATTATTTTATTCACGCAATTTGGCAATGTTGGCCTAAAAAAAAAGTTTAAAGCGCGTGACGATCTGCAGACTGAGGAACAAGAAACAAACATCAGCTGACATATTGTATTAAGTAATAAATATAATGATTAAATCAAGGATTTACTCAGAAATCACTGGAAAACTTATGCCTGACATTAAACTTGGTTTCAGCAGTCGCAGGTTTTAGTTTGCTGAGAGCTATCAATATCTTCTAAGCTGCACTAACGAAAAAACATTACAAGTATTCGCACTCGATCAAATCACAATAAATGGAAGCTCAGCTGTTTACGCGTAGGTTTTCACCAAACATAAATCACAGAAAGTACTATGCGCTAACTATATTACACTCAAGCCTCTTGCCATAAACAGTAAGATGACAGAGAAGTGATCTGATCCTCACCCTAGCGTCAGTACAACATTATAAAACACCAGGTAAATCTTCACTGGCGCCACCATATTGCAGGAGAGTTTAAGAGAGAAGCCTGGAGTAAAGTCCACGCTTGTTCATTAATTATCACCCTCGGCGGTGGGGGGTGGGGGGGGGGGGGGGGGGGAGAATTTTGGCGAAAGGGACTAGTGGAAAGTTGACTGCCAATTAACTGTCAACGAGAGGGGGGGAAGGGGGGGAGGGGGGGTCGTGAGAATATTGCAGAGCCATATGAGGGGATCAGGAAATTTCCTCGAGAAATAACCAGAATTTTCCACCCTTCCTTCCCAAAGGCGATGAGTAACGACCGTTCACTTAGTACGGGGGCTCTCCAAAATCTGGTAAATTTTTTTCAAGGCCTACATATCAAATGGTGTCCTATTTTAGAACGTGCCGAAACTTTAGCTGGAAAAATTACAGGTGATGCGAGTATCATGCATTAGGCACGCGCCAAAAATTATGCCAAACAAGTAGCGGACTCAGAAAGTTTCTCACAGGTTTGCGAAGACAAAGACAGTTTGCCCTCAGCTGATGTTATTTCTTTTTATTTCATCATAATTTATCTTCATTATTCATCTACGCTGGGTTTTTCTTTCTGGCATCACATGCAAGGCGTACTGAATTTGGGCGGGGTGCAACTCAAATGACGCCCAGTGTACAACCACATATACATCAATTATATTTTATTAATCACAATATTCTGTTTCATGGCAAACTACAACTAAGCCAAAGAGACTTCTATCTGTGTGTCGAACTGTGTTAAATAATTCCGCTGAACATTAACAAAGGAATGAGTTCGAACTGGAGCCGTTTGAAGCTGCTATAAACATTCGATCATTCGTAGAGCTTATTTCAATGCTGTTTTACCGCCAAGAAAAAATTAGCATTGTACGTATTCGTTGGCGTAAGAGCACGGTGCATTCTCTTGAATTCTCGATTTCTGTTGAAACGCAAATAAACAAAAAGTCAATAAAAACATAATAACCTTAAAATCAGATAAATGTTTTTTTCGAATAGTGGAGCGAAACTTTTAAAAAAATCAATCCATTACAGAGTCAATCATGACCCGCAATTGAGAATTACCCTTTTAGCGTCTAACTTAAAACGAAAACCACCAAAAAATCCAAAAAGCATATATATCTTACCGGCTTCTTTTTGAAATCTCGTCTGTAAGCATATGTAAAGTATGCGATGGAACCGAGACATAGCAAAAACTCTAAACAGGAAAAAATGAGCACGAATGTGGTTAAGGTTTTGGTTCGTGTAACATTCTGATCAGGAGTTCTGTTGTAGGCATACCAACTGAACGATCCGACCTCTTCACCTGTGAATACCGTGTGTACTGCCATACTGTAACAGACGATCAGCATTGTGGACAGGAGTAAGGATAATACTGAGAATAACAGGAAGTCGATCAACTAAAAATTAAAATGAAAGATTGAAAGAGTGGGACAAAACATTAATAAACCCAACAGTTGATTAATTCCAAATCATTATCTCAGATAATATAATAATAACGGAGCTCGCAGAGCGTAGCTCCATAATTATGCAAAATGGTAGTAACCTATCAAGCCGAAAAAATTTGGACTTATGACCGTGCGGGCGTCTGTACAAGATGCTACTTTTAACATGCGTGGTCAACTGTACCGCGGGCACTCCAACGCCACGGCTTTGTTCAGTAGTCCAGTGGTCAGTGCACTGGGCTCAGAGTCGGACGACCTGGGTTTTAGTCCTGGCCGGGGCAAGGCGTTGTGCCCTTGAGACGTGCGGGAAAAATCATGCGAGCTAAAAAATGCGAGCTCCGCTTTTAGGCTTGGCTAAATCTATGTACTAGTAGTACTAACTCAGTAAGAACCTCGTTGATAAAAGAAAGCGCCAAAAATACTGATTGGTTTTTTTTAAAAAACACAGAAGAAATTTTCAGTGAAACCAAGACTACTAAAAAGCAACACCAATTGATAAAGAGACAAAGTGAAAATGGGGGATTTCATCCGAAGGCCCGTGAGTCTGAAAACAAGGCAGCCTGTACTTGAATCTTAAAAGCCTTTTTACCGCAATTAATATTGGCAGTGTGTTATATATAATTAGGTAAACTAAAGTCTGGTCGACTCCAACTTACATAATACTTTTTGGAGTTTTCAGCGTTCTCCATGTTCGAATCCAAAACTGCAATAACCCCAGTGGCAGCAATCTGCAAAAAGAAATTTTGGGATCAGGGCAGTTACCTATGAAGGCTGTTCATTTGTTTAGTCATCCATTCATTTATTTTTTAACTTTGACGGATGTACCTAACTGAGATCGAGTCACTTTGCACAAGTTTTTCTTGTTTTTAAAATTAAAATTCTATATTTTTTATGTCTTCAGTGACCTCGCCAGTTATACCACGGTGAAACTGAAACATACAGAACAATCGAGCGCACCATCGTTGGTACAGTTTCTCGTGATGATCTCTTTTGGGGTATTTGATATGCTGGTAAACTCATAAAAGTGCGATGTAGATCTGTTTTACGTTGTTTTTGCATTTACATATCACAGAAGGGTAGTCATGCGTTTTATGCCAATTTCTCCAGAATTTTCTTGTGTTGAGATATTTGTTTATCTTGCTTTTTAATTTAGTTAAGAGATCATGTGAAATTTGACACGTCCGAGAGTAAAAAAAGGAGTGATGCCTAGCGAGAACTTAAAGGCAGCAATCATCAACTGATCTTGAAAGAGCTCTTTTCTTAAATTCATATTCTATAACTTTGATCCGCGGAAAAGTGATTGATCATCAGTATGTCAATACAACCACGACATGCCAAATCATTAACTATATAGTCATCCAAACACCATTCCCCATACATAAATAAATCTCACTTACTATGACTCCAATCCAGATTGGAAGAAGCATTTGGCTGGTCCAGTGATCAACCACAAGCCTTACTAAGATTCCCAGCACAATAAACAAGCCGCCAAACATACCATGAATAACACCTAATAACTTCAGAACGCCGTCAAAGTAAACTATGGCTCCATCTCTAACACCCATCTTATCTCGTGAAAGGAACTTTCAATTACTTGTTTAGTCGTTCATTTGTTAGTACAGCTGTACGATTTTGTTGGGAAGAATGTGCATTAAAATGAGATCATTACATTAAAATAACAATGTGTGACGTCTGTGTCATGAGGGACCTCGTCATAATTAGTTCCAGTTCTTGAACATCTTTCTTCTCAAACAGTCGTGCTCAAACATCCCTTTCCGCGTTGATTACCTCGGGTCTCAAGTGTGAGGAATGTTTTTCGTCACAGGAACCCCAAACTGGCAGACAAAACATGTCAAGAGTTTAGTGCAGAGATTCAAACTTTTCGATTTCATTAACTATACAAGTGGCAAAGGACATAATTCGAGAAGCAAGGGATGGTAAGAGGGGACATTCCTTTTAACCAATCACATTTCATGTTCCCATGCATTTCTCGGCCGCGCGTCACTTAGGACACCTGGGCTCGAGCCAGGTGGCGTGATTTTGCCTTTTTCGACAGCTCTCTTTGTTTGAAATTAATGTTGCCGAAGATTGCGTGATCCAACAAAGGTCACGCACTACAAAAGCATATCTTTGAGGGTTCTAAGAGAAATCAAACTTCGTAACATGATTCACGCTTGATCCAAGTTTTCCTTTACATCGCTCAAAACGTTCGATAGTATTTTATAATTTTACAGACTAAGATCTAACAATGGTCAATTGTGCAATAAAACATAGTGCGAAGTGCAGTTGACCCTTAAAACGAGGTCATTCTATTGTAATTATTTCAATCCATTCTTCTGCCTGCGGTATCTACACGAAATGGATTTGCGATACGCAGAAAGGACGACCCTATGAGATTCCAGCGGTTCAGATTTCACAGAAAAAAGAGAGACGTTTCCGTTATTCGATACTAATAGGTAGTAGCATCGAATTAAAAAACACTGCTAATCACGCAAACCTGGTCTGGACGTAATCGTAGCCCGGATGATATCATAAAGTGGGTTGACAACATCGGAGACTAACGAGAAATTCTGTCGTCGAAGTGAGTGCTCTTCTCAGGTTAGAATGTCGTCTGTGGTAAATAATGGATACAAAGGGACCGCAAGGAACAGTATTAAATCATTTCAAGAAAAGATGATCAAGTTGAAAAGTGATTTAAACGAAACAGAGAACAAAATTAAACAGCATAAACAGGAAACGCTTTCTGCAAGATGGAGAGAACACGAAGCCAAACTCCAACTGAAGGAGATGTCTGAAAAGATCTCAGAGAAAGAAGAAAAGATCAGAAAGATCGAGGACCGTATTCATTACCAGAACGGGCGAAGGAAAGAGATAGCGGAAAAATACCGAGAAAACGGGCGAGTTGCAAATGTGTTGGAAGAATCCACGATCAATGTAGAGGAAATGATGCGTAAACTTCACGAATCCCAGCAGCGCGTAATGGAATTAAGGAAAATGAACAAGGGAATGTCGCAGGTTGTTGCAATTCTGGAGCCTAAAATTGAAAAAGCGGAGAGACGCGAACAGAAAGCTCTTAACCGTGCGTTTTTGATAAATCAAAAGTTATCTGTTCATCGTTACCTAGCAGCCAAAAGGCCTGAAGGAATGTTGTCTCCTGAAGAAGAACTTGTTCCACAATCCAACCAAGAAGCCAAAGTTATAAGCATACAAGAGAAAATCAGAGGGGCAATTTTACGGAGGCGAGAAGCCGAAAAGAAGCGGTGTACTTTGGAGAGAAAAATTCAGGTTATGGAAAAGGCGCTGGATAACTTCAAGAGAAGAAATCTGGAGTTTCAAATTAGCAAAAGGGAGCTTCTTAGTTCAAACTTTTTATAAACTCGCAAAAACTTGACAGTTAAAAAATATGACTTCTTCATCCGATTATAGACTTTCTTATAAATTACTTACACTTCATAGAACACCAGTTCATTTAATAGGTCTTATAGTTTAATTATTAACAGGTTAAACTTATAGTGATTTATCATGATCTAAGAGATTGCTTTGATGACCAGGACAATACGAACATGGCGCACTTACAGATCACGAACGCAACGCTATAAGGTACATCCTGCTTTAGTTAAGATGTCTACATTGTCCTAAATATTGACTAAGCGAGAAAAATAGAGTTTATCAAAAGATCTAAGAAGCTTACAAGCTTTTTGAAAGATACAAAGCTTCACGCAGTGACCTGATTGAATAAGCCATTGTCATCGACGGAGAATTTGATTAAGTAAATAAACATTAGCTACCTTGGAAATAATACGTTCGCTTTCTTTGCACTAGTCTCCTTCGCATGCAGGCAAAAAACTTGCTGATCTTATTTTCATGGGTGTTCGAGGTTCCGGTTTTTTTTGCACGTTAAGCTGGGAGATAAGTCAGCGTTTGTCTTGGATGACTTCGTTTACTTTACAACTTCGTCATATTCGTATAAATCTCCTCAATTCCCAGCCATTCCTCTTCCTCCTTTAATCTTATTGCCCCTTTTGTTTCATACCATCCGCCGAACTATGTTTAAAATGTCTCCTTTACGTCGGAGATTGTTTTGCACAGCACAAATAAAGAAAAGAATAAAAAAGTAAAAAAAAATTAGAGCATTTTTTCTCTCTCTACAAATCAGCAGCAGCATGTACATATGTAACTGCAAGGTCTCTGTCAATACTTACAAGGATTATCGTAAAGGTCATGAAACGAAATCTCAATGATATCGCGCGCGCCCGTTGACAAATGGCTGGGTAACTATGGCACAAGGATTTGTCTGCAATGCCCATACTCATACCGCGGAAAATCAAGGCAATTAAATTAGGCAATCGTTACACATTATAGCGCATGCCTCCAGTCAGTGTAAGGAGAGGAATGAGATATAGCTTTATAAATTAACATGCAATGTATTTGAAATCCTGGAAAAGCGGTGTATCTCGTGTAAGCATACTAACGTGATACAAACTGTGAAGTTTAATTTTCAGTAAATTCTCCCATTCTCTGATGGGTTAATCGCACACTCACACACATTAGTTATTTTGTGATCTATCCAGTTGTGAAGAAAAATTGCGGGATGAGCTGGGATGAAACGAGCTAAGACGCAATGAGACTGCCCGCAGAAAAATCTGTTGGAGAGTACGAGTTCATGGGATACTTTTTCGTGATTTTATACTCACTCCAACCTTGAGAATTTCATTTAAAAAAACCACAAAAACATTGAAAATTCAATATCTTGCGGTTTTATCTCACAATAAATGTCTGCAAATGCTACAGCTCCTGCTGCTTGAGGTCCATTCCAAAAATTTCTTTCCTCTCTGACCGACAGGTCCTGGTGCTGACTAGCTCCCAGTATTTCATTTCAGCGCTGTTCATTACCAAGGCAACTAAAGTGTCTTCTCTCCTTCGGCAAGACAAGAAGAGAATTTGGTTATTGTAGAGAATTTAGCCAAAACACAGTGTATCAGGCTTCACAATGATTCCGCCGAATGCATCACTAGTTAAATATGACAATCCAGTTCTCGTAAGCAGGAACACAGACAAAAAATCGCCAAGGGTAAGCTATTTTTGCAACCATGTCATATGTACAACACAACTATAAGGTTTATGCAGTGGTGAGCTATGTGATAGACTAATTAAACATTTAGTTCAATTGTGAGTGGCTTGATGGGTACACAAGAGAGTATTTCGTCCCTTAAACCAAGAAGAGATTGTTTAGGAAAAAAATCCTCGATAAGCATTGACAAACACGTTTTACATGTACATTATCGAGAATGACCTTGCTCTTTAGCGAAATTACTGGTCTGTGAAGAACGGTACATTGTGATGGCACCGTGTCGGAAAAAGAACACAAAATAACAAGCTTCTTTCGTGGAGAAAAAATTATTCCATTCCATGCCATTGCTACTTTGTTTTGGGATTTCAAATGACAATCTTAATGAGGGAATTAATGTATTAAGAATATAAAAAAATAAATCATTATGGAATTGTTAGTATGTCGGTACAAACCTTTTAAGTTGATGATTTTTTAGTGGTACTGCATATTTCATTTATTTGTTTACAGGCGCGATCTCTGAAAGTAAGCCAACAGCAAGGTACAGGACCTGCAGCAACTGGACCAGTACCTCAACCGCCACGAGCTAGTAAACTACCACCAATGGATGCACAGAAAAACCAACAAACTGATGAGATACTCAATGCAATCCTGCCGCCAAGGTACATATCATATGCATGATCTTGATGGTGTCTGCCTCTACCTTTATGATGAAATAATTTGGTTTCATCAACTGAGTTAACAATGTAAATTGCTGCCATAGAGTGTTTCCAAAGCTAATCTTACAAGAGTTATCCCTTTGTCAGAACTAAGGATCAACTGACAAAGGTCAAACACTTAAAACTTCAGCTTTAGAAATTCTCTGTGGTGGCCAATTTACATTATCAGCCTAGTTGCTAAAACCAATTTATCTTGTAATACTGCCTACAGATACAGCTTCACTGTTTCTTAAGAAACTTACCCCCTCTATCTATCTCTAGAACAGCCACCTTTGGGGGCCTCACCTTCTGTCTGGCTTAGAGACTTGTATGACTAATTAGAGAGCTTACAATGTGATGCCTGAAGAATTTGAGCCAAATGGGTACCCCTTGTTTGCCTATTTTTAAGTAGGTTTTCTATGGGCAAAGCATTACTCGACTCACTCATGTCTCCTTGAGAGGTGTTTTTGATCCTGCTGGGAAAATTTTTTGTTTGTTCTTTTATTTTACAGGGAGTGGACTGAAAATGGTCAGTTATGGGTGCAACAGGTATCTAGTACTCCAGCCACAAGATTAGATGTTGTTAATCTACAGGTAATCACTGGGGGTTAAAGCTTTTGCTTACAGCACTTAACGTATGGCCTAAGAGTTACAAGCATTTAATTTCTCCTTAAAAAATTACTTCTAAATCAGACATTAAGCTCAAAAGAATAAAGGTAATGATAATCAACTTAAGAAGCTCATGATGGATAAATAAATTCTCTTTATCAAAGCCATAGAAAATGTATAGAGAACAGTATAGAGAATATGATGTAAAAGTGTAACTAGGGTTGGTCAGTGGGAGTGAGGGAAAATTGAAATTCTTTTATTCCCCCCACCCTAAATTCTTGAAGAATCAGTTGAAGAAGTAGATTAGTAAAGGTTTTTTTATGTATTTGTGTTCATGTTTGACTTTTTTACTGATTAAGGTGGATTGTGATGTTCTTTTGTTATCTTCTAGGAGCAACTGGACATGCGTCTTCAACAGCGACAAGCAAGAGAGACAGGAATCTGCCCGGTCAGGAGAGAACTTTACTCACAGTGTTTTGGTGAGCTATTTGATGTTATGAGATGTTCAATTATAAAATGTCAAACATCTCAGATGCGTAATGGTAATTTATCTGGTAATATATTTCAGATGAATTGATTCGTCAAGTGACCATTAACTGCGCTGAACGTGGCCTTCTGCTGCTCAGGTATGGTGTTAAAACTGGAAACACAACTGACTTTGTAACTTAAATCATTAGCAATTTTTTTAGTAAGGAGCACATTGGCCTCTAATTGTAGGTGAAAACCAAAAGGAGTATTTGCAAATTATCATTATTTTTACTGTTTTAAAAGGAACCTGCTTTGACAAGCAATCAGTAACCCACATCTGTTTTGTTACCTGCAGAGTGCGTGATGAGATCAGAATGACTATTGCTGCCTACCAAACCCTGTATGAAAGCAGGTAAGTGCAATTAATGTAATCCTCAAAGAAAAAGCAGACTCTCTGGTGCCTTTTTTTTTTACAAGGTGCATTTTTTGCAAAAAAACAAAAAAAAAGAAAAAAAACTGTAACCCTCCCCCTCATGTGATCCAGAAAAGTTATGACCCTCTCCATGCTAAGCTCAAAGTTTTTGTGACCCACAGCACCCTTCCCCCTTCTGTACCGGCCCTTCCTGACTGTTAACTAAATGCAAGGTTGAAAACATATCTTTATTACATGCAATTTGTGCAGTGTTGCATTTGGAATGAGGAAAGCATTGCAAGCTGAGCAAGGAAAAGCAGACATGGAAAGGAAGGTTAGTGCATGCCACGATCTGATATTTGGAGAATATATAGGAAGAAATCAGTATTTTGTTTTATGTGTGAAGATGTAGGGGTAGTTTCCATGTGGCACAAGAATGTATTTGTGGTTCCATAGTTTTTTTTTACATAGTCAACTGTCTCCTTTTTGCTACTGTGCATTCAAAAGGACACTCAATGAAATTGCTCTCGATCACTGCAGTTGCATTACATGAGAAAATCAAATTAAGTACTGCTGTTTTAACAAACATTTATTTGAGTATAAGGTAATTGTGATGGTTTCATGTAGATTCAAGAGCTTGAGGGAGACAAGCGAGATCTTGAGAGGCAGGTCAATGAACTGAAAGCCAAGTGTGAAGCCATTGAGAAGAGAGAAGCTGAAAGAAGGGCAGTTGAGGAAAAGAAGCATGCAGAGGAAATTCAGTTTCTCAAGAGGACCAACCAACAACTGAAGGTACATACTTAGCCTGTTGAAAGGCAGCTTACCTTAAAGAAGTTTATAATGGGGAGCCATTTGCTGGCTTTATAAACTGACAAAAATGCTGCCTCATTTGATTTCAGTAGAGGTCATCAGACAGGGGGTTCAAATAAAAAACAAGAAGACCTACCCAACCCCTCCTTCCTTATAGATTCCAAGATGGCTGCCACTCATTGTGAGGAGAAGAATCAGGCACCTTTCTTGTGGAATGTGTTTTCTCTCTAAAGACTTGTTGGAAGCCATATCCTCCCACAAAGTAACAATCAGCCTCTCCCCTTCATAGCCATTTTGGTATTATTTTGGGGCTCCTCTGACAGTCTGCATCAGTTTATATCTGCTACAGTACAAAGGGGGTAGGGGAATAATGTTTTTCCTACTACATTTCCTGCTGAAAACCCTGAATATTCCATTATCTCTTTTATTGAAATAATCATTGTTTTCCTCCTGAGAAATAATGGTTGTTCCTCTTTCAGACCCAGCTTGAAGGGATCATTGCTCCTACCAAGAAGTAAACTTGTTTGAATGATCTGGGCAGTGTACATTTTGTAAACATTGGTAGTTTTGAAATGGTAATAGTTTTCCACAGAAAATAAGCAATTTCTTTAAATGACAACTTGTAAAGAAACCTTACTTATTATGAATATTCAAACATTTACTCACCATTTGAAAGATAAATTGTCATTCATTCATTCATTTTTTTTTTTTTAAGGTAAAACTGACTTTTTTTTTTACTGATAGACGTTATGTCACATATCGAAGTGTGTTGGCAGTACTGCAAAATTGTGGTTACACACTTTACAACTTTATGGTTGACATATTTTGAGTACATTAATAAAGTGTTGAAAAGACTCTTGTCAAACTAGTAAAAGCTAAACTGACACAACCACAGACAAACTTTGTTCAAGTATTTAATTAATGTTCAACACACACACAAAACTTGTTTGAACATGTTAAATTAATTTAATAAATAATATTAAATAAATAGACACCATATATACATTTCTATTTCTATCTCTAATTTGGTTTCTCACACATTTTAAGAACTTTCAACCAATTCTAAATTGATAATTTGGAAAAGAAAATATCAAAACTTCACTGCCACAAAAAAAGGCAAAGAGAAAAAAAAAGAAAAAAAATCTTGCAAGTAAATACCATTACATAGTATATGCACAAATAAAGCAGGCCTTGTCTAATTACTGCATTAAGCATTTAGTGTCCGCTGAAGTTAAACTTCTGGAAGACAATCAAATCATTTACCATAACCATCAATGCACGGAAAACACAAAAGTTTACTTGAAGTCAAATGTGCCTGACCATGCCCTTGCAATGGGCTCAACTCTCTGAAGAAAATTTGAAATTGCAGCATAAAAATAAGGACAATTTGACTATATCATTTCCAAGTTAAACCTAATAAATTAACAGTCTGTTTCCTAAATTGTAGTTACTTTTTAGAACAATGAATGTATGTATTAAGCAGATATCAGCATTTTCATCATGCATTTACATAGAAGCTAGGATTTGTCCCACAATTCTCATCTTTCTAAGAAGTACACAATGTACATTAAATTCTATATATTAATCTGAACAACTCCCAATCACCACTAGACAAACAGTAAGAACTGTCACTGGACATGTTTCTTCTTCACAGAAAATTAAAGCCGTCAATTTATTCTTGAACTCTTCTACTGGCCCACACTATTGATGACTCAGCTACCATCAACAAAAAATTAAAATCTTGAGTGGAAAAGAAACATATTTTGGTGCAAAATAAAACTGAAAATAACTGCAGCAATGTCCTGCAAGTAGCAGTAACATCTCACAATGATTTAAACTTGAAATTCACTAATTTCCTCCATCTTTAGTCAGCATCTGGGAAAGAGAAATAGGGTAGAGTTAGATCACCTAGTGCAACATGGTTTGCACGATTACAGAAAATGACAGCATTAATAACGACACACAAAAATATTTGACCATCTTGTAGAGTGCAATCCCTTGAATGAAGACAGATATGAGAGGGGTATTTTTAGTGGCAGCCAGACTAAAGTCATCATCTCTTGACTCTCTCACCCTTTAATTTCCCTGGGTTGTCAAAATGATGCCCACTAGTTAACCAACAGCAATGCTTATGGGGACTGCCATCATCTGGGAAATTTCACACAACAATAACCCAACACTCAAAGTTCAAAGAATTTGGTGTACAATATTAATTAAGTCTGTTTGTGGCTGCTTAATCATAGGGTACATGCTCCAGTCAACTATTGCTGGGGGAAAAGCTAATGTACCACAGCCCCTATATGAACTGGTTTATTTAACAAATAGATTCTGAGTTGCCTCTGTTGTGTAATAGATCAAAGATGATGTCAAAATGTGGTAAGTACAAAAAAAAAGGAACACATTAAGGTGTAACAAAGTGTGTCACTGGTATGATCTGTCACTGAACAAGCTCACGGCAACATGGAATTGATTTGCTTTGTATGATGAAAAATGCAAGTAGTGGTGATCTCATCTATGTGTCTGTCCTTTGATAGATTATAGCTAGGTAAGAACCAATCAAACTGCATGTATATTCAGTTTATAATATAAAATAACATTCAGGTGTCATGATCATTAAAATTCATATATCAGCCACCTTAAAATTTCAAATCTCAAAAAATGTCAAGTTTTCAGATTCAATGGCATGTGATAAAAAAAAATAACAACAACAACAACTCACTGTGATATTTTGAGCTTCGCAGGGGGATCACCCTTACAACCAGACACCTTCCACTTGTGGTATTCCTCCAGCTTTTTGCTAGATACATTTTTGTTATTGTTGGATGTTTGTGTGTTATTATTAGTTTGAAGAATAAATGAATCAGTTTTGCCTATGGGTTGACTAGCTGTCTTTTGATGCGTTCCAGAGTTGATGTCCACTCTCCTTCTGTCAGAAGGCAGAGACTCTGCCCTCTGAATGTTTTTTGTTCCCTTGTGTGGTGTGTTGTCATTAGACGGTATATTACTGTCCTTGGAGAACCTCCGAAAAAAGTTTGACTCCCCTGGTAAAGGTGACAATTCCTCACCTGCAACAAAACACCACAGTTGTGCTTCTGATTTGTTGTAAATATCAAGCAAGAGAACCAAATATCTTCAAATTGGTAGTATCTTTCTCCTGTGTCTCAAAAAAACAAAAAAAAAAAACCAAACCTAGAGTTAGGCAGGTTTCATCAATAATATCTTGTTGTGATGGCAAAATTAAAAAAAGGGGTATGTGAGAGCTTGCAATTTGCTGCAGGCTCTGATGGAGGGCTAATGCTTGAAACATCAGCATTGAAATTCCTTGCAGTGGCCAATTTACATTATCAACTCAGTTGAAGTTACAAAATTATCTTGTTATATTCTCCTACCAATGCAGCACCAAAGTTTCTTTAGAAACTTAGCCCCTTTTAATAGAAAAGGCCTGAAAAGACAAAAAAAATTACAGCCTGTTCTACAGGCAAGAGTAAAATTTTAACTTGTGGAGTTAAGTACTGATAAGACCAATATCTGGACCTACCAGTTGATACATTGATTATACTATCAGGAGTGAAGGTCCACATGTCTTCTTTTTCACTTTTAAGATCACTACCACCCCTGTCTGTGTGGTCATACACATCAGAAAGTCTGTCCCATTTTTTTCTGTTCAATGATGATGACTGCTTTGCATCAGACTCATCAAAACTTTCCCAATCCTGCAGATGAACATTGCTTGAGGAAGACTGTGGTGTCCCACTGTGAAACTTCTCACATGCATCTATGTTATTAATGTTGCTGAAGTTTGTTGCTCTCCGTAGACCACCAAGACCATATGATTCTTTATCTGTTAATGTAGGAACATCGTAATCTGAAAGGCTAACATGTCCAGCAACAATTGCACCAAAGTCATCAAAGTGAGAGGTACCACGTGTAGTCAAATCACTCAGGTGCCGCCGAGGCTGCTTCCTAACACGTCGTATAGGCATATCATCCACAAATCCAGACTCGACCAAACCATAATCTGAATTATCTAAAGGATCAGTGTACCCAGATATGTCTCCAACAGCACCAAGAGCCTGAAGGTCTGATTCTTGTTCTCTAGCTAAAGTACAGTCAAGCTCCAATGCTAGACGATCCCTCTCTGCCTGCAGTGATGCTATTGTAGCATCAGAATCAACTAGCTGCCATTCCAAGTTTGAAATGTGTTTGTCCTTCTCTAATAACTTTAATTGGAGTGCATCCACCTATCGATGAAAACCAAAATAAAAGAGAAAAACAAATCAGTATATTGGTCTGACTGCCCATCCCCCAATTAGTCTTTCAGTCAGTTTGTCTGTCAGCCAGTCAGTCTGGTCCATTACTCTGCAACTTAATCAGTCAATTCATCTGTGGCTTGGTCAGTACATCAGTCAGACTGTTAGTCAATCTGTTTGGTTATTTGTCTGTGAGTCTGTCAGTTAGTTTGTAACTCCAACTCCCAACATATCAGCAAATAAGTCAGCCAGTTGTTCTGTCAGCCAGCCAGCCAGTCAGTCAGTCAGTCATTTCATCACTCAGAGTCATTCAACTGAATTGATAATGCCAATTGGCCACCATAAGGAGTCTCTGAAGCTAACATACCAAGCATTAGCCCTTTGCCAGAGTACCTGAGTCAGCCATTCATCCAGCTGGTTGGTGATTTAGTCAATTAGTCTGTGACTCACTCACTCACTCATTCATAATGCTGGTCAATGAATCACTTTGAATATACGTTATTTTTTCCTTCCTGACGACTTCTACATACCTTAGCATCTGCTTCCAATTTTTTTTGATACACTTGATCAGAATCAAAGATTTCCTTCACCAAGCCTGATGAATGACTCAAATCTGTGACAAAGAAATTTTCAGTGAAAGAAGAATCCTGTAAATGTCATAAGATTAAATATAACACTCAAGTTGATGCTTTCCTGGCTATTTGACTCTTGCATCCTTGTGAACCTTTTTAAATAACTGAGATTTATTTAGTATACTTTGTTCAGAAAAGTTCTAAAATTTTTTTTGCAATTCTGCACTGTTTAAAACTTCATACCAAGCAAAGGTACTCATTTGATAAATTGATGAAGCTTAAAATCTTCCTGAAAAAAAATGTTTCTCTTACCTTTTTCAGTTGTGTTCTGAGATGATAACAATTGTATATTTAATTTTCTAAGGTTGTTTATTTCTTCTTGTAGTTTTTCTTTGACAAGTTGATTTTCTTTCTCTTTATCAATCAACAACTGATCAACTGTAGCTTTGTCTGTTACTAGCTTTTCACAGTGCAACTGAAGTTGCTCAATCTGCGCGCGTAGACTGTCATAGGAGTCAAGAATCTCTTCCAATGCTTCTTCTCCAAATAAGTCCAGCTCACGAGGAGTGTCACGTTGTGATGACTCTTGGGCAGATGACTCCATTACTTTGCAACAGAAGTTCACAACCTTGTCAAGGCTGGATTACAAAGCACATCTAAGAAACAAAAAGATGAATGAAGTCAGCATTTCATAAACAACCATTGGATCTATAGCAATTCAGTAAGTCATCTAACAAAGAAAATGAGAATTTTTTTCAAATGTATTACACCACAGCCTCAACCTTTTGCCCATCTCCTCTCAAGGGAGTAGATATCCCAATTAATTCCCAGGTCTCCCCTCTTCCCACCAACCCTAGTGGGGTAAGGATGGGCAAAAGCCATAAAAAAAAAGTTATGTTTGAAATTTTCTAGAAACACCCTTTTTCAGAAGTTTACAAAAATAGGAGGCCCTGTCAAAATTGCCCCAGTCAACCCAATATATAATTCTATAGTGAACTGCTACAGAAATTCTTATAAAAATGATACATTTGTCACCTTATTTTTGTTCGTCAATCCGTTTAGAACAACAAAAGTTCCATGTACAATAACATGAACTGAGTGACCACAAAAGGAAGAAAAAACAACACGAATCCAATATCGATCATCGTGTCAGACGCCTAAATTTTGGATCTATGTAATGCCTGTTTTTGTAACGCCTAACCTTAAGAAATTTCACATCGAACAAAATTTTATGAGTAGCAGAAAAAAGTGAATTGAGCTTTGATAATTTTCTGTAAATGTGAGTTACTTTATCCGACTTTACTCCGAGATTTTTGATGATGGGGCATAAGTTTGGCGACTTACGTCAAAACCTTGGTAGCATGAAGGCAAAATCATCACGTTCTTACAGCGAAATTAATCAACGGCGTGAAAACCAAATTTGGCGAAGATGTACGTCAAAAATATAAACACTTCTCCAATTCATAATTTAATATTTTCATTCCTAGAATCGAATCCATCAGCAAAAACATCACAAATAAATACGGAAACATCGAAAAAAGGTCGCTATATGTCAGATTATATCTACATGGATGCCATTTGTAACCTATTAACTTGTTATCAAGACCAGCGTGAAGAAATCGAAGCGAATTAGCTCACGAAATATTATATTCATTCATTTGACAATGCGTCGACAATAATATTTACTTTTCGTTTCGCTCGAGTGAAATCTTACCTTGAAAAATCTGGCACAAATGCAAACACTCCATCGGCATCACCTGTTCTTCCTACGCTGAAAGAAACGCGGTGCTTTTTTACTTCCGAGCAGGGTGAAGTTGCAATGTCGGTCTCGTCCTGAGTCACATGTCCAGCTATATAACGCGTTCTATCGAGGAACCGCGCGTGCGTACATCGGCCTGAAGTGTTTGTGTATAGTTTAAATATTTGTTCTCCTCGTGTATTGTTCCACAATAAAATCCTGTCTGACACCCAAAGACAGTCGCTTTTGAGATCTTACATACAACTGGGCAGAATTTAACAATAGATGAGGTTTAACAACAATTCATCACAATCCGACCCTAATGAGAGGGTGGGTCACAACCGCGCGGCAATGGAGTGTTTCTTTTCTTTTTTTTTTCATCTCACAGACTATTCTGGGCTTCTTAATCCTCGAGTGCGTCAATACTAGCATCTCCTTGTTTTCAATTTGTCTATAAGCGCATGATCGCTGCCAACACGCGAAGATAAGCAGATAAAAAGATTACAAGGTTTCAAGGAAATCTAATCTTCAAGTACGCAAATCGAACAAAACAAATCCGAAAAAGTTCTGGCTGAATGCCCTATCACTACTTAACACACTGGGAACACTGAAAGAGGCCTGGATATGCAAACCTATATTTTCAATTCCTTTTTTCAAAAACTTCCTCGACGTATTTTGAGGCCAGGCTAGGCAGATAACATGGAAGAAATAGACACAAGATTTGTCCCATGGGAGGTTCCACACCACAGCTTAGCCCCCCAAGGTGCGTAGAACATCTTCACGAATATTAATTTTCTCAAGGTGGATCGGAATATATTGCGTTTGTACAGTCCAAAATCACATAGGCCCGCAAGGAGTGCAAAGGATCTTAGAAAAAAGAAAATACCATCATTTCCACTGATGACCACATAACAAAATGAAGCAGGAATAGATTAAACGTAAGGAAATACTTACAGTAAGTTCAGTTTTTTTGTGGTTGGTGAGATTATCAAAACAAGGTACAAATAACTAGAAAACCAACACAAGCCCAGTGTAACGCTTGAACAACTGTTGGCTTTAAATTGAAAGAAAACGTGACATTGACAATAGCTTGTCCTTTAGGTTTATTTACTCAAAGACATCATTTTGATATAAATCCAACCAACATTAAAAGCAGATAACGTTATTCAACAGCATTTGGAAAAGAATAGCCTGAACAGAAGAGAAATAGATGTCCACAAATATAATGGCAACAGACACATTAATCATCCTTCTTGGAAGCGGACTCTTCCTCGTCTATTCTCACAACACAATGTCGAGGAAACCAGCCTTTTTCTTTGCTCAGAACTTCATCTGTAATTTCTGTTAAATTAAATTAAAAAAACAACAACAACAAAAAACATGAATAAACAATGCCTTGCTTTCAACTCATCTAGTTTGTACTGTTCAAATTCAATTACAGTGAAACTTCTGTTTCCAGGAAATAGATTTTTTGGAATTCTGCTGCCAATTGAAGTGAATATTGCAACAGCAACCTGAATGGCTCTGCATCATATTCTGACATCTTGTGATTGGCTAAAATGCACTTATAACCAAATGATTCCATCATAAAAGAAAAAAAAATCAAAACTATTCACTCTGATGAAGGGCTAATGCTCAGTGTCAGCTTTGAAACCCTTTATGGTGGCCAAATTATGTTATTAACTCAGTTGATAAAACCAAATGATCTTGTTATACTTCAGCACCGATGCAGCACCAGTTTCCTATTACCCCCCCCCCCCCCCCCCCCAAAAAAAAATGCTTTGGTTATAATAGTTTTCCTACATTAGGTTGCTGTGCAAATGTTGGGATATTTTACTTTTTACTTCTTTGCATAGGCCTAAAGAACATTTAATTTTTGTCTCATAGACTCACCAGTGGCTGATAACTTATGAAGAGACTTTTCACCATACAGCCACCACCTGACAACAAAAGAACAAGAAACAGTGTGAGAAATCATAGAAAAATGAAATAGTCTCGCATTCCAACAAAGAGTTGTGATGAGATGATCATTAAATGCAACAACAACATACAGCTAAGAAGGAAAAGAAGACATGATACAAGCAAAGTGTGAAAGGATGCTGATAGGAAAGAAGGAAGGGTGAGACAATAAAAGTGAGAATAGGAGACCAGGAGAGTGAAAGGAGGAGAAAACACTGGGACTGAGGCACAGAGATATGGGAATGGAACAAATAAGAACAAAACAAATGATGAAACAGGAAAAAGAAGAAAGTAGAAATGAAGGGGGGATCTGAAGAAGAGAGTTTGGAAACAAAGCAAACAATAGGAGACCAGGAGAGTGAAAGGAGGAGAAAACACTGGAACTAAGGCACAGAGATATGGGAATGGAACAAATAAGAACAAAACAAATGATGAAACAGGAAAAAGAAGAAAGTAGAAATGAAGGGGGGATCTGAAGAAGAGAGTTTGGAAACAAAGCAAACAATAGGAGACCAGGAGAGTGAAAGGAGGAGAAAACACTGGAACTAAGGCACAGAGATATGGGAATGGAACAAATAAGAACAAAACAAATGATGAAACAGGAAAAAGAAGAAAGTAGAAATGAAGGGGGATCTGAAGAACAGAGTTTGGAAACAAAGCAAAGGGAGACCAGAAGAATGGAAGGAGGAGAAAACACTGGAACTGAGGCACAGAGATAAGAACGAAACAAATAATGAAAGAAAAAGAAGAAAGTAGAAATTAAGGATCTGAAGAACAGAGTATGGAAACAAAGCAAACACAGAACAATGTAAGTAAGAAAGGACAGTGTAATGGAGAAATAGAGAACTGAAGAATGAGAAACAATTGAACAAGAAAATGAAAAAAAAGACAGGGAGCTGAAGCACAAATGGAGCAGAAGAAAAGAAACTAACAAATATATTGACATATATACAAAAATAAAAACATACTTTCTCCAGCGAGTGACCAAAATAACATCTCCCTGTTCCACTTTTATGCGAGGTTCGTCTGTCCATGGAGTGGATATACATGTTCTCAGACCCTCTCGCCAGGCAATAACACTTCCATTATAAGATTTTACTACTCTACAACAAATCTGAAGGATGGAAAATGTGGGTTAGAAAAATATCACATCAGAACCTTAAACTTGTATAGGCTGGGATGAAATTTAATTCCTGTTGAGTTCCCTTTACACAAGGTACATATATTTATTTGATTTTTTAACTCACTGTTCTTTCTCTTTTCAATTTCTTCTGCTCCAACTGTTCCTTCTAAAATGGGAAGAAAAAGAAAATGAAATGAAGAACTACAAAAATTACCAGATTTTGACAAATTGAGTTGAAGTAATTAGTCCTAACTATAAAGTAACAGTTACAGTCTGAGGGTCAAACATTAAGCAACAGGAAAAATACAGAGATCTCAGTTCATTTCCTATACCGTCAGCGTAAACTGATCACATCCTTCAACAACAGGCCATGTTATTCCATCTCCAACATAATCTTGCCATAATGTTATCACCTAAAAGTATTTTAAACAGATAATCAGGAAATTGCACAATAACAACTGTCCTACACAGAATGAAAAAAATTCAAAACTGTCACAATTAGAAATTAAAGTAGTCTGATTCTCAGACAGCCAGTGGTTGCTCTATTCCACAACCTCATCTTGTTGAAGTTAACCAGCTCAAATCATCTGAGAATCAGGCTTAACTTTAACCCTCGAGAAGTAGAAGTAGAAGACGAAATTTGTAATTCTCCTTACTGTCAACCATATGATTACTATAATGTTAATTGAGAGAATTTAGTATTGGATCAACTAATAATCCCCAAATTGATCTTTTCTTTATTCTCATCACTTATCTGGTTGATACTGTATTGATATTGTTAAGAGAAATTCTGTTTTGGTCACTCACAGTTAAGTCGCCATCAAGTAAAAATATAAAAATGTTGGACAACTTAAGTACCTAAGCAACTGTGCACCTACCCCTCCCTTAACCCAACAATAGTCAACTGATAACAACCTAGGCTTAATGCTGGGCTAGGGGAGGGATGGGTGCACAGTTTTGCAGATGCTAACATTGATTCTCAATGTTCACATTACTTGTTTAAAATTTTCTTTCCGGCCAAGATTGTAAGGGTATCTGAAAGATTCTCCATTGGGCCGATATCTGTCAGCCTGTCAAATTAAACAGCAGTAACACCATATTAAGTTCAGAAGTGTCTACCCTAACCAGCCTTCATTTATTCCAATATAATGGGAGTATTTACATGATGTATACATGGATAGGTAGGATATGATCATAAAATGATATGTTTTGCAATAATTAAGAATGGAAAACAAACATGCTGAAAACCTTTTCTGCAATCCATCCTTCTATTGCTGTCTTATTTGTTAATATTCCTTTCATCTAAAAGATAAAAACAAAATTGCAAAAAGGTTCTATCCAAGTGAAAATGAGTATAAAAGTTTCTTATTGCAACAACTTATACCTGGTAATACAGAAGAATGCCAACAGCTACAGTAACACCAATTGACAAACCAATACAAAACAACACCATAATCATGCGATAGACTGTAAATGAAACAACAGCATTTCGCTGGAAGATAGCTCGTCTATAGGGTCCTGTGGAAAGCTAGGGTAAGAAAAAAAGGAGTAAAGATGTTAGTGACCAATTGTAAGGTCTCTGTTTTTACACTTTGATAGATCAAGACAAAGTAGAGGCCCATAAAAAGCAAAAAAAATAAAAACAACACCAACTTACCAAATGAAACTGCTGCACAGTGCAACATATAAAAACCACAGCTGCATGTGTACACCCAATGGGAACAAAAAATAGAAACAGCGTAAAGGCTCTATGATTGAAGTGACCCACACAATTATTGATCCATGGACAGTGATGATCCATTTTCATGACACACCTGTCAAGGAAATTAAATCTGCAACTGATTCCTAAGAACTGGTGGACAGAGAATGAAGTGTCAAATATAATAATAATAGTTTCTAGGGCCCAAAATTTCTGTGTGCTCTGAGTAATGCCCATTAAATTTTTTTGGGCCATATGCAGGCCTGTGAAGTTTTTGGGTCTTTAAAGAAATGTGCACCAGGTCTAGATCCTGGTTTGTTTCACCACGTTGTAGCATACTATCAAAGAAACCTAACAAAATGTTGGGAGAGGGAGGGGGAGGGGGAGAGGAAAGGCAGGGAAAGTGGGAGGTGAGGGGAGGAGAAGGGGGAGTGGGAGCAGAAGGGGGTACATTGTTGCACCTTGTGATAGGTCAGCTTAATATCTAACGAACAGCTGCAATACTTCTTCATTTCCCAATTGGGATTAACTGTGGATGCTACGAGGGCCATATTATTTTGTGAATTGAATGACCAAAAAGGAATTTCTCCTTACAACTTCAACACATTCTCAAATGGAAAGGTGATGAGAAAGAAAAAATATCAGTAAGTTGGGTTTAATTAAACAACAAATTTATAGAAAACAATATCAAGAAAGATGTATAAAACAAAGAGGAGCTCTGATTCCAAGACCCTGGCAGTGAAAAAGTCCACTTCATTTCACAAATAAAAATGTTGCTAACATGCAAACTAATCCACACATAATTACCGTCCACATTTGCTACAGTGATGTGCCCTGGGTGCCTTGTAACCTTTGCACAGACAACAGTACTGCAACAGTGCTTCACTTTTATCATCATCCTACAAAAGTGTAGATTACAAAAAGGGCATCACAGAGATCCTGCTGTACTTGTACATTTAAAAACCATGGACTCCTTGCTTTTTCTACACCTAAATACAAGATGTCCACTGTATTAAATTATACATTTTCTAACCACTTAGTTTTTTTAAATCTAGCTTGCCATTTGGGATTTGATTAAAAAGTTGCTGGTCTGGGGCACTGCCCTGTGCATAGTTAAGTAAGCACGAAAAGTTGCCAGCTGTCATGTCATAGCCCTTTCATTAAAATTAATACTGTTGGAAAACATTTTCCAGTTCCCTTGAAAGATTGGATTGACTCTCTACAATTCTCACAAGACTGGTCTCAGTATTTCTCAAAGAAAGATACAATTTAAGACTAGAGGAAAGAAAATACACATGCTAAATGCAAACGCGAGTAGTATGTCGAAAACCATCTTAATTAACACTGCTCACCGGTCTCCATTCTAGTGGAAGATATCCAGGTCCAAGAGTAACTGATTTAATAAAGTAATTCATGATAAGAATCATCCATGAAACATAAAATATTAAGTGTATCACGCTTGCTGCTGAAGTCCAAGGAGGGTACCATAGCAGTATGCAATAAATTCCACAAAGAAAAAGAGTCCATATGATTGATAACGCTAATAGTGGACCCCAATGACAAATTCCACGGCTCATTTTCCAACGAAATGAGCATCGAACTCTTTCCTTAATAAATCTATAAGTCTTCAAGGTGACGTTTAGCTGTATTTTTTCGCGGAATGTGTTAAGATTACTTTTTTTAAACGTGTTGTGTTGCTTTTTTCAGGCGGATGTCTTACACTGTTTCTGTAGAAAACAAAACTTTGCCAGAGGCGGGCCAAAACAACAAGGCGTAATTTTAGGATATCCCATGACTCCTCCGGAGATAACTAGTTCCCAGATTATACACCACTCCGATTCCAAGATGGCGGATGGTTGAGAAAGTGTTTGTGTTTTATTACGATAAAAATGGCGGGAGTTTCAACAGTAGAAGTAGCAACTCAGGTTCCGTTTTATGATTTGTGTGCTTTGTTAGAAAAGATTGCAAGAAAAACAGGAACTGAAAAGAAGAAAAAGATCTTGGAATCCTTTGTGAATTCATGGAGAGAAACGCACGCTAAGTTGCATGGAACTTCGAAAACAGCTGAGTATATATGTTGCATTGATGGCTTGCTGTTAAATCTGAAATTCTTGATTGCTATTCAAGAATAAATTTCCTTTTGCGAGAGGGACGTTTGTTTTGTTAAATGCCTTTGATTGCTATTGTTCCTTGTATGAAGCATGTAACTTCTCTTTAAAATGAAGATATGCATTACCCAATTGCAACAAACAGGCGATAAGAATTTAGGGACATATCACCTAGCTTAGAGACTGTTATGATGAAACTCTCTGATCCAAACTCTTCCAACCACCCCTCCCTACCCAGAGAAGGGTAATAGAAAACCTAATATGGAGGTTGGGGGAAAAGCAGCTCCCTTTGTCTCATCAACAGTTAGTTCTTACAATTGATTGATATTTCCTTTCTGTCGCAGACTGACTCATTTCACTCTGGTATGCGCCTGTTGCTGCCTCATCTTGACAAAGAACGAGGTGCTTATGGGATGAAGGAGGTTTGCATAGATTTGATTTTTATCCTGTATTGATAATAGTTAAATTTATTTATTAGTATGGGTATACTGTTGATTTCATGAAAAATCTTTCCTTTTTGCAATAATCCATAAGCTTGATAGAGCTTTGATTTCTTTGAAAGAATTATTCGAAAACTACTTTTATAATTTTTTTTTCTTTCATTCTCAGGTGGTTCTTGCAAAATATTACATTGAAATATTAAGTATAGGGAAAGACTCTACAGATGGCCGTAAACTGCTGAATTACAGAGCACCCAAAAATGCCAAACAGGTGCAACACTTATTAAGAGAAAGGCACTGTAGGATTTAATGGTTAAGCCCAATAAAAAATTAGTCTCCTAACATTTTTTCAAAATGTCCTAGTTATTATGAACTTTACAAGAAGTATTTGACAAATAAAGTTTCTTACTTACTAATACTCACTTACCCAATAACTAATCTGTATAATGACCTGACCAAAGTGGAACCCAGTCTTCCTGAGTCAATACTTCCTCTCTGCATTGTGCTCCTTTCTCAAAGCAAATAATATTTCTGTAGTGATGAAAATATAAGGATAATCTTAACTCTTCTTGGATAGGTTGCCACTGTCTACCAGAAATAACCCTCTTGCCCTCAAATAATTTTTCAAGTTTCCTTGAAAGTCTGCTTGTACCTACTTATACACCTGGTTACAGAGAATGACCCTAAAGGCAAACTGCCCCACCCTTACACAAGCGCACTTTACAATGACTTGGCCCAGATTTCTTCCTCTCCTGGGGTCCAACAACTTGGTGGCCAGGTCTCTCTTTTTCCAAGATAAAAACATTATAGATGTCTCTAGAATAAAAACAGAAGAGGCAAAATTATTTATTTACCCCTCACTGTAGGATTCTGTGGCTGACTTTGCAAGTGTTGCTTACTTTGTTTTAAGAAACAGATGTCCTGAGAAAGGAAGGTAAATGTGCTTTACGCCATTCAGCTCTTTCAAAATCTACTCAGATCTGATTTAGTAATCCTCCCCTTGAGATGCTGAAAATTTCCTTGTAAACTGGTTATGATAATTTTGTTCTCAAATAAATGTTGTTATGACAAATTTATTTGAAAGTTGTCAGGAAACTTCACAGGAAACTATAATTAAGCTAATGATTGGACAAAAGTGTTTTTCTTTTGTTATTTAATTAAACAATTATTTTTTTACATGTTAGTTTGATATAATTATTAATCTGTGTTGTAACCATTGAAGAGCATGGGATAAAGTTCCTGAGCTGTTCAACATCATAAAAATCAATAATAAATACCCTCTCCACTCTATAAATTTGGTTATCCTATCAACCTGTGGGCAGAATTGCAGTGGAATTTTGCATGTTACTCATTTTTCTGGAAGTTACAAGGTTAAATGTTTGATTGTATGTGTTTGTTTAGAAGACCTACAGGCTTCCTGCAAATTTAAGGTGAGTTTGAAATCATGGCTTATTGATGGTGAAAAAAAAATCAGATGAATACTGTAGTTGTTTTAAATTGTTCATAATTTTTCCTTAGTCATTATTAGTTACTAAAGAGTTGAACATCTTGAAATACTCAGTTTAAAGATTGACCAAGTAAACAAGTACCTTGACCAGCTGGCCTCAGCAAATATTGATCATAAACGTGATGAAGCTAAGAAAGCTCTACAACTACTGCTACGTAACACAAGTGCTCTGGAACAGGTCTGTAGATTTTTTATTTTGTAACATTTTACAGTATTATTTATCAGATGTTTTCTTTATAAATACTTGATAAATGTCATATTCTAGTGGATGAGATCATCTTAATTTTCTCTTACAGAAATGGTTAATCAGGATAATTTTCAAGGTTAGTTTTGCTTTATCTGCCATAAATATGTCAATTAGATGATGTCTATTATAAAGATGACCAAAACTTAACCCTTTACACCCAAACATTAGCACTTAGTATATTCTCCATACTGTTCTTGATACTTTTCTTATGGTGCCAGTAGGGAGAATATGTTTAACAATCAAGATTATTCTTTGGTGTGTGATCATTTCCTTTATTCTCATGACCTTAATGTTTGATTCAGGGGTGTTATTGTGAGGAGAAACTAGATGCTGGTCACTCTTAGGGGTTAAAGGGTCAATCATCTAAATTTATACTATAATAGTTGTTAGTAATATTTTTTATGTGATCATTGCATTTGCCAGGAATTGAAGATTGGCCTTAGTGAGAACTCTGTATTTAATGTTTATCATCCAGATGCAATGGAACTGTTTGGAGTCTGTAACAGTCTACCCAAGGTCTGACAAAATATTTTGAATTAGTTAATTTTACTGCTATTGGCAGAAGGTGTTGTTTTTACAATGGGTGTTAGTATTGAGTTTCACTGGATTTCAGATTTTGTAGATTTTATTTTACCCATCAAAGGACTAGTACAAATCAATTATAAGTTATCAAACTTGCCAAAACCAAGATTTTAAGTTTTTTTCATTCTTTTCTTGAATTAATGCAATTGACCAATGTCGTTTAAATCTCTCAAAACTCTAACCTCTAACCTCTTTACACTATATACAATGCCATTGTAAGGCAAAAGTTCTAGTTAATTCAAATTTAAAAGGATGAATTTAACCATTTAATATGGAAAATTGCATTAAAGGTTTGCATGGATCTTCATGATCGCAGCATTAGGATGAATGAAGCAGAGATGTCTTTATTCTCACCATTTCGACCAATGTTGGCTGAAAGAAAACACATCAACGAGGCTAGTAAATCCATATTTTGTTGTGTTGTGCTGTATATTAATGATCTAATTGCATTATATTTTAATTGTACTTGTTATAATTTGTGTGTAAGTGTCAAATAGTAATTATAATTTTCTAACAAAAGGGAGTAGCAATTTAAAAAGTGAAGAAACTCCAGTGTCTTTTTGCATAGAGGTAGCCGAGTAGAATCTGTGATTGTTACCTTGAAGTTCTAAGATTTTCCTCCTCACTGTATTTCTTCACAGGTGGAGAAGGTAATGAACAATCAGTCATTTTACATAGAAACCAAAATAGATGGAGAGAGAATGCAGCTTCATAAAGACAAAGACAGTTTTATGTACTTCTCAAGAAGGTACCAGTGTTTAAATTTAACAACTTTTTTTTTTCTGTCTGCAAATCCCTTGAAAAGCTTTCAATGTATAGGACCTAATTTAACATATACCGTCAAGTCCAAGTTGAAGTCAGTATGTGGACTGACATGCTTGTATTTTGAAGCATGTTTACGTTTCTGTAACATGAGGTGACCAGGAATATTGCTACTCCTTCCTGGGTGGGGTGCCAATGTTATCCCCACCCATTTTATCTGGTTTCCATATAACAGTTTAAATAACTATACTATCTGTCGAGGCCCATCACTCCTCCTGGGGCATAGGCCGTCAACAACAGTCCATCAGAGATCTATCTTCTGGGCCACCCTTTCTAATTGGCTCTATGAGAGCTAGTTAACAACAGTGCTGCTCATTTCTGCTCCTGAGTGAGAAAATACTTATTAATATCAAATAACATTAAATAAAATTTTAGCTTTGTTGAGTTAAAGTGAGTCACAAAAGTTGATTGTATTATCAATTAAAGAAGATCCATCTTAAGGACAGGATTAAGTTGATACTACATTTTTCCAAAGAATTGAAATGTACTGATTTAATTAATTGTATTTAATTTACAGTGCAAATGAATACACTCATGTATTTGGTGGGGACCCATCCTCTGGAGTTCTCACACCTCACATTGCTGGTTGCTTCTCAAGGTGTTTACAAATCTCTCACTTTTTTTTAGAAAGTTCTCTGCAACTTGATACTGTACCAGTTATGACAAGTTGTCAGTGAAACCTACATTTAACAGAAGTTTCTTCATGCAGAGATCAGATGTCTCCAAACTCTGAAATGATGCCTATAAACACATGTTAGTGTCTAAAATATCAAACACTAGTGTCTAAAACTGCAAATTAGTCTCCAAAATCAGACACTACTGTCCAGAATAAGACACTATTGTCTAAAATCAGACTCTAGTGTCTAAAATCAGATATGACTGTCCAGAATGAGATACTAGTCTTTAATATTGTTCAGTAGTGTCTAAAATGGGACACTAATGTATAAAATTAGACTATAGTGTCTAAAACTGGATGCTAGTGTCAGAATTTGGGGAGGTCAGATGTCTTATGCTGTTGCTGCATTGTGAGTCAGACTCAAGTGTGAGTAAATAATAAATAATTGCAGAGTCTAATATTCCCTGTACTGTCAATTGGTTTTTCAACATGTAGCTCTGTACATTCATGCATCCTGGATGGAGAAATGGTTGTTGTTGATCCAAAGACAGACATATGGCTGTAAGTTTAACTTCCCATAATTTTTTCCTCATTTTGATTCCTTTTTTCCTTTTTGTGTTTACTCCTTTTCTTTACTCTTTGTCTTCCTCTCTCTCTCACTTGTATTTTGCTTACTTCTTCATTCACTTCCTTCTATCCTTTCATTGTTCTATCTTTACCTGCTTCCTGTTTCTCCTCTCCTTTTCTTTTTTCTAACCTGACTTCCCCCTCACTTGGCTGTTCTCTCTTCCTGTTCTCCTTTCTTTTTCCCTTCCTCTGCTATCATTTATGATCAATTATCACTCAGTGGAAGACTAGATGCTATACATAACCTGAACCAAATTCTGAATTTACTTTATACATTTTAGATCAAAGGGAATGAATGTTGATGTGAAATCCTTAACCGCTTATGAAAACGGTAAAGAAATATCCTTCCAATGTTTGATCTAAAGAGTAACATTACCATTGTAATACACAATGTCTTGTAATGAAGATCAGCTTGATTTATGACATAAGGTTGTAAAACTTACATATACATGTGCATTTTCTGTTATCACATGTGAATTTCTTGTCCTTGTCATTTTTAGATCAAGGTCATCACCCTTGCTTCATTGTGTTCGATATTCTTATCATTAATGAGAAAAAACTGGCAAATGTTCCTTTGCGAGAAAGAATTAAATTCATGGAAGAGTGAGTACATATCAGTCACGTGACTTGATTATTCAACCACGAGTGGGTTCTTTTGTATCAGTTGCATATTTATTAATTATTGTTTACATTATGGTTGGAACATTTGATGAAAGTGTTGCTTCTATTTTTTGTTTGATATTGCGACTTTTCTTCTAAATCTTTTGTAGCATGCTGAAGCCAAAGCCTGGATATCTTCAGTTTGTTGAGAGACAAGAAGTCGTTTCTAAGTACGTAATAGAGCTGTACATCAAGAAGTAAAGGCTAAAAGTTTGGAAGTATTCGAACTTAATCTCTTAAACCACAACCAGTTGAAAGTGATCTCAACGACCAATCAGATCAAAGGAAAATATCTCAAGGGACCAATGAAAACTTAGTAGGACGAGCAAATTTCCTGAGGTGCAGGATACTTTGCATCTGATTGGTTGAGAAAGTGGTGTGAGTTTTTCTGGACCAAACACAGATCAAAGTAAAATAAAAGCGAATCAATCCTGGGTATTTCAGACATTAAGATTAGAATTATTCTATCATTGACAAAGACGCTTTGTTTTGTTTGTAGGGAAGACGTCGTGAAAGCTCTTAACACTGCGATTGACAAGAGGGAGGAAGGCTTGGTTGTAAAGTCACCGTCCTCTGTTTATAAACCAAATTCAAGAAGTGGTGTGTACAAAACTGATTGCTATGCGTTTACAATGGTTTATTGTGAGCTAACTTGAAATTGTTCATCATCCTGTGCGTCTATGTTTTCCATTTGCAACAGGCAGTGGCTGGGTGAAGATTAAACCAGAATATGTAGACAGCCTAAGTGATGAGGTATGTTTTATTATTATTATTATTATTATTATTATTATTATTGTTATTATTGCTTAGGGTTCATTATCATTATCATTATTGTTATCATTCTCATCATCATCGTTATTACGATAATTAGAATTTTTTATCGTCGATGCGACAAACCGAGTTTGATTATGTCTTGGCTTTTTGGTCAGAACAAACACTAAAACGTTTTTTATTTGATCTCAGCTGGATCTCGTCATTGTTGGTGGCTATTTTGGAGTTGGGGTCAGTAGACTGTAAATTATGTTGTGTGTGGTCATTCTTTAGACACCTCGTTAGCATCAGCACTTTTTTCACGGTTTACTCTTTACGGTGTTCGTGTCTTTCGTGCTAGCTCATTTTCGTTTATTTGACTGTGCGTATTTCTATTTGCGTGATCGTTCGTTCGCCTGTTCTTCCGTCTGTGTGTTCGATCATTTGTGTGCAGAGTTACGGTAGTGTGTTGTTTCGTTGTTTCGTTGGGTATTCCCCTAACTTTTTAGACATTCACGCTTTTGTTGATTAGCTCGCTTGTGGGATTGTTTGACTTTTTCTGAGTCAAGGGGAACTTTTCGTTTAAAGTTGCTTTTGAAACGGAAAAGAGAAAAAACACGTGGAAATTTAAAAAATTCTTCTTGATGATGTTTTCATGATGGGAATTTTTTTTTCTCTCTGCAGCGCCGAAGTGGAATGACATCTCACTTTATGTGTGCAGTGGCGGTTCCTTCGAACGTTCCAGGTGAACATCCCAAAGTGTTCCATTCTTTCTGCAAGGTAACACTTTTTTTTCAAGTGGAGGTTGGTAAAACAATATCAATACATTTTTACCCTTATCTCTGTTTAAAATCAAGAGTTTTTATGTAGTCTCGAGAATTTGAAGATGCAGGGCTTTTTCATGGTGCGCCATATAAGTTTACGTATTGTTTTATAAGTAGCCCTGTCACATCTTGTTCACATAGGTGGGGTCTGGTTACACTATTAATGAGTTGCGCGAACTGGATCAGCAGTTGCGTCCACACTGGAATGCATTTGATACTAAAAAGCCTCCGGAATCAATCATTCTGGCCCCTGGATTCAAGGTAAGAGAGATTCGGTTCTGCCTGTCTTTGCCATTAGTTACGTTTCCTTTTTAGTAGTTTTACGGATGTTGTTCTCCGGCGCTAGGTGTTTAAACTGCCTTGTTTATCTACAGTAATACCTGAGCCTCAGCTCGGTCAGTCGTGGGCCTTACTGTAGGCTGTAAGTTCACCATCCCTGCAGTCATCTTGTTTTTAACCAGGAGAACTTCGAGTCCTGGGGCGAGTTGTTTAAAGATGGGTTTATATAACCTAGGGTTAGGGTGAAACCTGATTTCAGATCTGAAAGCTTTAAAAGAAAATTCAGTAGAATTTATTACGTCTACAATTTGAGACTAGATGGGCTATAAACAATAAAGAAAATTATCTGATAAATGGCTTTTCAACAAAGGAAAAAAAATTTAACCCTGGGCTAGGGTTAGTCGCCCCTTAAACGACTGGGTCCTGGGGACTAGGCTGCGGTGAAGACCAACAACCGTCGGAAAAACGACGAAAAGCTTAAATATATATATATACACATATTACAAGTGGGTTTTGCAGTTGTTTCTTTTCTTATCCGCTTAGGAAAAACCTGATGTGTGGATTGAACCGTCCAAATCAAAGATAGTTCAGATTAAAGCTGCAGAAATAATTACATCAGACAAGTAAGTTTGGTACCAAACTAATACTTTTATCCCTTTTATCCCTCTGAAAAAGGATGTTAGGGTATAGAAAACTCTCTTTCCCATCCCCCCCCCCCCCCCCCGACAGTTTACCGTTACCCATTTATACTCTTTAGTTAAAAGAGGAGAACCACAATCGGACTAGAACGTGGCTCGAACCCAGGCCTCTTAATCTGAATTTACGCGAACTAACCATTTGGTCTCATCTCATAGACTATCATAGTGTTACTCTTGACCTGAAGAGACGTTTTGTTCTTTCGTTGTTAGGTTTAAAACTGGTGTGACTCTTCGCTTTCCACGGCTGGAAGCTGTTCGCAGTGACAAGATGTGGTACGAGTGTTTGAACCTAAACGAACTGACCAGGCTGAAATCGGTGAGAGAAAATACACTATGTGTCCGTAGTTTCCGTTGAGAGAGTTTGAACTTAATTGCGTTTCTCAGAGTTAGAGCGAGCTCGAGCGCATTACGTTTGAGTGTCGCAAAAAGAAAACCAACTTAATGACAAAAGTCAACTAGAACGAAGGAAACTACCTACAGGTAAGTGAAGAAAGAACAAGCAGACTTTCATGAGCGCGGGAAAACGCGGGTAACCAAATCGCGCTTGGCGTTGGTTTTGCATGGTGGGTTGAGATAAAGGCGCGAGTTTTCTACACCAATCACAAAGCATGTCGAAGCAAAGCCAGTGCAATCCCGGATTAGCTCCTCTATCCCTATTGGTTACTTTTCTTGATAGGTGGCAGAGGGAAAGCTCACATACCAACATGTAAATGCAGAGGAGAAATCTGAACCAGCCAAGAAAAGAAGGCGAGAGGCTGTACGAGTTGAACAGTCACGGACTGTGGCCAAGCATTTTAAACCGGCGGATGTGTCTTCAGTTGAGGAGGTGAGTAAGTTTGATAAATCTCCATGTTCTAATTACACTGTGATCCGCTAATCGATCATGAAACTTGTGTTCCAGGTTTCGCAAATGTTCCAGGAAAAGGAATTTTATATTGTTAACGGTCCTTCCTCGCATCCCAAGGCTGTTTTAGAAAAAAAAGTTGCCGAGGTATTTTTTTTCTCTTTGTATTATCATGAAACAGTTTCATTTTAAAATATCTGACATTTATAGTCTGGACGCATATGTTTTTATCGTTACGTTATCCTACACCCTTGATACAATGCCTGATAAAATTATATGCTTGTATGAATTTACACAGTGCAGATTTATGTTTTCGCCGATTTCTGTCGACTTACATATTGTTAAATAATTTTTTCACAGAATGGAGGCACGTTGACTCAGAACCCTTGTTCTGACACTTTCTGTGTTGTGGCTGAGAGAATCAACGTTAGAGTTAAGAATATTATCAGGTAAGGATTTACATAATAGATAAAAACATTTGCGATATCTACAGTAGATTTTCCATGTCAAAAGGAGATACATAAGATACATCCATCCACACTGTAGCTCTCATTGTTCTAAATTACGTAGAAATGCTCGTTTGCTTTGTTTCCTCCCCATTAGTCAGGACAAATACGATGTGGTGAAGGCATCTTGGCTTATTAACTGCTTGGTAAGTCAATAACACCTCAGGTTTGTAGACTGTATGAATAAAACCAGTCTTAAGTATGGATCAAAAATAAATTTTAAAAGGGTTTATACCCCCGTTAGCTCGTTGTAGTTCATTGCTACTGATAAAAATATCGACCTGTCTTGAAGCGTAAGGTTCGACTTTTATAGTAGGGCTTGGTCGGCTTTCTCTGAAAAAGAGAAAGTTCACTAACAAGAAGTACTTGCATAGATATTAGGGTTTTTCCCAGTTGCTTAACGCGAAGCGAGAAAAAATATTCCTCGTTCTACGGGATGGAATGTTAGTTTACAGCAGGTGTACCCTCATCGTTTCGTCATGCTTCCTTGACGCATTTATATGTACATGTATTGTCCTTTCTGGGGAGGCGTGGGTAAAGTGCCTCGCCTCAGAACACAACACATTGAGGTAGTCAGGTTTCGAGCCCAGACCTCTCGATGCTGACTCACTCTCGATGCGTGTTAAATCTGACTAAACCGTGCCCCATTGTGTCCTACCACCTTTGCGGTGCACCCAGTTTTGTGTGGTATTTATTGCAGTTTTTTATTTATCATGATTATTATTTTTGTGACCCCAAAAGGATAGTGGCGAGCTGAAGCCGTGGATTCCAAGTGATATGTTTCATTCCTCGTCCCGAACTGCTGATAAATTTGCCGAGGAGTTTGATCGACATGGAGACAGTTACACAGAATTTGCTACAGCCGAGTCACTCAGGAAAGCGTTTGATAATGTCCAAAGCAAGGTGAGGAGAGATTTCTTTAGCAATACTGGTACAAAATAAAGCTAAATATTCCATTATGTTAGCGAGGAGAGCTTTATCCAAAATGAAAAAAATATGATTGTACAGACGGAAAGCAAAAGATCGTCAAATCGTTGTTGAAACCTTTGGAAAAGACCATCCAATCAGAGAATAGTACGAGTGTCCACGGGTTCCGAACATCTCGTATCATGCTGCTTAGACACTTAAAAGAGGAACAACACTCGCTCCCAGGGTCCCTCTTTCCATTCTCCCGTTAGAACAGGGACGTTAGTAACGAGGTACGGGATGTGGCATCCACTTGCCTTTTGAAATTAATTTGAATTTTTTTTACTTTCGTGTTTCTGTTTTGCTTCATAGAACTCAGCAGTTCCACTTTCAACTGATGAAATACTTGAAATATCTCAACGTTATTTTCCCGATAACTCGCCTTTTGGATTGTTCAAACATTGCAGGTAAATCTGATAGGTGCAGTTGATCCGTTGAAAAAACACGTTTAGACATCAAAGTTATTTGAGTGTTATCGTTTTTTAAGCTTTGCATCAAGCTGGAATTCCTAATGGTTGTGTCTACACACCTTAAAAACACCGGCGAACTATACTTGTCTGAAGTAATGATTGGGTTAAATGTCTTGATGTTAACTTCGTTTTCAAGAGGATTAAATTTTGTTCTTTCTAGAGTGTACCTTGATCAGTTCATTATTATTGGGAATAAATCAACGGTGAGTGAGTGTAAGCTTTAAGCTCAAAATGTCCTTATACAGCAGTATCCCTTCATTGAAGTTTACAGATGCAAAGGTTGTGAAGGCTTTGTTGTTAGTCAATGAAAAAGCTTTTTCTTCTTTAATGGAGGTACTTCCCGGATAGAGGTGTCTAAAAAGATAGCATCTTCTTTTGTTATTGTTTTGGAGCCAGTCTAAGACGAGGCGAAACCTCAGCCACCTACATACTTTATTAATATGCCCCGACAGCTGAGCAAAATTTAATTAGCTAGTCTTCATTGACTGTTCCTTTTCTTCAGCGCTTATTTTGACTTGGCCACCTCCAAAACCGCTCCGGCGTTTTTAAGTCGTAGAAAGCAACTAAACAAGCCTCTTCAAACGTTCTCTTGTGATCATTTTCTTTCCAGGGAATTCCTAATAGCAGTTTGGAGCTTATTGGTTTGAAACTACGCATGTTCGGGGCACGGATCACCGACAGTTTTGATAGCAAAGTGACTCATGTCGTCTTCGATGAAAGGTGAATACAACTTAATGCTTTCCACTTTAATTTCCTAACGAGGTGATTCCGGCTTTTTCATGATTCTATGACTTCTCTTTGCTTAGGGATCTTTGTCGCCTCAAAGAGCTACAAAGAGTAACGCAAGATAGAGAAGTAAAACAACATCTTGTTACGCTAGACTGGGTTACGCAATCAATTCAAGCTGAAAAGCTTCTACCGGAAAGACACTTCAGACCAGTTACGTAACGTGACTGTAACACTGAATCCAAGTTTCCAGCGTTTAGTTGTCTGGGGCAGTTTGAGTTTCCTTTGCAGCCGTTTCTAGAGGTCTCGAAGCTTGCACAACGTGACTGAAAAGGATACCAAGATAGTTCAATAATGAATGCAAGTCTGCCCAGAGGGAAATTTCCCGTTTTCAACCTGTTGTTAAAAAAATCTTGTCTTGAAAGAATTTCTTCCTGATTCTATTACCATTTCCATGGTTATAGCGCAAGACCTTTATTTAAAAAAGTAGGAAATGAGTTTTTTATTGAATGTTACTTATGCCTATCCTATTACAAACAATGTATGCGAAGTTACAAGAATTAACTCACCAGATATTACAAAAACTTTTAAGGTCCTTGAATGATTCTTTCTTTCCAAAAGGACGAAAATAAATAGAAAAATAAAGTTTCACGGTGTATATTACATTTATTTTACATTCTTAGGAAGTACAATAGTAATATCAAGCACTACTATTTTACTGTAAATAAATATGAATTAAAGAACTACTGAGGCAAACTATCTGACACAACCTTGAATTTTTTTGGTTAGAGAAAAATGAATCAACACCATGACTCATCCAATCATGCAAATGTCAAACACGAACTGACAAGCTACTTCCATTTAACCCTTTGACTCCCAAGATCTCATAAGTAATTCTCCTTACTGTCTGCCATACAGCTCTGGTGATGTTTGTCTTGAGAATTTGGTATTGGATCAACTTATATTCCCTTAACTTCTATTTTTCTTTATTCTCATCACTTGTCTGCTTGATATTGTATTGATATTGTGGGGAGAAATTCTGTCTTGGTCACTCATGGAAGTTAAAGGGTTGATGTTTTAATTCGATTTAAGAAACTAAAGTTGAAAAGTAGCTTTCATCATTACCTTGTGCATTGTAGATTCTCTTAGTGTGAAAAAGTTACTAATTCGACTAACTTTGTACTGCCAATATAAAAACTACACTGAAAAAGTACTACATTATTCTATGATAAAAACAAAAAATTAAAATGTTGTTCTCTTCATAAAAAAAGTCACACCTAAAGCTTCAGAAATTTTCCTTGTTATAGTAAAACTTTGTTCCTTCAACAACATTGCTGTGTGCATTGGCTGTCTGGTGAAGCTGATGTGAAAGAACAGCAGGACCACAAAAGAAGACTCCGATGTTTGTTCTGTAACAATCAAGAAAGAGATTTAACAAATTGTCATTGAAATTAAACTTTCAAACACCCTTACCCTCCCCAATACGAGGGAAACAACTCTACCCTTCCTGGTTTTCTATCTCCATTGACTACATACCTTGGATGAGCTCGAGCAACGCTACCGAAAATGCCGTTCCATTCTGGTCGCCCATAGCGAGTCTTCTGTTTACATCCAGTGATGATGTGATGTAGAACCGTCAATACAATACATATACAATATTTATTTCCTCGTGGTAGAACAATGGTGCGAGCTTATAACAAGTCAGGCTTTCTCACTTAAAATAATTAATCTTATATTAGAATTACAATATGGACTTCCAAATACACACACACACACGCACACACGTCACAAAGTAGTTGGGGATTTGAGGATGTAAGAGCAATCAGGAATTTGTATCTTGCTATACAGCAGCCTGCCTGAACTTTACTTACCATATTTGGACCCCAGCCTCTGGTGAGGTAAATGTTATATTCCAAGAAATCTCTGTTTCCAGTTTCCACCATCTGAAATTGTAGACATAAATTCAATGCTGTACCACAGAGAATGACATCTAAAGCATATTCGATAAAGGAGAGCACCAGAAACGTTTTCAAAGTTTGTTGAAAATTTGACCCTTTTTTGGTAAGATTTCTCGAAATTTCCTGTACTGCAAGCACGTTAGGAAAATAATTACTCACATTATTTTCCACGCCAAATTCCAGAAATAAATAGCGTTACACCTTCAACGCTTACCTCACATTGATTCTGGAGTTTGGCTACTAATTTACAACTAATATTTAAATCCAGCAAAGCGTAAACATGGATCTCAGCTTTCATTCTAATTTTCAACTATTACAGTTGCACTGGACGACACTCGTCCCGCATTGAATCAGGTGATGTATGGCCCCTATAGCCAAATTTTTTTTCCAATATGACAGGTTAGCATAATATGTTGGGTATGAGGCTCCGCTAGGACATTTTGCACTGCTATCACTTACTCTTTCTTCAAGGTACTGCAAGAGATCTGTAAACCATTCGAATGCGTTCGTGTCGGGACAAATCCAAAAGAAGTAAACTTTTTTAACCACCGGGTTAACATTGTTCTGATTATATTGATACCTGCAGGATAAGCAGAACAAAGTAGGCTTCAGGACAACTTCGGTCAAACACGTGATCATCATTCCACCTCTCCTTACAATTACATTACATTTTCAAGCAAACAGTTGAAGAGAACATTTGAACTTATCAGCTGGATAAAGTGATTAAAATAGAGAAAAATACTTTTCACTAATTAATAAGCAAATGCAGAACTTTACAAGGGCAGGGAGAATTTAGAAAAAAACATTTTTCGGCGAAGAGTAAACTATTAAGAACAAACTTATTTTTCCTTTAAACGAGAGATGGTAGAAAGTAATAGCAACCTGAGATTTCATAAAATTTTGGGCGAACGGGAAAAGACCGTCATATTCTCTGTTTGAAAAATGGTTCGTCAGCTACTTGTAATGATGCCTGACTAATTCTAAAAGTCATGTCGACCATTTTTATTTTCAAACTTACCAGATGGACTTCAGGATAGATGCAAACGGTGTTACCCCAATACCAGCTCCGATACACATCACCACGGGATACTTAAAAACGTCCTACACAAACAAAATAACAACAACAACAACATGGGATAAATCGACAAACAAACAAAACGAGGGAAGTCCAGGAGCCTTCGTGCCCCCAGATCCACGCAAACATATGAAGTAATGGTTTCTCCGTTCGTATTATTAATTGAACTCATGCGTGATATCATATCAACAAAACCATTACGACATATACAAAATCTAATCAGGCTTACCGTAGTAGCTGTTCCAAAGGGCCCATCTACTGCAAGTCTACAAACACAAGATACAAGTTATCGACTTATTTCTTGAGTGAAAACACCTCGTAGCTGGTGTGACAAGGCGTTTCCCTACGGGCCAAGAGACTCATCAGACAGCTTTCGGAATTTCCAACCTAACTTGTCGGGCATCCCGCTCAAAGTCCCATCCTTAAACTTCAATTTAAGATCTTAGTAGAAGGATCGTTACGTCATATGCCTCGCTGCACACGAGCTAAACTTTTGGAATATGAGAAGAGTTGGATACAGAGAAGTGAACAAGTTCCCCAACAGACGTACCTCGGCATATCAGACAGGCTTCTTGTTTGTTTACCGTCACCACCACAAAGTTTGGCCAGTCCACCTATAAACGAGATGTCAATCATTTAATTGATCAGTAGGTCACTCAGTCACTCAAACAGTCAGACAGTCAGTCAAATGAATAAAGGGGGTAAGTTTCTACAGAAACTGAGCTACTGCGTCAGTAAGAGAGTCCAACAGGGTAATTTGGTATTATCGTACGAGTTAAGAACGTAAATTGGCCACCGTAAACAGTTCAAAAGTTTACGTTTCGAGCGTTAGCCCTTCGTCAGAGCGAATGACGAAGTGAAGTCAGCTAGTAGGTCAGTCAGTTAGACACACACTCAGACAGTCAGTTAACGAGTCAGTCAGTAGGCAACTTGATCGGTTGCTACTCCATCAGTGAGTCAGAAGTTAGTCAATTAGTTTTAGAGTAGGTTAAACAGTTGGTCAATCATTTCCTCTGTGCGTCAGCCAATCATATAGTCATACGGTAAGCTGGTCAGCCATTCAGACACCCAGTCAGTTAGTTAGCAATCATTCACAACAGTGCCTTACCTGTCCAGTCCCCAGCAATACGAATATGCACGGAGAAGAAATCATCCTCAGGGGCCTGAAGGAGAAAACGAGATGTTCGCAGTTTCATGTACATTAATTCCACATACAATATGGGTGCCTGCTTCTATATGTGTTATCAGTGTTATTGATCAACAGAACATATCGTAGTAGAGGGTAAATCAATACCAAGCGTAAATATTCCCACTGGGTTCGAACTCTCCAAACAACCCACACGTAGTAGAACATATTGTTTTGAAAGCAATATCGAAGTGACAAAAAAAATCATAGTTATATCAAGGGAGTATTTTATCCTAAAAATATCTGTTATTAGTTGGATAGTTTTTACTCACCGATGTCAAAGTGAAAGGATGCCACTCTAAATGAGAGAGTTTGGGACACTTGAGGAAAATGTACTGTAATAAAATAGGAAAAAAAGAGAAAGCTCATTTAATCTTTGAACCACTAGCTCTGTGATGATTATGAAGAAGTAAAATTAATGATATTGCGTTGTCTTTTTGCAATAAATTTGTCTTCGGAGAAAGCAACTGGGAAAGTTTGCCAATGAGCACCCCTCCTGACAGAGTAACTTCCGTTTAAAAAGAAATTAGAAAAACGCCTCAAGTAAAAGTAAAACTAATATACCTGTCCAGCAGCATGATGGAAGCCTGCTTTCTTCATCTGGATCTCGATAACTTTCGATGGATGGTTAACAACCTACATGGCAGTTAATATCACTCATTATCAGCTTGCTTAAACCTGATCGAAAGATTCTCAAATTGAAAGTCATTAACTACCTACGGAACACGTGAAAGCAGCTACACTAACCTATCACAAAAAAAGATAAACAGCACAATAACGTTGATGTCTAAATTGAAAAGGGGCAATGCGGAACTCCAGTTGGTTTACTTAAAGTGCATTTCATCTCTCCATCTCTTTGCGTATGTGTATTGTCCAGCATTGCATCCCCAATGCAGATTGTCCCGCATTAAAATAAGGTTTTTCGTGCGCATTGAATGAAGACCATCATATGACAACCAAAGTGTCATTTCATAACGGATTGTCATATTTCATTAAGTATGGGGCTCAGCTGACGCGATTTCGGCGCATGAGTTCTGGAATTGATACCAGTGTGGTACACATACATATCTGTTTCCAGACATTTGTGGAAAATGTCACATAGCATTAAATTGATAGAGCTTACTTTCATAATTTTAACCGTCTGGAATGAGCGATAAAATCTGATTCCACGTTCAACGAGATACAGGAACATTGGTCCAACTACCCATTTCCAGGTCTGAAAGAGGAAATAATTGATAGGATAATAAGAACGATGCTAAATTTATTTTGCACCTGTTCGTCGAATGAAGAACGATGTTGACGTATTTATTACAACCGTATTACACAAAACAGTGGATGTCCTCTGCTAAATCGAATCTCAGACTTTCCGAGTTCGCGTTTGGATACTCCGACAGTTACGCTTTAAAGAACTCGTAGATGATAAAAGCCGTCCACAAGATAAGTGACATTCTATTAATGGGATCTTTAAATTCATGATTAACACTTTATATTTCGTCACGCCGAAGAAATTCGATATCGATCAACCTATCAGAATACGACTGGGTGGTCTGACTCGCCACCAATCCCCTGTCTCTCAGTAATAAAGCGTCAAGTAGAGCGGTACTTGTAATCTAACGGTAACGGACTAGATTCTCTTTTATCTTCTATGTCTCTCTCTCTCTCTTGTTGGTCAGTCTTACGATATAGGTAGATATTTATGAGAAACAAAAATAACTGCATCTACAAATACTCCTACAATAGTTATTAGAATCACACATCCCAAGGGAGAGATGCCAACTCACATTCATTCCAAAAGGAGCAAATTTGGGAAGCGTTTTGCAGTCTCCCTCCTTTCCCCACGAGGTCACATTTTTGGAGCAGGTTTCAGGGTCATGCTCATCAGTGTTCGACTGAAATCGTACGATACCCCTAGAGAGAACAAATATCTGTTAGCACTCGGAAGGTGAATTCTTGCAAGCGGTGAGCTGATGTCGGCGTTAGAAAACGGTTCAGGATCGAGCCACACCCATACCCATTGAGAGGTGTAAGAATGTTATTCTAACAGTTAATCTGCCCCTATTAGAAACATGCGAGCAGATATCTGTGACTCACCACTGCAAATCTAACCGATCAGTTAAATAAAAAAATTATTCAACGAAAGTGATAATATATTCTTAATTACTACTTGATTTCACTCAGTTCGACTTAAGTTCAGGAAAAACTAGAGGGTATCCAGGCAAGATCCCGGCTGAATCTTTTGCGGGAATGCATTAAGCCCCAAAGAAAATCACGCTGCGGTCAGGGAAGGATCCCGGCGTGACCTCGGCTGCAATCTAGGAAGAAACGCCGTCGATAGACCCCTTGTGATCCAAGCGGGATTAACCTTAAGGGGCAACCTTATGAACATGCACACGACACTGGTCAATATACTTACTGCACACCATGAACGACCAGTCCAATGTAGAAGATCACGAATAGATGATGGTTATACCAAAACACTTCAAAATACGACCGCCTGCAAGGAGGAAACATTTTAACAGATGATAGTTACACCTAGGTACGGTAAAACTACTGATGTCGTGAAAATAAAAGCGCTAAGATGCAATCATAAGTACATTACCTGATAAGTTCCGTGGCAGAAGAGAGCTGTTCGAGAATAAAAACAAAAGAATTATTATACCCGCAAACTTATAAGAGAGTTATTTTAGTGTTTTAATAAATAGCTGCAGGTTTATCAGTTCAACAAATGCTCATTGAAGGTTTTGACCAACTAGAATGCACATATCCTCTTAGCAATGTTATAAACGAGGTTTACTTCTTATTTACATTACTTAAGCTCATATTTGAACATACCATCAAAATAAGACAAAGGGTTATGACAGCTCCAGTAATACCAGCCGCTATAAGTGATACAATAAAATATCAATCAACGATACAGATGATCAAACGTTATGTATAAATTTTACCACTCAAGAAGCTGGCAAAAGGTTTCATGCTAATGACAACTAGGAGAACAGAAACAATATTTTTCAAAAGCGAGGCCCCATAACAGCGTCGTATTGGAACTTAAAAGCATACCATGAAAAGCACCCTACAATCTTAAACGATAGATTCTGGCGCGGTTCACAATATCAATCCCTCCTCTACGTCACGTTGACGTAGGCGTATATGATACGAATAAAAACGTCAAGTCCTCGGAATCCTCAGATTCGTTTGAAGATCATTCCACAAGCTTCGTGCCTTACCTAATTTCCACAGCTCCACTACTGGTACCTGATCAGAAAAACCAGAAGTCAGTATTACGCTTGGTAACAACACAAATAAAAGTTCTTTGAAACAAGTGGATTCATTGACTCATTAAGTATTGCACGAATATTTTCAAATGTAATATGTTTTTATCTACAAAAAAAAAAAAAAAAAAAAAAAAAAAAATGCCGAGCAAAAATTGGGGAGAGTCTGTTTTGCTCTTCCCGCCCCCAGTTCTCGCTCGGCCGCTTTCACACTCCTAAGATAACGACACAAAATAAACTTTGTCACTGTCCTTGGTTTCGATGAAATTCATGACAAATCCAAGCAAATAAGAACGGTCTTTCACACTCACAGCGTTGGCGTCCCGTATAGGGTTTAGATAAGTTTCACTTCCCTCATCCTCAAAGCTGTTCAATCTCTGAACAAGCATGTCCTTACTCAAGTGTGAGTCAATGAAAAACTCCACATTAAAAACGTGTGCTACTATGTGAATGGCTGTAGATAAATAAAACGAAGAAAATTGTTACAAAAACTAAAAAATTAAGTTTCACTAGGCTACCAATTCCCTGTCTTTTTTCAATATTACCCATAATGAGGTTAGAGCGCGGGGCCGGGATCAAGAAGTCTGGATTCGAGCAGAGCAAGACGCCTCGCTTCGAGGGTGTCTCTCTCCACGCAGTAATATATAAGGGGTTCCTGAGAACTAGTAAACTTGACGATTTCCTACCCTGGACTAGCATTCTTTCAAAGGGGAGGACGAGGTGCCATACTAAGGGAACCTGGACGAGCTTTGATGTTGAGAGCCCCCAAGCTTAAAAAATTAAGCCCATCTTAATTTTCAACTTGTCAATATGCAATTGCTGGCATTACATCAAGTGATTCCAAATTCAAAACTTGTCAAGTATTGCGTGTCAAATACTTTTGAATGAATTTGTACCTAACAAATGCAAAAAAGAAAATCGAATCAAATCAAACTTACCTGTCTGGAAACATATCATATACGCAATGTACTTATGAAACGTCATATGCTTGTCAAGAAGGCGAAGGACACTGGTGCCACACTTCAAAAAATAAGTTTAAAAAAGAATAATGAATAAATTAATCAATCAATCAAGCCGGTTATCAAACTGTAGTCATGCTGCTAAGTTAACCGTCCTGTGCACGATCCCATGATTTTACTGGGACTACGGAGAGTTGCATTCAATTTGTTTAGACTTGTGATTGGTTGCATAGGAAAACCAGGACTCTTTGATCGCTAACTCGTTACCAGTGGTCTTCGTTATCAGTGGTCTTCGCGCTCGGGTAGCACGGAAGCGCGTAGGATGGTGGGTTGGGAGAAAGAGGTGAGACAGTGAAAAACAATCTCTTTTATCTTCCCATCGTCCCCTCCTCATGGCCTCACCTCACATTTCTATGATATGCGCGTTATGAAGACCTCTGAAAAGAATTAAGTTTTAGACTGAAAATGAATAAAGAGGAAACATCGTCCTGCTGAGTTGTGTTTCATATTATCATCCGTAACGGTTCAGTCGCTCAAAACGGAACGAAGCACAACTGAGACGATCAACCTGGGCGATCGGCTAAAAACCGAAGCGTGACCGACAAAATCATTCGAGTATTTATTGTCTGAGCAGTGGCTAATAGTAATCAAAATCGTCTCTCATTTTTTTTTATTAAATTGAGCTCTTGCTTCATCAGATTAGACAGTTGCTGTAAAGCAGATTACGTACCCCAAGGCCTCGAATGGAAGAGAGAAGGTTCCGACACATAGTCAAAAGAATAAGCATACAGTTAAAGTTCAAAACTGCAGCAGACGCTCGAGCAAAAGCCAATCCTTCCTGTTTAGATAAAACACAACACGTGTAATTAGTCATTTGCAAAGGGTTTTGGAGTATGGTCTACTCTACTAAGAACATTTCACTGGCTGTCGATGAATGATAACAAATCTGCTGCGGATTTCAAGGTGTCATTTACAGTGATCAACTAGGACTCACACTTGACAACGTCATCGCTGCTCCTGCAGCCATCTATGTCTGCAATGAATTTTAAGATGCTTTGACGTGCTTCCACTTCTCGTTTCACAGACGACTTTTTTCCTTATCTCACAGATCTTTTATTTTTGTGTTTAACTGCTATTTTCTGCGTATTTTCTGTTGTTCAAGGAGATACGATTTGAATTTGCCTTGTTTACAACAAAAAGCAGATTCTTAATTCTGCTTAACAACAATGTTGTAAAACTTCAACCAATCGGTATGTGGGTGCGGAAGGAGATAGGAACACTAACTTTTTGTGTGGCTGGGAGGGAAGCACCAAAAATTCAGCTATTCAAGGGGAGGGTCACACCTTTTCCAGAATTTTTAATGAGGATTTTTGTGATGTTATTTTCCATTTTTCTTTAACAGACTAAGTTTTTTCTTTTCAACTTGTTTCTTTTAATTCGGTAGTGAGGGGAGGGTCACACCTTTGTCAGTCACCTAAAAGTGGAGGGGGGGGGGGGTCAGGAGTTTTTTAATCAAAACATGAGGGAGGGCCAACACTTTCTTTTGGAAAAAATACCAAAATTCCCCAGCCTTCCCCCCCCCCCACCCCCCAAGAAAAAACGTACCTTCCCTTAGGAATATATTTTTTTAATCGCCAGATTATTTTCGTAAATAACTCTTTGATTCTAATGTTTTCTCCGGCTAAAACATTTTTTTTTTCTTTTTAGTCTCAGGAATGATTTATAAGCACACTCTCCCAACAGTATTGCTACACTGTCCGCAAGTACGTGATGATAATTGACAACCTGGAAAATGAGGTTAATGATCGATGAAAATCTGTAATCTATAAATGATCGATATCTATAATATATTAAAATAAAAAATATCATATCTAAAAAAGGCTGATCAAGATCGATTGCCAAAAGCATCAGAGTATTAGAATATAAATAAAAGAATTTCAAATACCTTGACAATAACTCTGAGGTAGAAGTTTTTTGGGGAAGTCTGGAGAGATATGTAGGCACTCACGAATAAATATATGTTAATTCCCATCCATGCTATCTAAAAGGAGAAAAGCAAAAAAAGCGTGTCAAGGGTTTTAGGTTGTAATCTTTATTATTATCATAAAATCATAATCTTCGTTAGAGCAGCAATCTGAAAGTAACACAGTCACAGCACCTAATTATAAAATGATGGTTTCCATGCATTATACCGAAATAACACTTAAGAAAATTGATATAAATTGAGCCTTGGTAGTAAAACTTAAATAAGCCCGCGTATAAGGGAAAAAAAGCGCGAGGAAAGTGAACTCCTTCTTTGTGTTTATTGCCCGTGCGTTCTGCTCGCGCACAACCGTAAAAAAATCCAGCTCCCTTACTTTGCAGGCACCTTTAGTTAATAATTGAGCGCGTGTGTTTCAAGAAGCTACCAATCAGTTCTTATTTAACCGTCGTACGTCTCTCTTGCTTTTCCCTTCGAGTTGCCCATCATCTCTTCGATAGCCTTCCTGCGCGAACTGTAGCCTTCAATTGTGTATTTTGATCGTCCGGGGAAGGACTGTTGTCGATAGTAGTGACCGACGATTCACAACCTTAGCGGAAGTCATCACCAGAGTCCACTCTTTTTACGACTTCCGCTCTGGCTGTCAAAACGTTCTATCGACAGTGGTCCTTTTCCAGGACTCGAATATTGCGTGACGTCAGCTATCGAGATATCCACAGTCGGCAATGCTGCTTATTGCCCAGTTGCACTGCTATAGGACATTGTTTTTGGTCTTTCTCTTCATTGAAGCTCATTTTTCTCGTTATTTCGGTTTTATTTCTATGCAATAAAGTTGACAAAAACACTTGAAGTATCTCTGAAAGTTAAAAATTAAATATAAATTTCTTTTATGTTTGCCACTGTTAGCAATATGTAAATGCAATCGAAACAAACCTCACCTGTTTTATTAAAACAGAAAAAAAAACTTAAAAAAATGCATTTTGTAGTGAAATATTAGTTAAATTAACCATCAATTGTCTCCGAAATAAATCACCGACGCTCAATATCAGACTTCATTAATATTGCACAATAGGGCAAATTAATACGTGTTTTGTTGCACAAACAATCACTCAGTTCACAAGTTGGTCGAGGTCGATGTGCAGAAAAAGTTCCCTTTATTTGCGTTTAGCAGAGAAATTGGACGGTAATAGTAAGATTTGGGTGACTGGGAAAAACCCAAATCGAGCGACTTCGGCTGTTGCAAACAATATTACCCCTCCCGCTTGTTGTAATTAAAGTTAGTGTAAATGCAAATCAATTTTGTCTCACTGATAAATTCAAAGATACTTTGACGTGCTTTGTGAAGTCTCTACCGCCACTACTTACGTAACATTTAATCATTTTCTTTGCCTAAAGACGTCGCTATGCAAGTGAGACTCAAGAACACTTCTGGGGAAAAATTTGAGTATAGGTGCAAAACAAGCCACAGTTCATTTAATACACAATGATTGTCAGAAACTGAAATACCTCATGAAATCCTCTCAGATCAAACCCCTTAAGTTTATTACAGTACTAACAACAGCTCTTTAATTGAAACTCACGTAAAAATAGAGATATGTTAAGTATGAGATCAAAAAAAGAAAAACTCTTTAAAGCGTAATTCGAGGGCGAAACCGAAGCGGCCGACAACTGTTGTTCCACAACAAACTTCAGACAAACACAACAATCAAAATGTAATCTACTTACTGCAACAAAGTACCGTCCAAGCTCGTTCCTAAGGGCGAATTTGGCCATTTTTGTATTTTAACTGTATTGTTTCCTTCAAGGAAAGAACACCGCTTCGTTAAGTTAAAACTTTTTCCTCTGTGTAAAACTGCTGCCCAGCCTTTGACCTGAAATTGAATAATCATCACGTTGTCACACAGTCACCTAGTCACGCAGGTAGGTTAAGTGCAAATCATTAGGTTTTATTAACATGTTAATAACGGAATTTGCCTCCGTAAATAGCTTCTAAAGCTGACGTGTCGAGCTTTAGCCCCTCATCAGACTCTATCCGATACGACAGTCGCTTAATTAAGTCCTCTTTCAGATTTGGTAACCCGTAAATTGCTCGACAGACTTCATTTATTATTCATTTACTTTCTTCATCCAAGGATCGCTCTGACTCTAATACTAGACCACCCTCGCGCGTCATCCTCGTCTAAACACGACATAACTGAATCATACACCAGAGATTTAATTCGTGATTCAAAGTGATGACTGGCATTGCCAAGCTATGATCATACTATGGAAGATTACTAAACCATGCATGACCAATATAAAATTGACAGATCAATACAAAACAAAAATAAATTGTGACTCTAAGGGAAGATCATCTCAAAAACTTCAAACAAATAGAGCAGAGAAAGACGCGAAATCATGTTCAGGAAGCGTTAAGTAAGGCTCACCGTTCTGGTATCCTTGACAATTTAAGTGTGCGGTGCTTAAAACAATTTGATGCGATGAAAGTGAAACACTTTGCTGTTTCTGGGCAAGAAATTATATTTCCTACCGCTACATCTCAGCTAACAGAGCTAATCTTAGCACCGTTAAAGCGATATTGCAAACTGAATGAAGATATCATATATATATATATATATATATATATATATATTATACAAGATTTACCTATATTATATAACGATATATATCTTTTTTAATGCAGCCTCAGGGGCTTAATCGGTTGTTAACTAGTCGGTAAGCTGCCAGTCAGCCGTACACTCTGGAAGTACGTCATAGTCTCAGTTGATTATTTTTGTATGTGTGAAATACGTAAACATGAAGGCGGAGTTGAAAAGAGGTCAAACTTCCTAAACTCAAAATTCCGCCTGACTTCTCAACGCATGGAACATATTCGCTATGTGTTTGTTTACTTGTTTTACGTGTTTGGCTGCTAATGGTTCTTATGCAAACTTAATTCCCGCTAAACGAAACAAAAATCTTTTGTTATCAAACAAGCGGTGGTCATGAACTAACCGAGCACATTAACTGTCAAACCCCAATGACCCCATGATGTGTGCTTGAATTTTATCACGCTCTGTTTCTATACTTAGGAACTAAATAGATAATATTTGATATCAGTCTGGGCAGGGATTTTGTGATATGCCTCAAACACTGCGGAAATGAACCTCACCTGCAGAATTGGTACTCTGAACCAATATTTATTTTATCAATTTTTTTTTCACTTTATCATGATCTGCTCTGTTGTTTTTCAACTCTGAATTTTTGGGTTTCATTATGTTTGTTAACCAGCACATATATAAATTCAATGCAACAACTGCGACAAAGTCTGTAAACTTACCTCGTTTGTAAAATCGTACGCGTGTGAGATTCCTCAGTGAAATTAGTAAGCTGAAACGAGAAATACAGGGTTTGAACACAAGCCTCAGACTTACCGTTTGAAAGCGAAAGCACGCATTTTTTTTGGTTAATTATTCTGCCACTCTCGCGAAAGAGTATATACTGGTAACTCATATCTCGCTTCAGTTAGGTTATGGCTTGCCTTGTAACTTGCTTGAGGCGATGAAAATGAGTCAGAAAGCACACCGTAAACAGCATTTGCTTCAGTGCTTTTTACAACTGATTCAGTAAGACGACTATGAGTCGAGATGTACAATGAAATCAATCGGCTCACCGATGATGTTTCCAGTTTGCCAAAACTTTACATAACCTATGAATATCTCGAATGAATAGAGACTACCTTTACCTTAACTTCGCGTCTTGATGTACTACTTCAATATATCCACTTTCTGATAACCTACAATCCCTTTGAGAAAGATATTCTCGGTTTACACGATCGGCGGAATTAAGAAGACAGATATTGTCGGAGAGTTGTTGCTAAGACATTTATGTAAGGCTCATTCAAGTGGATAGAAATTTGCGTGAGCAGCCCTCATCTCAATACAAATAACATCCATCTCATTATCATTATAATTAGAACAACAAAACTTGCAATATCTTTTAGGTACGAGTTTGATCCGAAACAGAGTTACATCCTTTTATTAAATCTTCGCATTGATAGTACACGTATTGTTTGATTGTATGAAATATTCCAATGTGCACAAAAAAGACTAATAAGCCGAGTTCATCAACACACGAACAGGGGCGTATCTACAGACACGTTTTACATAAGATGTGACGTGCTCGTGCAAAGGAATCACGTGTATTTGCGATTTTAAATGTTGATTGTCTTCCGTTTCACTCAGTTCTTCTCTTTAAGTCTTCTGAGAAACTTGGCCATAATTTTGTGAAATTTTGTCTGCAACTAATTCAGTTAACTGTATGAAGTTTGAAGGATAGTAAGGGAATATATGTTGTTCCGTAGAAGCCCGCGATGTAAACCTCACTCATTTATGCGCGGTACAAATTCTCCTCCTACGTAAGCAGCCAACATACCGCAACACCATTTACCATATGGGCGGTTTTACGTCTTAATTCCCAGCGACTTCTGCTGGAAGTAGAAGGGTTTAAAAAACGTTTCTCACCTCGCTCCAAGTGTTTTGTGGTCGAAGCACTCAGGTTTACACCGAGTAGAGAGTAACTATCCTTGAAGAACGTTTCAGTTGTTTATTATCACGTTTTTTACAGCATTGAAGACAGACAATGACAACGCAATATTTTTGTCATACACACAACAAGATCTGCATGAGGTTGTCTCCACGTGCGTCAGACTTAGGCACTTCAAGATCCCAATATTTATAACAATCAAATGATTTCTTTTATGGTCACTCTGCCGATGAGTAGATCGTACTCCCTGTTGTAATAGACGTGACGACTAGCATGCAGAAGTGTTAATGGTACTGGAGAACGGTCAGGGAAATCTGACAAAATCATAAGAGTTTCCTGGGACTAGCCATTTCAAAAGCTCCCGGTCATTACTTATCGCCTGGGGAGGGAGTGGGGGTTAGTAGGTTTTTGAGTGGAATTACATTGTTTTCAGGGTGGGACGTAGGTGGGATCAGTTGTCGCTAACTGATTATATAGAGGGGATTGTAAGATTGGGGATGAGTTCGGTGAGTTGCAATCATTTGGTCTTTTAGATTTAATCTTCTCATGGTAGACTGGTAATGAGTAAAAAGACTTCTAAAGAAGCTTCCTATGATGTTATGAGTAATAACGTCAATGTCACCTTTATTTCCTTTCGGAAACGTTTAAAATAATTTTTAGAATATTGCCCTTCAGAATTTTTTAAGAGCTGCCGGGGCAAGTGTCTTCAAATTTGATTTCATTGCTTATCTCAAGATGCGTGGCAGGGCACGGCCACGCATCTTGATCACGTGTCATAATCTGGTAATCATTAACATAACTGTTACTGGCCAGCAATAGAACTACACTACGTAGATAAAAAAGAACTGGAGGTTATATATATATACCTGCGTCTTCCGGGATTTCGTAATGAATTTTTCAATTAAACCTATGTATGATGAGGTGGGTATTTTTTTTTTAGATGCGATTAAGAGATTATAATCTTTTGATGCGATCAAATTCCAAGACATTTACCATGAAAGTTATAATTTCCTCAAAATAAATCTGATCATTTGAGTAAGAATATTATAATATGGAACAGATTTCTTTGTTCGGATTTCCTATGCTAAATATCTCCCAAAATAATAATGCATTGTCGTCTATGTTACGATGTAGACAATTTAACTAAAGTTAAATGGCGACGTATACGTTTGAAATTCACAGTGCCAGTTTTCATGAAGGACAGGTTTTTTTAAACTGACCGTAGTTTTCATTAGCGTTTCAGATTTAAAAAAGGAAGTGTAAAATCTGAATAATGTCGCCCTACCGGCATAGACCAGTGTATCGATTCCTAAATTATTACTGATCAAGCTGGTAAGCAATGAGTCATCAAGAGGTTATAAACTCTTGGTTGTACGTTGTCGAGGTGAGGTGCACGTGGTTTTTTAATAGTCTGGGGAGAAGCTTTTGACGTCATTTTTAAAACCACAATCGCTTTGTAACCAAAGTGCTTAGTTAACAACTGTAGAGTGCTGTGACGTCCATGTTCTTTTGGAGTGAAAGAATGAAATTTTCTCCGTCCTTCAGGAAACTGCTGGCTGAACAGCGCGAAGGACTGTGCCGACTCAACCCCAGTACTTTCTCGATAAGCAGCCATGTTTCTTCCTGAATTAAAACGAACAAAAGTATGAAGATAGTGCACTTTACTTTCCGTCGTTTCTTTAGTTGTTTCTCCTTTTTAATTACTTTTATAAAGAAAATTTTATTTAGAGGCCGTCAGAGAAAGTCTAGCCAGGGCGATAAGGATAGCATACCAACTTCAGTGACTGTGAGCCGAGACCAGGTGAGCTTTATTTTGTCTTGTTTGTATGATCTTGTAAGCTTTGTGTTAACCTTGTACAGCTGAATGCAGATGGAGTTAAATGGTCCGGCTTCGTTAATGGATATTGCTATTGACACAATTCAAATCATCAATATAGCCAAAGACATTCAGCATTGTAGGGGATTCGATTTCGTGACGTCGACGATGCAGATTCTCGTGCAAGTCTTCCTTGAATTGATCGAATTAAGCATAAATTTAATTGAGCCACGTATTTTGGAATAATTTGTGAAGATATATATAGATGCTTATGCTTATTTTTCATGGAAAGGTCCCAGACGAACAAAATTACATCAATCGTCGTCTGATGTTTCATGGTGTTTGTAAATAAATATCAGAAATTACTATTCAACCATTTTACTTCCCAGGTGTGACCAAAACTAAATTTCTCCTCACGACATCAATATAATTTTAAGCAAGAAGGTGATGAGAAGAAAGGAAAATATCAACCACGGCATATCTTCTAATAGAACACCAAATGTTAAGGGCTGAAATAATGAAAAATCTTGCATAAGCAGTGCTGAGAATTGGTACTTTGTTCTTGGAAGCCAAAGTTAATGTCTGAATGGTTTTTAGTTTATATGAATAATCTTAGATACTGTATTTCCTGGAATAAATGCCCAGATTCATATTTAAGATTTTTGACTGAAAGAGGGGAGGGTGGGGGGTGCTTATTGGAAGGAGGCTGCTTAAATGAGGGAGGCATTCATTGTGCCATTGTACTAATTCTGCTGCTGTAGTTGAAGCCTAAAATGTTACAGATAGAAACAGGATTTCCTTTTATCCCTTTTATTTCTTCTGTGTTGATTCTACTGCTGTAGTTGAAGCTTAAAAGTTAGAACTAGAAACAGATTTTCCTTTTATCTGTATTATATAGCAAAGTGAGGGAGGAAGAGAACGCTTGTTTGACATTATGGCTCAGGGGATGTGCACTTATTCTGGAGAGGGTGCTTATTATAGCATGAGGCACTTACTTGAGGACTGGCAGTATGTTTGTTGTTGAAATTTGTACCCACCAATCAATTGTACCTCAACAAATTAGCTGAGGTGGAGAGCATTCCATACATCAAGTTGCTTTTAGCATGGAATTTGCTGATAATTTGATTATTATTGTTTAATATGTATTACAATTAACAGCAGTTAGAAGGTGAAGAGCAATGGGAGGAATGGGAACAAATGGAGGAGTTCAGTGTGAAAGTTGAACCAGCTTCTGATCCACAGCAGGATCCAGCAGAGGAAGATCTCTTCCGTGACATGACACCTGTCTTTCAAAAACCAAAGAAGGTAAGGATAGAATACATAATAAAATTATCTTGTGGCACCTTGCAGAATTGCTCTAAAAAAGTCGCCCTTTTTTCCTTTGCTTACAGATTGTTCTCAAGAAGAATAAAGGTTACCCTGATGGTGGTTATAATACACGCCCAGAGACTACGCCAAGTCGTTTTAACTTTGATACGAGTTATAGCCCTGTAGAGGTAAGCTATACAAGTGAGACATTCACAGTGATGCACAGAACACTAAATAACCCAATCTTTACTTGCTTTATCTATGGATGGCCTATTATACAATGTGACATTCAGCCATCTTAGCACAAAATCATGAACAGTAAACTGTGAATGATATATTCATTAAAACCTCTACCAATTTTGTGACAAAGTTGTGATGTCAATTATTTTCAGCCTGAGCTTGGTACTTGGAATGATGAGTCTACTTCAGTATGGGATGAAGAAGCTGTTTCTGAGAAAGACATTGAGTGGGAAACAGAAAAATTAGTGAAAGAAAGAAAACAGGCAGAGAGAGAACGACGTGCTCTGGAACAACAAAGAAGAAGAGAAGAGAGGGAAGCACTGAAGCACATGGACAAAAAAACACAAGGACATCTTGGAGTCAGACTCTCTACATAACATTGTAACAAAAGGATTGTACCAAATGGATGCAGGATTCTTGTGTCTGGGCCTTATAACTTAATGTAATAAGTTACTCTTTTACTGCCAGTGAGTTAACAGTATTAAATTTCTCCTTACAATTTAAATATACTATCAAGCTTAATGGTTGTGAGAATTTAGAAAATAAGGAAGGAGATGGGCCTGATATTACATTAAGTTATCAGTGATGGCCACCAAAATAAGTTTGTGGCTTCCATTGAGAAAGATAGTTTTGAGATCTTAAGAGTGCAAAGGACAACATAGCTTCACACCTTTGAGTTGGTCTCTACTGATAACATGCAAAGAGTTTCAAAGGAGTATTTTAATGGAGAAGAGGGTGGGGTTTAAGACCCTGATTAGATTGCTGGAAATGTAGATTGTGGATGGAATTCTTGGCTTGTTTACTGCAGTCAAATTGGTCAGTGACCCTGCTAAATGGTAGTTACAAAGAAAGGAGTGTTGTTTGATAATTTGGTCCATTTTTTTGGGCGTGAAGTTTGCAACAGTAGGAAGAAGGTGAACATTGGTGCATATGTAACTTGATAAAGAAGAGGGAAGGGCTAGTTAGCAAAATTATGAAAACAGGTTTTGAAAATAAACATTTGATGAATGACTTGTTCAGTTTGCATGATACATGAAATAGTCATCACATCATCATCATCATTACTGATGATTATTACTCCTTAACCCTCAAAAGTCACTAGCATCTAATTTCTCCTTACAATAGCACCCTTGAATTAAAAATTAAGGTCATGAGAATAAAGGAAATGATTTATAACTCTAGAAACTCTTGATTGTTAGACAAATTCTCTTCGAAAGTACCATAGGAAATGTATAGAGAACAGTACAATGAACTTGCATACTAATGTAAAGGTGTTAAGGGTTAACCTTGTTGATTACATTTGTGTACAAAAATGTCAGCCCTATTGCCACTTTTAATTTGCTACTAATGCTATTAAGAAAATTTAACTACATGTCTCCCATGTATGAATGAAAAAATATACACTTTTTAACTATCAAAAATGAAGCAGCATACAATAAGATTACATTAAATTAAAACTGCTACGAAACCTGGCACAATTTCAACTAATTCTTTATTGGTGTTTCTTAATACAATTTATAAACAGCACGGTTGACGATCTACTATGCGGAAAGATCTTACTTTATCGCCTTAGAGAAACTGGCTTCTAACTTCTCCTTACAAGTATCACCCTTGAATTAATTATAAAGGTTATGAGAATTATGGAAATGATCACTGATTCAAGAAGGTCCTGATTGTTAAACAAATTCTCCTTGTAAGTATCATTAGAAGAATGTGAATATTAGTGGTAGGTGCTAAGGGATAACACTTTGAAATTGTCTAAATCAAAAGAATGAAACGGAGCGGGAGATTTCTAAGGGATGACTGATTCCTTCATGTTCATTCCCTTGGCTTCCATTCTCTTCTGTTTATGGTTGCACTGGTCAACACTTGTCAGATATCTCTTATACAAATCCAAACGTTTTGGTCTTGATAGCCAGTAGAAGCTTGCTTTTAAGAATAGCACGTGAAGAGTAGAGTGGTATGTACAGCCGGGAGATACACGTATTAGCAGTGGGAAGCTGATGATCATGCGCAGGTTTGACTGTTACCGATGGTTTAGGTTGGAAACCTTCCTCGCTGGCAGGGAGTGCTGGGCTTGATGTCCAAAAATAGACCTTCAAATAAAGAGCTCTGTGTCATAAGCTACTCAAGCTAGAGGATCAACTGTGAACCAAAACTGTCAACTATGAAATATACGTTCTTTAACGATTGGTTTTAGATAAGTAACATTTCTTCAGCTAGATTGAATTCGTAGCCATTAAATAACGTCAAAAACTGGTTTCTGAGTAGTGTGTTCTAAACTTAGATATGGTTTAGAAACAGCTGTTTATTATCATTCATATAAACGTTTTAAACACACAAGACAAGTCTTTGACGAGCGTTTACAAATTCCCTTTCAACGGCCACAAGGTTACTATTTTCAGTAACATCCCCACGAAATTTCAACGCAGTAGAAGTGTGGTTATTTCACGTGCCCTGTAGGTTTTTTTTACGTTCTTTACATTTGTACCATAGCTTCAATGCTCACCAAGTCTTGTCTATCCGAATTGCTCATCTTTTCAACAATGGACCAAAACCACTTCTTGAACTTGAGCAACTTTTCAGCTCCAGCACCTACCGAGAGCAAAGAGAAAGATGCAGGGTAAATGCAAACAACCGCGTGACACATGACGACACAACGACATCGCATCAACATGGCATGACATCTGAGATCACATCATGCCAAACGATATGATATTTAACGGCAAATCATAGAACGTGGCACAAAAACAGGCGAAATGTTATTTGACTCAATAACATCCTGTGCCTTGAAATGACACCTCACTTCAAATGACGAGACCGCAGGCAATTTGACTATTACTTTCAGATATCTCCCATCTCATGGAATCAAGTGTGGCTCATGAAACCACATGGTGTCACATCGTAAATCATGTCATACGACTTAGCTCCACATGGCGTTGAACGACGTCAAATCAAACCTCAAGACATAACTTTGTACTCCATGACGTCACACCAGGACAGCATCGCAACAAATAACATGACAAACATATTGTGATAAGATGTTACATCATCACGTTCATTTCATACCTCCAGTCTCGTCGTTAAAACAAGTGTAGCTCGTCAACTGTTGTACGTTCACCTCACCACAACCATTCAACAACAGGCGGAAATCTTCAGCTGTCAGGTTATCAAATGCAGATAAGGGAATCACATCCAATACTCCATTTCGTAGAGCCTTCAACAAGAGTAACACAGTTTTAATTCCCAGGATGTGAAAATGTAAACACAGCGTTCGATACACTGCAGATCAAATTACAGCTTAAAAAGCCATTTGAACAAAGAGAGATCTCTTCAACTCATACGTGAAGCACAAATTGAGTGCAAAACCTCTGCAAGTCCCTAAAAATAGGAACTAAACTTCTGCACGAACAAACATTTTGAAATCGCCCTCTACACTGTTTGGTAAGAATATTTTGAGGCACTTTTGACTATTAAACTTTGCAAAACCAGAAGAAGCCAATCAGAATAAAGACAAAAATAAGAAGGATCCAATGAGATCGAAAACTCCCTAAAGCGCGGGAAAACGCGATTGACCACGTAACGACTTGTCTCTGTCTTGAATCTGATTGGTTCACATGGTGCGTGTTTGACTAACCTATCATACTTCCAATACTCTACAGGAAAATATTTAAAAACGCAGAAGAATCATTCAAGTGATACTTCATACCATCCAAATTTACCTGGAGCGCCTTCTTGTTATGGCCCACCATTCTGTGCTCGGCATACAGTCGTACATAGTCATACACGTTAGATGGCGTCACAGAAACATTTTTTCCACCTTTGATCAATTCCACTTGGCCGCCATCGCCTTCCTCCACAGTGGCCTGGACACTAAATGTCAAGTCTAAGCCCTTGAAAATGTGCTCGGCATTTGGGGACGTGGCTTCGACGATGATTTTCCGTAAGCTTTCGTAGAGAGTAGGGTCGAAAAATGCAAGGTCGTGCCAACCAATCTAGATTAAAAGAAAACTGTTTTTACCAATTGTCCCCTTTAATGAGTTAATTTATGATCTTAGAGATACTTGGTACATTTTAGACTTCATGGTCCTCCCTCAAGGGTTTCAAAACGCACGTAATTACAATATAATTTAAAAGCAATTATTCTTTGAAGGCGCAATCATGTTACCTGGAATAGAGCAATAACATTTGCAGAGCTCGAGCCAAATATCAGCTGTTTAGTCGTACTTGCTGTGATTATCAATAGAGCCACCGCGTTTTCTCGGAGTGTTTGTTTTTTCCTTCAACAATTACAAGAAATCAGGCAGCCACCATTTTAAAAGATTACAGTAACTTATTTTGAAGTCCCCACGCGCGGGCGATTATCGAAAAATCAGACTGCGTGCATTTGTATATCATTTACTTACCCTTCTTGAGAGGATGTGCTTTATAACATGTCTGTTAAGGTTGATCGGACACAGTTCGTTTTGTAGAAGACACAATCCTATGATCCTTCAATACAAGGGTCGGAAAATTAAATTCACCTCAGCTCTAATTGTCACATGAAAAGAAACAACCAGAAAAACGAACAAAAGAATAGTAACTATGTGTACCTATGGCAAGGCTGTGCTCTAAGGAAAATTTCAGGGAGCCCTTTGGGCTCCCAAGCGTTTTAGCTTGGGTTCCCAGGCCTAAAAGATGGTCGCCCAAATCAAAATTTCGGGGAGCCCTTCGGGCTCCCAAACATTTTAGTTGAGGTGCCCGGGCTTCCTAGTTGGTCGCCCAAATTAATAAATCAGTCAGTTAATTATTGAAAATTAAACAAACTGTTTTCGTAACGAGTCAAATAGAACTATGTGCATTTATTTATTGTTTTATGTTCATGAAACATCGTATCCTTTGACCTCCTGAAAACCTATCGGTGAAATGTTCAAGACAAATGAGCTTTTTGTGGATTCGGTCGATTTTATTTTTAGTGCGTGATACGTAATAACTTGTCACGACACCAAGGACAATGCGGGACTTATAGAGTTTATACCCGTTTCTAAAACAATCACAAAAAAAAAACGTATCTTTTCTTTTTTATACATCGTGTTTTACTGGAAAAACAATCTTAAGTTATGTTTTTGCCTCGCAGACACGGCAGTAAAAAGCCGGCTGAAATATTAAATTAGCATAGAAGAGCGACTCCCGTGTTTATTCAGCGATTTATTAATCGCCGACCGTACTTTACGCCTATCAGAGCAGAAGTAACAACTTCTTTTGAAAAACTAGCTGATGAGCCATCCCAATTTAAAGGAAAAATTTTAATGCTATTGGAAAAGCCGTTAAAATCGAAAACTGTGCAGCTAGTCAAGTTCAAAGTCAAGGATTATGCTACATGTGAATTCACGTGGAACGACCTTTGAACATCAACGCGCGCCCGATGGAACATTTTCTTTTAAAAGAACGACTCCCGTGTTCATTTAGCGATTTAATAATCGTCGACCGTACTTTACGCCTGTCAGAGCAGAAGTAACAATTGCTTTTCAAAAAATAACTAACGAGCCATTCTAATTTAAAGGAAAAATTATAATACTATTTGGAAAAGCGGTTAAAATCGAAAACTGTGCAGCTTGTCACGATCAAAGTCGATGATTATGTTACACGTAAATTCACGTGGAACGACCTTTGAATATCAACGCGCGCCCGATTGAACAACATTTTCTTTTTTTTTTTTTTGACTGTAAATCAAGAAACCAACACCAGCCAGTCGCCCGGCCGGGCGACCAAGAAAATATTTTCAGTCGCCCGAGGCCAAATGTTAGTCGCCTCAGGCGACCGGGCGCCGTTAGAGCACAGCCTTGACCTATGGTACCCAGTGTAACCCTTGGACACACAGAAACTGGGTTATAGGCTTCTGTTCATGTTTAACGTACATAGCTTCCTATTGATGCAACCACAAAAACAAACAAACAAACAAACAGACAAACAAACAAAAATCTAAATGCTGAGTGTACGGAAGTTGCAACATAGTCGAAAGAGAAAGCTGTTTCCT